AAAAATGGATTTTCAGATGGTGAGAAAAGTTGATTATATTTGTTATGACTAAAACTAATTGTGGTAAGAAAACTTTTTGTGATCAAGCAAGGATCAAGGTTGAGAGATTTTAATGTGATAAGGTGTAGGTGTAATAAAAAGCCAAAATTTGAAAGATAAGAGAGTTAGTAGGCGACTCTCTTTTTTTGTTTTTGTGTTTTTACCTTAAAGATACAATGATTGTCCTAAAAGGCACTGCCATTTAGAAATTGAATTAGGAAATATGGTAAACAACTATACTTGTGCTTCTTCCTTCTCCTTGTCTTCTTTGAGTCTTGATGACAAATCTTGATGCAAAGTATTTTCGTGCATTGACATTTAGGAGCTCTTTTTTCTTTCTTTCTAATTTTGTTGTTGTTGTCGCAGTGGCTAGGCAAGCATGCATCAAGAGTTTTCCTCCAACCTATCCTCTTTCGACAGAGATTGTTATTCCGGTCTGGTTGTTCTGGCTACCGTTCAAAAAATCTTTAAAAAAGGCATGATGTATGCACAAGGTTTTATAGCCTCAATCCCTAATCTCTTTTCTCAATAAAATATTATAACAAGATGAACATGATGTTGTAGGAAATTATTAAACCCTAAACCCTCCGGTAAAAAATCTCAAACAAATACTAAAAACATGTGGTGTATTGTGTGTTTTACAACCAAATGAAGAGGTTAAAGTAACTCATAGACCATGTTTTTTTTTTTGTGTAAAGCAAAGGGAGAACTTGTCTCCCACATTTATCAAGAAAAAAAAATTTAAAACTACAATCGAACATCATCACTCAGGAATGAATCCAGTAATAAGCCGGACAATATCAAAACCACAGTAATCTGGATGCAACTAACCCGTCTGCGAGTGCTAGTGTCAAGAAAAATAAACGCTAGCATTATGATTATTATAATTTTAAAAAAAAAAATCTTAAAAAAGCTAAGTATAACGTATAACGTAAGCTTAAATTAAATAAAATGCTGGTTAAAAGATTAAGAAAATCTTATAGACGGGTCCAGAACAACAAAGTCCATACGTAAAATATTTGGAAAAATCGATATGCTTGGTTGGATTCAGGTCATTGAAGATAATCTGGATTGCGTTTTGTCTCATATAGTATTAGTAAGTTATATTATCATCACAAAAAAAATATGTTTTAAAGTCAATATTTAGTATATAATTAAATATCCAAGAACGCGAAAAGCGAGAAGAATTGTTGAGTAATTTTGTATTCTGTTTACACAGTGTGAGGGGATCATATTTCACATTAAAAAACAAATATGGGACATCGTTGGGGTGATGAGGCCAAAATTAGAAGATGGAGAGTTGGTAGGCGACCTTTTTTAAAAAAAAACTGGGTTTTAGTATAAAGATGCAATCATTGTCCTCAATATGGCACTACTAATTAGAACAGAGGAAATGGCAAACTCCTCTGTTCTCAAGTCGTTTCTTGTGCTTCTTCTTCACCTTGTCTTCTTGAGTCAGCGTAATGTTGATTCTGCCTCTATCGTCAAGTTTCTTCCTGGTTTTGAAGGCCCTCTTCCCTTTGAGCTCGAAACCGGGTTTGTTCTCTCTCTTCATCTGACTCAATCCGTGTTCTGAGTTTAGAGATAACCTAAAAGTAGTAGTAGGTTTTGCTGTTTCTTGTCAATGAAGGTATATTGGTATTGGTGAGGAAGAGGAAGTGCAGCTGTTCTACTACTTCATCAAATCTGAGAGGAACCCAGAAGAAGACCCTCTTCTTCTCTGGCTAAGTGGAGGACCTGGCTGCTCTTCCATCTCTGGCCTTCTTTATGAGAATGGTGAATCCATAAAACTCATTCTATTCTGCATCTATGATTGTACTCGTTTTAACTATAATAGATATAAGCAGGGCCTCTGAAGATGAAGCTTGATGTTTACAATGGAACTCTCCCTTCTTTGGTCTCTACTAATTATTCATGGACAAAGGTAACACAAAAGTATGTGTATTCATATTCATGGACGGTCACAATACAGTACTCAGGTGATTAATATATTCTTGATCCTTTTCCTCCTCAGACCTCGAGCATCATATTCTTGGATCAGCCTGTTGGAACTGGCTTCTCCTATTCAAGAACCCACCAGTTTAATAAACCTAGTGATTCAGGAGAAGCCAAACGGATCCACGAGTTTGTTCAAAAGGTAGATTAAAGACAAACTTATTTGTCTGTCTACTTGAAGCCAGACGGTTATTTGTAATAGACATTTTTAGGAGTCATTTCTTCTTCTTCTGTTGTTGTTGTGCAGTGGCTAGGCAAGCATCAAGAGTTCTCCTCCAACCCTTTCTATGTCACTGGGGATTCGTATTCCGGTTTGGTTATTCCAGCCACCGTTCAAGAAATCTCAAAGGGTAATATAGCAATAATGGTTTCATGCTATCCAATACCCAAGCCCTTTTCTTGAACATTTATTGTAACAAAGAAAATAAAAAAATATGATGATGTAGGAAACTATCAATGCTGCAATCCTCCAATAAATCTACAGGGCTATGTGCTGGGTAACCCGGTAACAGACCATACAATTGATCTCAACTACCGCATTCCATTTGCGCATGGCATGGCCCTGATCTCTAATGAACTAAACGAGGTATGAAGCATGACATTTGCTAAGTTGTTTCTTGTTCCCCACTCATGACATTTAGCTTTTGTTCGATCGAAGTCTTTGAAGAGAATCTGCAAAGGAGAGATTATAAACGTTGATCCACGCAACACAGAATGCTTGAAACTCATTGAAGAATATAACAAGGTTAACAACATTCACTCCAAATTTTTAAGGTGTTGTCTGTGTGTATGTCTTAGCAAATACAGATCATCACCTTTTTGGTTATGTTTTTTTTTATAGTGTACAAGCGGAGTATGCAAAGAAGTTGTAACAGATCCATTGTGCGAGACATATACTCCGGATTGCTATGTAAGTAACCCATATATCTTTGCCTTCTCTTTACCCTTAAACCATTAGTGAATTTTTTGTTATATACAACAAGGTTGCTTTTGTAGATTTATAGGTATTTGCTAACTACCTACTGGGGGAATGACGCGACTGTGCAGGAAGCCCTTCAAATCAGTAAGGTACCAGTTTTTTTTTAGTTTCCTTGGTAAGAGAACAATGACATTCTTAATTTTATGAGGATTTATGATTGCAGGAGAGTATAGGGGAATGGGTACGATGTTATTTTGGCATTCCTTACAATAATGACATTAAAAGTAGCATACCTTATCATATGAACAACAGCATCAATGGTTATCGTTCTCTCATCTACAGGTCAGAGCTTAACCCTTTTATTGATATTTTGTCTTTAACAAGATTCAAGAATTTTTGTAAAATTTTATGTGGTTTTTTTTGGTGAATAGCGGTGATCACGATTTTCAAGTACCTTTCCTTGGGACTCAAGCTTGGATAAGATCTCTCAACTATTCCATCATTGATGATTGGAGGCCATGGATGGTCAAGGATCAAGTTGGGGGGTATATAAACCGATTTATTCCAACTATGGGTTTCCTTATTTATGAGACTCACTCTTGTTTCTTACTTGGCAGATACACAAGGACTTATGCCAATAAAATGACATTTGCTACGGTCAAAGCAAGTCTTTCTTCTTTCCTTTTTTTGATACCCTCAAAACATTTTTGCTCCGGTTTGAAATTGTATTGAGTTGTGGGTTTTGACTACAGGGAGGTGGACACACAGCAGAGTATAAACCAGAGGAAACCTTTGTGATGTTTCAAAGGTGGATCAATGGCCTGCCTCTGTAAAAGAAGAGTGGCTTATACATATACAAGGACAATAAATTATGGCCCTTCACAGAAAAAGAATAATTAACGATTACAGTAATACGCATTCTCCAAATATATAAGAACCTTTGGCCTGTGTCTTAAAGAGTCGTATTAAATCTCATAATTTGTTAGTTTAATTTGTATGGAACATGACTGTTGCTTTAAAAAAAAAAAAATCAAGAAAATCAATAAAATTTTCTTATATTTGAATTGATGGTTGGATCTGTCGAAATGAAATTACAAAGACAAAATGAATGCAGAGATCCAAATTGCATATAAGTCGAGCCACCAAAGGAAATTCAAGAAATTAAAGTGGCCAATATCGAGAAAGAAAAAATATTCATCTCTCGAAGCATATACTTTGGCATCTATACATTAAAATTAAAAGTTTAATTCCTGGTGTTATAATTCAAACTAACATGACATACACATGGCATTCAAAATTAAAATTATATATTGGACATCTACCTATACATGACATGTATGGATTAGAATCAAAGTATTATCTATAATTTAGATTACGTGTCCGTCTTGGTTGGTTTAATCAAATTGAACTGCAATAAACACTAAAAAAAGAATAAACAAATCTTGGTTTGCGTTCTTTGCAATTCTTCTAATGTAGTTTAAACCATCGGGCGAATCACGTTTTAATATGTTGGAGTTGTTGTTAGGAACGGATAAAATTAGAATTGTAAACATACTAGACTTGTACATTCAGTTCTCATAAATATTGAAAATAAAAATTTAAGATCCAAATTCGGCACGTAATGACACATGATCTTGACTCTAAAGCTAAGAGGGTAATGTTACCATAGCTCTAGGTTGGATTATATAGTAGATAAACACTACACGTTGGTCACACTCACTTGGTGTCGATCGGTCCGAATGTCTTTATCCGTGGTGTTTTTGCAGAAAAGTTACTTTCAAAAGATTTGTCCACCTCCGGATTAGTCAAACACTATGACGTAACTGAAGTTAAACACAAGAATAATATACAAAGGGACTTTGTAAATGAAAAATTATGAAAATTATTTTTATATCATGCTTACTTAAAATTCGTATTTAATTTTAAATCCAAAAGTTTATAAATATTATAAATTTGTATTTTATTTTAATTCTTGTTAATATTATCTATAATGAATTATTTCATGATTACTATAATAATCTATATTTAAATATCTAATTTATAACCAGTAATTTATTTTAAATAATATTCTTAAAAATAAATTATTATTTTTTCTGTTGTAGTCACTAATTAATATTATCTATAATAAATATCTAAAATATTTTTAAAAATACGAGCTTAATAAATTAATTTCTAATAAAATAGTTTTAAATAATATTGTAAAATATATTAATTTTGTTATTTGGTTTTTGTATTATTAGTTTTTAATTATTAAATAAAGGTAAAATAGTCAATTTTAACTACACATAAAATACATTTCAAATATTTAAAAGAGTTGGTGTAGAATTCAAATTTCTACTTAAAATTAGGGTACAACTACAAAATAATCCATATACAAATCATAGAAACGTGTGTAGAATAAGGTTAGAAAATAAGATCATGATCATCTTCTTAATGTGTGTAGTAATGCTTAAAGTCATATAAAATATTGAGAGTTTAAAGTTCACAAGCTAAAGCATACACACTAGCGAAAACAAAGCCGCCTCGCCTAGTCACCGTTGGCTATAATCATATTAATGTGTCTATTATAAATAGCTATCACATTAACCCATATCTTCTTCATCCACAAATATCCAATTGCTATATCCAAAACCATGAATCCTACGTTTTACTTCGTTCTTGCCTTAACCGCAGTGCTGGCTACGAACGCTTATGGTGCAGTTCTCGACATCGACGGAAACATCATATTCCGCGGTAGTTACTACGTTCTACCTCTCATCCGTGGCAGAGGCGGCGGCTTGACTCTAGCAGGCCGCGGTGGCGAGCTATGTCCTCTAGATATCGTGCAGGAATCTTCAGAAGTCGATGAGGGCATTCCCGTAAAATTCTCAAACTGGAGGCCTAGAGTTGGGTTCGTTCCGGAATCAGAGGACCTCAACATCGAAACAGACGTCGGAGCCACGATCTGCGTCCAGTCAACCTACTGGCGGGTGGGTGAGTTCGACGAGGAGAGGAAGCAGTACTTTGTTGTGGCTGGCCCTAAACCAGAAGGGTTCGGACAAGATTCGTTGAAGAGTTTCTTCAAGATCGAGAAATCTGGAGATGATGCTTACAAGTTTGTGTTCTGTCCTCGGACTTGGGACTCCAGCTGTCCAAAATGCAGCGATGTCGGGGTATTCGTGGATGAACTCGGCGTTTGGCGTCTGGCTTTAAGCGATGAGCCGTTCTTGGTTATGTTCAAGAAAGCCAATGTGACCCAAGTTTCGTCCAAGACTATGTGAGAGGACAAATCTCAATCTTTTACTTCGACTACTAATAATAATAAAACCTCTTTGTTTTTCTTGAAAACTACATATTGAATAAAATATTTTATCTCTTGTAATCTTGTCTGTATTTCTTTTTAGTCAGTAGCTTAATATTCACATCATAGACATCTTCACACAAGTTATATAAATTTCGTGGTCAACGATAGGAACCGATAAGAAAGAACAATGTAGGGAGCCTTGAACTTACACCATTAACCCCTTTTTTTTTTTTTTCGATGGATGGCTATCCTTTTTTTGCTTCGAAGATGAGGCAGTAATTCTACGTAGGTTCTTAAAAAAACATGTTTTACAACCAAATTTGTTTTAAATTTTACAGTTCGAATGTTTCATAGGAATCACCATATTTAATCCATTAATCCACCAAATTAAAGGATTAAATGAATTATAAAATAGTGATTGTGTTATTTGTAGTCATTACTAGACCAAAGGTTAATGTTCACAAAGAATGGGCAATATGTTTTACTAGAGAATTTTAGAATCTTACTTAAACCTCTCCCTTTGACGCCAAGTTGACGCAACCAAGCTCGAGCCACAGACTATCTTTAGCTTAACTCTCACGAAGATATATAAACCCTCCATAGGCCAGATTCCAAGCATGACGAACACTCTGTTTGAATAAACTAGGAAGATGAATTACATATACTGTATAATGGAATTTTGTGGTCAACGATTTGGGGCTGGTAAAAAAAGTAAGAACCAATATCTAAATTGAAATTTCGTATAGGTGGGAACCGGAATATTTTGGTTTAATACACTTAGGACACCTCCAAAGGGAGGTGCTTAGTGAGTTTCATAAGTTTATCGTGGACAAAAAATAAATCAAAATTGAACAATTAAATAAAGAGGGAGCCTAAACTAAGGGGTTTTAGAAGTTGTGTTTAGGGGTACTTAAAGACACATGACAATTACTCATTGATAAAAAATATATTCATCTCTTTCTCTTTCTATAATTCTTTCTCTCTCTAACATTTTTATTTAATCAATTTTTATTAATGAAATGTTGTTAAGCATTCTTTTAGAGGTTCACAAATGGAGGTGGTCTTAGCTATTCAATATAGATAGGCCAATTTTATTGTTTGGGTCCAAGTGATTTGACTCGGTCCATACATATAGAATTTTCGTTACATCGGTAAAAATTCAAAAAATTGGGTTACCTCTTTTAAGAATTTACGTTACATGATTTGACTCTTGAGTCTCTGGTATACCACAATGTGGTTTACCTTGTTTTAGAAATTCAAGAATTGCTTTTAATCAACATTGGCCGAAGAATTTACTTAAAACTTTGTTCACGAATACATAATGTAGTCTTTGATCTATATATCGGAACTAGAACTGTGTCAAAGGGGTTACTCCATATATCCCAGTATTACCATATTTAGTCGGCTTAGCCTATAAACTATAAGAGCAGCTCCAACACTAAAAGTGACAAAAAAAAAATTGTTAAATACATCAATATCTTTTTAATATTAATCAAATTTTCATTTAATTTTTTAAATAATTAAAAAATAAAACAACCAATTAAGTTATGACAGCTGTAACACTAACCTAAAAAACCTAACCACCTCCACGTTGATTAACAAACATTCTAATATATTAAATGGCCAAACATCAAATTATACACCCTTGCAGGCTGCAACGCAGCTGACAGATAATGTGAATTTAGGCCCAATGGGCTGAAAAAGCCTATTTAAAGATAGCGTGAACAAAACGCACCGCGATTCAAAACGTGAAAACAATAAGAGTGGTCCAAAGTCCAAACAGAGAGCTCAAGCCTTATAAACATCCCCGTCGTCTCTCTCCTCTCTCTCCTCTCTCTCGCTTGCTTACCTTTGTTCGCATCAGTCACTTGACTTCACAGCCCCGCTCAAGTTCCGACACGAAACTCATTTCAAATTAATTTAATCAAATCTAAACACAAAAAGGGTGAAAAAACAAATCGCCGGCGAGATGCCTTCTCCTCTGGTGCCGGAGGCGGTAGTGAGCCACCGCTTCGTAGCTTTTCTCATCTGGCAATTTATACCTTCATCAGCCATCTTCTTCTTCTTCAACCTTTTCCTCTTCTCAACAACTTCAGTCATCTCCTTTTTCCTCACTTTCCTCGTCTTCAGTACCTCACAGCTTTTCTTCTCCGTCTCATTAGCTCTCCTCTCTTCCCCCAATCCAGATTCTCCTCTCTCCCCTCTCCAATTCGTTATCGGCCTTCTCCGTCATCTCTCCGATCCCGAGTTTCGCCGCCGCGCTCGCCTTTCCTTACGCATCGTGCTCTTTGTCTGCGCTACTTCCCTCGCTGGATTCTGCTCCACCGCTGTGTTTTGCTTGTCTAATGATTCTTTTGGAGCGATTGGAAGAATAGGGTTTAGGGGATTTGTGACTGGGTTGCTCTATGCGGTCCTTTTCGTCTTTAAGCAGCGATGGGTTTTGGAGTTTCCCATTATTCAGGTTTTTGTGTCTTTGCTTCTTGGATTCATGGAATGTTCCATCCATTTTGGTATTTATTTTGGCTGATGTTTACTTGTGTTTCGAAACAGCGTCCACCGTTCTTCAGCTTCAAGATTGGTCTTCCTTCGGCCCTAACACAAGCTCTGAAGCTATCAGGTGTGCTTTATGTGTTGTCTACCATAATGCTATTGTTTCTGCTAGACTGGTCGGGTGGGCTTGTGTCTGTATCGAGATTCTTGGGTGAGCAGGTCTTATCTTATGCCGGCAGTTTCTGTCTAATTCTCTCTTGGGAAGTGACTCACCATGTACATAAGGTTAGTTAAGTTCAGTCCATATATGTTATCGATTGCTGATATATTCGTTTAGATTGGTGGTATAGTGTTTACTGTGTCAAGGTCCCTGTAAATTTTTGGATTGGTGTTAACATGTTAGATTGTACAAAAGTTAGAACTATCTGTTAGACTGTTACTTGAGTGATGCAAAACTGAGCTGAGAAAAATCTGAGAAACAACGGCAACTTAGCTGTGTTTGCCTTCATATTTTCCATTGATAATGTGTGGAATTATTTTCCTGTTTTGTTTGGCATTTCTGTACTTGACTATTTCTGTTTTGGTAGCCCATGTCAAGGTCTGTCTGTCTTCTGTGTATGTGGATCTGTTTGAAACAAACTCATTAGTTTTCAATCTACAAAAATTGTTTACGTTTCTTGAATACCTTAACTCTTCCTCTCTACATTATTTTAAATGTTCATCTGTGAGCTTTGTTCCGTGTATTACTCCTTACTCTATCAAGGAATGCATATACTTTCTACTTTTCTTGGTTCTAGTTAAAGAAGAAGCTAGTTTCAATTGTCGTTTTCTTTTATAGGTTCTGCACACAAAAAGGTTCAGCTTTGCTCCTCCAAAAGGATCTGCTGCTGCAGAAACGAATCCAAGCGAGCCACTTCTGGCTGCTTTAGAAGGGAGTACTCCGGGTTCCCTCGAGCAGTCTCTTGCATACCTTGATCTCTACATGGTGTCTCAGAATAACGTCGACACATGGCGTCGTGCAGCCTTTTTTGAGGAGTCCACCGAGACATACAAAAGGGTAGTCACTTCATGCTTGAGGCCTTTGGAAGAGCTTGCCTCCAAGTTATCGTCTGGGATAGATCACACCTTTACTGAAAAAGGCTATCAGGCACCACTCCAGCCACCAACCGAGACATATATTGATCCAAAATTTGGCGAGTCACTTAAGTCTTTCCAGGTAAAGCGCAGTTCAAATTTTAGTCCTCTTCTGTGTAATAATTTCTTCACGTAGCTGTAACCAAATCTGTCTGCTCTGTATCTGACATTTACAGATATATGCTTGGTGTGCTCAAACAACTGCATCCCTGACTTCAATCTCTCACAAGGAAGACAGGCTTGGAGTAGCTCAACTGTCTGGTGGGAACGCGGATGTTGTCTCAACACTTCTATCGCTTTTGCTAGCTCTTGAAACGTTTATGGGGAAAAAGACTAATCTTCAATCGCCCCAACAACTGATGGGACCTGCTAGTATCAAATGGGCAACCTCGAGTATGGTCAGAAAAGATGTTAAACCCATCAAAAGGAGTATTGGCGCAATGTACTCCTACGCGTATGCAGCTACAGATGTTTTGAGGATATCGATATACCAGATTCTGTCTACATTCCGGGGTGAAATGCTTAACAGCGATAGAGCGGGGTTTCTCGGTAGAGACTGGATTGGAAGCAAGAAACCCCCTTTTGGAACAAACGACATGTTGCTGCAGAAGCTTAAGCTCTTCCTCGAGTTCCAAGCTTGATGGAAGATTAAAGAAGTACAATGTCTCAGATTAAAAGGCGTTAAGAATTGATCACAGATTCCTGAGCAGGAAAAGAAAAAAGGAAACAGAGTGTTATTGAGACCTGATGATAAAGCCTTGTATTGAAAATGAAATCCCACGATTTTGCAGAAGTTTGAGATTATAAATCATATTTTTGGTTACCTTATATAATAATCAAACTTTATTGTTAAGCTTTGCATCTTGAATCTTGGTTACATAAATTTTGCAGAGGTCTCTATGTGTTTAGCAGAGCTCCAATGCATTTACAGAGGAGGAAACAAAGAATTGGAATCTGAAATGGGCCTAAGGCCCCATGACCCAAAAAGAAAAGAACCGCAGCTTATATAGTAAGTAATATCGAACGGCGCAGAGTGAGAGTGTGTTAAAGGAAGCAGAGATATTAACCGTTGGATGGTGGTTTATTATAGTGTTAAAGCTGAGATTGGCTACAACACTTCACTACACATCGCATTTACTTAAAGGGCAAAACCCTTCACCGCCGCTTGGATCCCTCTCTCTCCCTCTCTCTCCCTCTCTCTCATACACTCTTCCCTTATCTTCTTCTTATACCCTTCGACCAAGGAAGAACCCTAGCTAGAAATCGATTACCAAGGTATAAGTCACTCCAATGAATCGTTCTTCCTTTTTTTCATTTTTGATATATTCGATTGTTTCCTTCTGACTTAGCCGAAGGGTCAAGATCAATTTCTTTTCTTTTTCCTCGATTCATATTTATTTGAGCAACTGTCTTTGCCATTTGCTTATCATGTTATTAGCAGTTATTAGTAATGGAGAGAACTAATCGATTGAAAAATTGAAACTTTGGGTTAGCAATCTCACCGGCACTGTACACTAATCCTAGCTTAGCTTGTTCAGTTTGAGGTTTGTCACTAGTGAACACTGAACAATATACCTAATTGATTCTGATTAGTAATAGCATTAGCTATATTGTGTATGCCTAATTGATTGAGTGAAGAGTGTATTTATGCGTTTTGGGATTAATGGTTTAAGCTTTTGTGTGTGTGTTTGTTTTGAAACACAGATGAATAGGGAAAAGTTGATGAAGATGGCTAACACTGTCCGCACTGGCGGAAAGGGGACAGTAAGAAGGTTTGGATACTAACGAAGTCTTTTCTTTGTGAATTTGTTTTTTTTGGCCATTTGCATGTTTTGTGTTCTCGACACTTATTTTAAATCTCATTTCAGAAAGAAGAAGGCTGTTCACAAGACCACTACAACCGATGACAAGAGGCTCCAGAGCACTCTTAAGAGAGTTGGAGTGAATTCCATTCCCGCCATTGAAGAAGTCAACATCTTTAAGGATGATGTTGTGATTCAGTTCATTAACCCTAAAGGTATCTCGCCAAGCTTTTGGCTTTATACAAATCACAGGAATTAGTTTGACTTCTTTGTGTTAATGGTTGTTGCGTCTCTGTTTCAATGTTGCTATTACAGTTCAAGCTTCCATTGCTGCTAACACATGGGTTGTGAGCGGTACACCACAGACTAAAAGTAAGTGTTTGTACACTCATAGTTGGTCCAACGCTCTTTTTGGTTCATGCTTGGTCTAATCTCAAAATCTGATTTTTACTGCAGAATTGCAAGATATTCTTCCTCAGATTATCAGCCAACTTGGTATGCCCCCTTCTCTTTGCAATCTTTACACAAACCAATGATCTCTGAAGTTAACAGTTTTCTTTTTTTTTGCTTTGATTAACTCAGGACCTGATAACTTGGACAATCTGAAGAAGCTAGCAGAGCAATTCCAGAAACAGGCTCCAGGTGCAGGGGATGTTCCAGCAACTATCCAAGAAGAGGACGATGATGATGTCCCAGATCTTGTAGTGGGAGAGACTTTCGAGACTCCTGCTACTGAAGAGGCACCCAAAGCTGCTGCTTCTTAGAGGAGGAAGACAGAAGAAGAAGAGCTCACCTGCAAAACCCATCATAAATGTTCGTTGCTGCTCTATCTTTTTTGAGCACTGTCAGATTCTTGTTTTCTCTAATGCTTGCGAACAGACAGACTCGGTTTTATTATCACTTGATGCTTTTTGGTCCGAACAGCAATTTTCCTTTTATTAAGGTTAGATCGCTTTTTGTTTACCACCTGTTCAAATGAGTACTATGTTCTGTCTCTTGCAAAAACAAATCTTGGTTTTTGGATTAACGATTTCTTGAGATGAAACAATCAACAGCTTCGTACATTTAAATGGAAATTTGAAAGATTTTACATATTCCCAATTATTGGATGTAAACATTCCATAGAAACACAACACACTGTCAATACTCAATGTAATCAAGTACTCAGGACAGTTTCGTTTTCGATCTCTTCTGCTTTCCCCTGCTGAGCTAGTGTTTCGTAAAGTGGAGCGTTCCGGGTTTCTCTTAGCCAGAGACTCACAACACCGCTCAACACAGATGCAACACCAAAGACGATAAATGACATCATTGCGCTTTCCCTCCCCAACGCAACTAGCAGTGGTGCAGCAGACGCTCCTAGCATAAATGCCTGACGCAAAAGCGATACCGCAGTGTTCCTCACGTTTGTCGGGAACAGCTCGACGCAATAGACATATAGGACGTCGTACGCCGTGGAGGATGCCATGAACCCAACCGCCTCAACTGCAAGCTGTAACCATTTCGCAACAGACATCGCACGGATCACCCGGTGGATCGAGAGGACGGCGCAGAGCAGGCAGGCAACTCCAGCAAGGTATGATGAATTGGAGAATAGAGGACGGCGGTTCATGACCCCTAGGAGGAAACTTCCGATGAAAACCGCTGGAAACTCCATGAGAGCGTTAACAGCAACAGTTAAATAAAGATTGAAATTGAGATTCTCAGCATTTAGTTGAATTCCGTAGTAAACAAAACCACTGCCAAATCCAGCCATCATAACCATTATGATTCTCTTCACTGCCCATTTCGTTTTCCAAAACTTCTCTGATGAAGACGTTTGATCACCTCTCTCTGGAATAGGATCAACTAGGCTGAGATCCGCCGGGAGTTGTTTGCCGTTAAGCCTGGCGAGTTTCTTCAAGACCACCATGGCTTCTTTGTTACGTCCCTTGACAAGAAGCCATCGAGGAGACTCATAAGCAAAGGGCAAGAGACAAACCGCATATCCAAGAGGAAGAAAGGATATGATTCTGTAAAGATTCCTCCATGACTTTCTCTCCAAATAAGCCATGAGTGGCAGAGATAGAAAACCTAACGTGAAGAAGAAGAAGCCGTATTGCCCTACTTGACCTCGCCATTTTTTACCAACGATCTCGGTCGCGAGTACAATACAACAAGACCCGATTCCTGATCTGAAAAACCCGTTGGCGAAACGCAAGAACGCATAAACCCAAACGTTTGGTGAAAAGGAGATGGCAAATGCCGTTACAAACGTTAATACACAAGAGAGTAACAGAGTCTTTTTCCGACCAAACCATGAATCAGCAAGATATCCGTAAACACCAGAACCTGTGAAGACAGAGGAAAAAAAAAGAATCATATAAATAACCCTTTACCAAAGATGGTTCTACACTTCTACTTGGATGAGCACTCTCCAAACAGTAAATATTAAACTTTAAAACTAAACTGTTTATAGTAATAAAGGATCCGTACCAAAAAGAGATCCGATGAAGAATAGTGTGGACGGGACAGCCACAAGGAATTTATGTTGACAAATGAGATTCCACTCAGAAACAACAGTGTAACTCTTTGGTCCGATCCATTCCCATTCTCCACTGGACAATCCACACAAGGCCGCGCCCTCCACGATGGCGCCGGTTGCAAGAAGCCTCGCAGCGGGTTGAGCGTCGGAGAAAATGGATATGAGAGTTGTCTGAGCATCGAAGACCCAAGCGATAGAGACCAAGAGAGCATGCAAGATCTGAGCAAACCCAAGCGCTCCTATGTGTTGCTCGATCACCTCGTCAACTGTGAGCGCGTACCTATTGTTTGGTTGATTTGTTACTTCTCCTTTCTCGGATGCTGATGAATCATTGGTTATGTTTGGCGTCTCCATAAGCTTTGGAACTTCTTGTTTTGAAGGTTCCATTATTATGTTGTTTCAGGTGGAAAGATATTTTTGTTTAATATGTTTCTAATTTATGTTTGTTTTCTTGATATATGTCTTAAGTTATGGACGGTATATATATATACACATGGTCGGGGAGTGGTTTTGCATCCGATTTCTCACTCTCGAATAAACAATCTAATCTAAAGTGATTGTGCATAACGAGTCATTTAAATTTTCGTATATAAACTTTTCTTTTAATGTGTGTCTATATTGTCTGATTGGTACACGCTCATTAAGTTCTCATGATGATATATAACTCTGACCTCAATTATGTTGAGAAAAAAGAATTACTTTAAATTTGTGAGCGACGTACGTATTAGCATAAATCTCTCTCTCTCTTTTTTCATTCTTTTTTTATAAATTTTGTCTACAAATGTAACTCAGTTTCTTTTTGCAACAAACGTAACTCTTTTTTAGTTCCCACTAATTTAAGAGTATTGGAAAGAAAAGAAAATAAACGACAAAAATTACGGTTAGAAATGCATGATGCATGACGAGTAAAGGAAAAAAAAGAAAAGAAAAATTATGATGCATGAGTACAACACATGGCTAAAATTACAAATTGAAAAATATGATGTGTAACCAATGCATGTGGATTGTAAACACACAAGAGATGATGATGGGGTTTGATACTTGTCAAACATTGTTTTGATCGTGATTTCAAATTAAAGTTCGGTTCGTTTTGCAGGTTTTTGGCCGAATAAATATATAACATGAACATTGAGTTTAAAATTTGCAAGAAACCATTTGGTAAGAGAACGTATTCATCCGTAAGTAGTTGAGTGTTACGTATAGCATACACACACTCTTTACAATATAAATATACGTTTCCACGATTAATGCATGTATGGATCTCTCTTTACAAAAGTAAACAGTGTAGAGAAATTGAATAAATATTTAAGCCAATATATATGTAACTAATTATTCGTTATTGGATTTAATTTTTCATATATATTATCTACCATATGGTAAAATAAATTAACTACAATGAAAATCTGATGGAAATGGGAAATGGAAAACGTATATACGTAAAAGCTTTTAGCGGTCAATTGTATTTGGTTTGCACATATAATGGACTATGCAACCACTCAAGTCTTCAATTTAGATTATCCAATAACAAAAAATAATAAGCAAAAAAGGGTGTTGCATAATTGCATTATTAAAGATTATTTTTTATCAAAAGAGGTGCGATCATCTCGAGAGCCCATGAAGAAAGTGGGGAAAATAGTAGGATTACGACATTGCGTGAGGTGAGGGATCTTCTAGTGTTGGTACGTTGATATCTTGGTATATTTCCGTATATTTGATGTACATATCTCTATCTACTTTTCTTGATTTAGTTTTGTTCATCCTGTTCTATAGAATGTAAAAATTTGTTCATATTCCCCTTGAAAGTTGAAACCTAGGTCTAGGCTCTATATGACTACAACTTCTTGCAAGCTATCAATGAATACAAGGAAAATATCCAAAGGTCGTTTTCTGTGATAGAATCATATCCTTGTCTGTATACAAACATTTAGACAAACACAAAGATATCTAACAAGTATGTATTATGTACTTATTACTCCACCTTGAAAACAACATATCGTTCATGAATCTCCCCTTACGTGAATATTCGTTTGTTTGTTTTTATTTTATGTGTCAAACTGTTATATAATGGTGGTGTTAGCTGGAACTTGTTTAATAAAGTTTCCTTGGGTGAAAATGTTATAGCGCCTTGTGAATTGTGATTACGTGTAGTATAATCGTGTAATCATCTACAAAACTTTTTTCTTGATTAAGATATACTTTTAATTAAAGGAGGAATATGCGTAACCAAAGCTCCTTTTTTCATGTGTTTTTCTCGTATCTGGTGATAAATTGCGTGTGAATTTGTTATATGTTTAGATATCCCAATGGACAGGTGAGAATAAAAGTGTATTGCTATATGGCATATTCTACTTAGATTCTAAGGGATTTTTATGTATATACATATGTCTATATAGTTTTCGAAAGGTCTTTTATACTATAGTACTATATATATTGGAATTATGATATTTGTTAAGAGGAAAAACTGATAAACAAAATTTGTGAGATCATTTAGACTACATATGATATATATACATAGCGCATGTAAAGTTAACCAAATAAGTTTTATAGAAGAAGGTGTTTATTTTGAACCAGATTTATGTTCCTCCCGAATGTTGAGACTTGAGAGACTATGATCCGAACCATCTTACTGCATGCGTTTTTGAGTTTTGGCCATTACATGTGTTTTGGACTGCCAAATTAATTTTTCTTAAAAGTGATTTTCAAGAAATAATTTGGATTTTGGCCTACTAACCGCTTATTACAATGATAGTATCATTGGTGCATGACAAAAAATAATGAAAAAACATCATGCATTGGTCCGGTCGCTAAATAGCATTAGGATGGAGACGAAGAAGTATAATAGTGTCGTTACGAATTCACAAATATATGTGTATGATAACAAAATTAGGTAGCTAACATTGCAAAGCATATAATGTGTGTATGCGAATCCGAGAGTGTTAGTGAACCTCATCACATTGCGTTGCGAAGTGACATAAGAGAGAAAAGAATTTGGTTCGAAGCATAAAAATGAGGAAGATCCCCAAGACTCTCATCACAATAGTAGTGGAAGAACTAGTGATGATGACACGACATTAATGCAATATACCAAATACTAATTATTTAGCCAATCGATGGTTAACCCCATTTACATTTGTCTTCTCTTATCAATAATTTTTCCATAAATAATTAAAAAATCTCCAATACATGTAGTTGATTAATAATTATAATTAGTGGATGACGACGAGTTGAGGGAACACTCCAAATGCTCCGTTAAAGTTAGGCAAAGCTTATATCCTCCTATTTTTAAATAAAAGACACTATCAATCTCTTGGTTCACAATCTCTAGACTCTAATCATATGATGACAACCTAAAAATGTTCTTATGCAACCAAAAACAAAAAAAAACCTCATCAGGTAAATGATTATATTTGTTGGCTAATTAACCTAGACTCTAATCATATGATGACAACCTAAAATTGTTCTTAAGCAACCCAAAAAAAAAAAAATCTCATCAGATTAATGATTATTTTTGTTGGCTAATTAACCTGTAAGTTGATATGTTACAAAATTATAAGATTTAACGAGAGAACTTCGATTTGATTCTGTTTTTTAGATATGCCAATTTGTTAGATCACTTTACGTTTTGTTTAATATATATAAAATTTCAAATATACTTATTGGATTTAATTATAAAGAAAGCTAGAGAATTTACAATAATTTATCTGATGATGAGTAACATCATATAGAATAGAAACTTTAAAAGAAATAAAATAGTAGTCCATTTCATTCTAGTATATATTCTACCTCTCTATCTATTCCATTTAGAGGTTATGGAATATAATTCCATTTACAGGTTAAAGATAGGGGCAAATGGAGAGAAATATATGTACGAGCAATCTAAGCATTTGTATACAATTTTTTTTTTTTTATCAGACCTATACAATCTTTTATATAAACTAACATAAACTGTTCAAATTATCAGAGACATAAGATTGTAAAGAAGAGAAGGTGCCTATAATAGAATCAGAACCACCAGATTGAAGCACTTGTGTTTGAAACTCTTTTTTTTTTTTTTCAAGATTAGGCATTGGATTAACGGTAAAAACGTCGTTTAAACTATGAATTTCCTAAAAACGTCAACTAAAGCATGAAATTTCCTTTAAACCCTTTAAACATAAAATTTTTGTTCACTATCATTTTTAAATGTCAAATATTGTTGACGAAACAAAAATAATCATGTCGCAAAATTTGATAACGGAGCAACTAGCGTCCGTTTACTATGTCATTAATCAATCCGTTATCGATAAAATGACGCTATTTTGTTAATTGGAAAAATGCCTTTAAACCATGAAGTTTCAAAATAACGCCAAAAAACTTTTCAAAAAATAATTTAAAAGATCAAAATAACAACGCCATAAAGACACTAAATGTCGCTGAATGTTTGGTTTCGGTGAAGGTATGCTTGCAAATTGCCATTAAATGTGTCTAGTGGCAGTCCTCTTATTTATTTGCTTTTATGGATCACTCGTTTCCTCTCGCTTGGTCTTATACTTCTGTACGTGGGAAAACAGGTTGGCAATGTGGGTAAATCATTATTTGTGTAGCTTGCTTGACCAGCACCAATGTTCTAAACTTCTAATATCTACAAGAAAGTCTAAGACCAAGTGAGAAGAAACGAGTGAGGGCGTCTGCCGTCTACCTGATCTGCGTCAACTCTATCCATCATATAGCAAATAAATAAGAGAACTGGTCTGCCACAAGACACATTTTATGGCAATTTGCAAAGCATACCTGACAAAAACCAGCGTTGACAAAAGGTAGCAGCCAAATTCTGTCTAACAAACGCTTGCACACCACTAAAACTTCCCTTGTGCCCTTTGATCAAGTGAGCCTACAAAATTTAGAAGGGCAAAAGGGCACAGACTGAGGACAACATAATTTAGAATGGACCATATTAAACAAAAAGTTTTTACTGATAATATAAAGTAGAAATACTAGATAAGAAGGACTTTTGTCTTCGGGCTTTTTGATAAGTTTATGGATCATGAAATGGATTAATGGACTTTACCCCAAAGAAATGAAATCGATTTATGGACTTTTAATTATTGACCCATTTCAATACTTTCGACTATCTTTTATTTCATATTGGTCCTACTCCTTCAACGTTAATAATTAAAACTAAAAACTAATGCAGGTGCGGATTTAATTTAAAGAAACACTAAATTTATTTCGAATTTCTATGAAAATAATTTGGTTAGTGTCATAACTAAAACAAGTAGTGCCGATTGTCGGAATCAATGACTATAACGTAAAACAAAGAAGAGAAACCATAGCTAAGAATTAGCCCAGGCGAGATTATTGACTCTCTATCTTTTAGCTGCCTATTGTATTGTGGTTGTGATCACATCCCCTGATGAGAGATGAGAGATGAGAGATGAGAGATGAGAGCATATTCGTTGCATATATCAGACGGTCCAAACACACATGTATACTCATCAATCATAACACAACCACTTCACTATTGTGTACTACAACCCAACGATATAAATATTTTTCTGTGGATAAATAATTAACTCTCATCGTAGTCATATAGCGTTGGCGACATAGCGACTCGGAGTAGTGTGTTGAGGAAACGACAACATATAGGACACGTGACCTTAGCTTATCACAAAGTTACGAAAAACAAAAAGGTAACAAACAATTCCCCCACGTGTTAAACAACCATTTTTTTTTTGTTATAACTCTCAAGTCTTTTTCTTGTAACAAACATCTCTCAAAATATAATAATTCAAATATCTATATATAATAGCAAACCCACTTTTTATGATTGCTGATGTCATCGTTTTAATCTAACGGATGAGATGTTTTGATTATCTTATCTAACGGTTTATATTTGTTAATGATGTCAAAAGTTGCAAGGTTTTATATCCAACAATTGTGTTTATTCGTCATACTCCCAGATTTTATATATAACAATTGTGTTTATTCGTCGTATCTCTAGCTTTAAATGTTCACACCTGTTATTTTTCACATCTTTTTGTTTTCACACCTTTTTGTTTATATATATAGATTTATGTGGACCTTGAAAAGAGTTTTTGTTTGTCTGAGTATTGTTGCACATCTCTCAGTTTAAAAAAATCTAAGTATTATTTTTCTATTTACTAATCGGCGTTGACCGACTCATGTTCAAGCATATTCCACTTTTTATGATTGCTGATGTCATCGTTTTAATCTAACGGATGAGATTGTTTTTGTTATCTCATCTAACGGTTTATATTTGTTAATGATGTCAAAAGTTGCAAGGTTTTATATCCAACAATTGTGTTTATTCGTCGTACCCTCAGGTTTTATATCTAACAATTGTGTCTATTCGTCCGCCCTGGGCAAAATATTCGTTAGATTCGCTTCGCTTCGATATTCGTTTCGATTCGATTCGAAAAATTCAAATATCTATAAGATATTGAACCGAAGCAAATATGAAAATCTAGTATTCGTAAAAACCGAAACAAATAACAAATATTGATTTTTTTAGTGCCGAATATCCGCTTCGCTTCGTATATTTATATATATGTATAAATATAAATTATTATATAATATATATAATATGTGTATTTATAGATTTGGGTATATATCTGATAGGCCTATTATTCAAATTATTATATTTTGGCTCGTTGGGTCTTTTTTTGTTAAATGTTGTTTTTAAGCAAATAAAACTTTACTAGAAAAATCATTATTAAAAATAAAATGTGAAAATTCTTTCGACGGTGGTTACATTTCCTTCTTATTTTGAAAACATATCAAATAAAAACCTCTAATATTTCATATTTTGCACTTTATATTTATATACTATATGTTTTTAGTTTAAAAAAAAAATAGATGCGTCGAAGCGAAGCGAAGCAAGTAATTCGCAAATATTACGAAAAATATTCGAATATCCGAAGTTCCGAATACTCGAAAATTTACGAATCGAAGCAAATAGCAAAATCAACTATTCGGTCGAGGCGAAGCAAATAACAAATATCACAAATTTTCCGAATATTCGCTTCGTGCCCAGGGTTACGTCGTACCCTAGCTTTAAATGTTCACACCTGATATTTTTCACATCTTTTTGTTTTCACACCTCTTTGTTTATATATATAGATTTCTATGGAACTTGAAAAGAGTTTTTGTTTTTCTAAGTATTGTTGCACACCTCTGAGTTTAAAAAAATCTAAGTATTATTTTTCTATTTACTAATCGGCGTTGACTGACTCATGTTCAAGCATATTCTTTCTCATTGATGTTTCTTTAGGCATTGTTTATGTTCCTATAATGTTATGTTAAATTTAGTTGAATATGTAGAGTTGTCTTATTAGTTTTATGGGACTAATGATTCGTTGGTGTTTGAAACATGTATTATGATAGAAATAGTTGAACTTTGTATCCAAAAAGCTTCTTAGATTTTGTGAAAGGAAAAGACATGGATTTTTAATACTCTTTTAAGGGCAGTAGCTATAAGTTTATTTCATAATTGCGTTGACAGCTTTGTTTTTTAAATAAAGCAAAAGAAGGGGCACATTAAGAGAAAAAATGGCCGTTCATAAATGTTGAACTCTTTTGACTCTCTAGGATCATCAGTATTAAAATGCAGCGATACCAACAGAAAAATATCATTTGAAGGATAAAGATAAAATTGTAAGAAAGCTTTCTCAGTCTCACAAATCTAATATATCATAATATAATATAGAAAAAGTAAAGAAAATAAATTCGTAAATTAAATTAAAAAATATACAGTTAGAAGATTATAATCAATCTTCCACTTAAAACCGTTATTTAACAATGTTAATTACTTTAAGTTTTCATTTTCCGGGCTGACAGCCCTAGTATTCAATAAAAGAAAATGCTATTTCACAGTTACATTTATATATTATTTATAATAAAAAAAGGAAAAATGATGAGAGCTTTCTAGAATCCAAGTATCTCAAATTCTTTTTTAACTTTTCTATTAAGAGACTGTTTAAAGATTTTATTTAACTAATAATTATTATTTATTCACATCCACCATCCAATTACACTAATTATATACCACACAAGTACATGAACTCCATTACTTAGTCGGTAGAACGTTAAAAAGCACAGTATCATGCTTTAGTGCTTACAGCAATTGGAAAACGCTAAAATAATTAATTAAAAAAACATAACGAAGGAAGCGAAACGCGAGAGACCGACGCAGTTTTGGCAGACACGCGGCGTCCAGGAATCGCATTATTCCGACAACACACTCTCTTCTTCTTCTTCCAGTGTTCACATTCTTCACTCTTCTTCTTCTTCTATTTTTTAATTTCATTCAACAACACTCTCTCATTCACCCTTTTATTCTAAATGTCTTTTTGTCAAAAGTTTTATTACAATTGTACTAGTATTAAACTACAAAAAGAGATATCTATACTATTATAAAAGAAGCTGTAATAATAATATTATCCATCACTCATAAAAATCAGCATTGATAATTAAACCCTTTCCGTTTATTAGATTTGTGTCTTTACTGTTTCTCAATCCGATCATTGATGACGATGATACTTCACGTCAATAACCAAAAAAAAATAAAAAAAACTTGCGAGCAAACAAGAAAAACTCATTTATGGCACTTTCAGAAAAGCTTTATCACTCTCACTCACCAGTCACCACGCAAATTTAAAAACAGGATTACTCTCTTCCTAACGTCCTCGTGATCTCCAAAATTTACATTTAATCCATATTTAGCTAAATTATCCTTTTAAAAAAAAGACAATTATACAATGTCGTCATAATAATAATAAGGTCATATATATATGACTAATCAGCAAATTAGAAATATATAAATAAACAAAAAGAAACTAGAGATTCCCAGTGTTTTTTTTTTGCAATGTGACTAGATTTTGTGGTGTTGTTAATGAGGTAAATATGTCTACATTTTTTTGTTTGCTATCTATAAATATACAAATCTGATTATTATGTACTAATAATAAAGAATGCAATCCTCCCTTTTTTAATTTAGATAGATACGAGTTGTTTTTTCTTTATTATTTAATCTTTTGTTAGAAAAAAAAAAGAAGATCAGACAAAAGTCTTCAGTTTCATACTTGGGGCCTTGGGGGGTTTGTTTTTTTTAATTTAAAAGTAAAAAATGAAAATTAATTACATAATAAATATTTTTTTAAAAAGGATCAGAGTGAGAGAGAGAGAGAAGAAGCGTTTCGTCCTGCTCGTTTCCTTCTTCCATTAATACAAAGCAATCCTACACATAAAGCTTTTATTCATCTCTCTACTTCAGTTTCTTTATCCTCATTTTTCATCTGAGACTTAAAACCTCAAAATCTTGGAAAAGAAAATACAAGAATCCCAGTTTCTGATTCTCATTTTCCCATCATCTCTTATAATCGCAAGTTTCGATTTTTCTCTCTTTTTTTTCTTAAAAACCCCAGAAGCAGCTCTGTGATCTTCTTGTTGTGCAGTTATCTTCTCTCTTTTTTTATTTTTTGGTTTGGTTTGGTTTGGGGGAGAGTATAAAGGGGGAAAATTAGGGTGAGAATCTGAGTGTTGGGATATACAGAAACGATTAAAAGGAAAGAAAGTTATATTGGGAATTATAAAGCTACCATATTGGGATTTGTGGTGTGTTTCTTTTCTTTTCTTTTTTAAAATTTAATTAGAGAAGACCAGAAATTATGAAATTTCCAAACTTTGTGTTCCCTTCCGTGGACTAGAATCTGGTTATAAAGAGATCTTATCTTAATTCAGAGAGATTTTCTGACTGACAAAGAAGCAGAAGAAGAGTGTAGAGAGAGAGAGAAGAATGTGGTGGTGGTGTTCTTCAACTAAAGGTCGTTCGAATCTTGAGAGGTTTCTCTTAGGAATCACTCCTAAGCCTTCTTTGTTCTCTCTTCCTCAGGTAAACTCTCTCTCTTTTTTTTTTTTTTAATTCTTTCTTCTCTTTGAGTAGTAATCCTTGATTTAGGGGATAATTAGAAGAGAGTCTTAAGTCTCAATTAAAGAACTTATTTAGTCGGGTTGTGTCTCCTTTCTCTCAAATCTGTGTCTCTCTAATCAACAGATTTTGTCCTAAAGGTCTTATTTTTAAAAAAATTAAAAATCACGGGATGATGTATCAGAAGACAACCTAAAACCTGTAATATATATATATATATATATATATATATATATTTTAATGATTTGGGTGGTGATGAGATTTGGCAAATAGAGACAATAATTGCATGGTCCATCATCATCTAGAGCTAAAAAATTATCTATGAAAATCTATAATCCCTTTAAAATGGTGTCACATCGTTTTATTGATTCTGTCTCTCCCACGTGGAAGAAACGTGCGACATGATTTGCTTTACTTTTTATTATTATTTTATTCAGTCCTGAGTTTTTGTTGAATCTTCTTCTTCTTCTTCTTGATGCTCGCTCACTGGATCTGTCTATATCATTAGAGATGGCTTGTCTTATTTGGTTATTATTATGGTTTACGTCTTGTGTTTATGGATTAATCTCAACTGCTTGAATTGTTCTGAACAGCTTAATCATATATTGTGATTTGCATTTGAGGTTTTGAGTGATCTTTTGAGAATCCTTGGCAGGAACAGGGAAAGGAGGAGATCGACTACTTCAGGCTTCCTGATCTCTGGGACTGTTACGATGAGCTGAGTGCGTATGGCTTTGGAACACAGGTCGATTTAAACAATGGTGAAACTGTTATGCAGTACTATGTCCCGTATCTATCAGCCATCCAAATCTACACTAACAAACCCGGCTTGATTTCCAGGTTTCTTTTCCCATTTTATTTCTTAAAGACATTTAAGTTTTGTTGTTTTTGAATAGAGTCTGAATTCTTTAACGACCCTTGTCTTGTTTGTTTGACAATGGAAATTGCAGGAACCAGAGTGATGTGGTTGAATCTGAGAGCAGCGAGTGTTGGAGCGATAGCGAGAGTGAAAAGTTGTTGTCAAGGTCGATGAGCAACGATTCCAGCAAAACATGGGATGCTGTCTCGGAAGACTCGGTTTCTGATCCGGATGGTGCACTGTTGCTGAAAGATAGACTTGGTTACCTTGACTTTAAGTTCATCGAAAGAGATCCTCCGTACAAGCGGGTTCCTTTAACTGACAAGGTTCTCTTCTCTCCCTTCATTTCTCTTAGTTCTTTTTTCTTCGTAATGAACTTTGGTTTTGATACAGAAATGTACTCTTCTTGATTCTTGTTCAGATCAGTGAACTGGCGGAGAAATATCCTGCACTCATGACCTTGAGGAGTGTCGATATGTCTCCTGCAAGTTGGATGGCTGTTGCTTGGTAAGTAGTTTTGTTTTTTGGGTCAATACAACCCTTCCCTTTTCGTTAACAACTTAGTTAATTGTATTTCCTGACTGAGTGATGAATTAGGTACCCGATCTATCACATCCCAACCTGCAAGAACGAGAAAGACTTGACGACTGCCTTCTTAACTTACCACACTCTATCTTCGACTTTTCAAGGTACGTGTGACCCAAAATTCTTGATCAGTGGCGTTATGAACAAGCACCATTTCTGGATGCTAACGGCTTTGAAAGCTGCTGCAGATAATGTGGTGGAAGGAGATCAGAGCAACAACAAAGACCAGGAGGAAGAAGTAGATCTGTTTGATGAAGAATCTGTTATGAACAAGAGAATCCCATTGCCTCCATTTGCTTTAACGAGTTACAAAATGCAAGGTGATCTCTGGGGACAGACAGGATTTGATAATGACCGGTTGGGTTATCTTCAAAGCGCTGCGGATTCATGGCTCAAACAGCTCAATGTTGATCACCATGACTTTAACTTCTTCTTAAACTCGAGCTTCTAAGATCTCAATCTCGTCTTTGCTCGTTTATGTTTTATCGTTTCTCCAAACCTTTTTTTTTTTTTTTTTTTCTTGTGAAAAAAACATAACCCTGAACATTTCTTTCAAGCTCCTCCTCCTCCTCTTTCCCTTCTCTGTGTTTTTCTGTCTGGCTCGTTGTGTTGTTTTAGGTAGCAACCGCCGTCGCTGAGTTTTTCCTCCTGTTGCAAAAGCCAATCATGGAAGTTTCTAAGAGAGATCATGAAACAGAGTTTTTTTTTTTCTTTCTTTCGGTTTTTTTTTTTGTTTTTTGGTTTTACAGTGATGAGAAAACAAGAAAAGTTCTTTTTTCTTGGGTGAGACGGATGTAAATGGATCCTGTGAACAGAGTACTCTGTTTTGTTTTTGTACTTTTCTGTCTAAAATATATAAATAAAATCTCTTTTTTGTATGTCGGTAAAGAGATGTCGTTGGATTTGACTTATGTCCTTTGTTTTCTATTTTTTTTTTTAATTTTTTAAATTTTAGTGATGAATGTTATGATGATGACGATATTTTGTCTTGACCATAATAATCAGTTACAGTTTTTGACTTAAGAAATGATATATTCCGACTCTTTCTGTAACGTGTATTAAGAAACGGAAGTCGAAACTTGAAAGAATTGAAAACTGAAACAGTCGAGCTTTCTAGTTCAACAAACTCTTTATACTTTACTGTTGCAAACTTGTTTAAAAAAAAATCAAAGACATTATTTATATTGGAAAAAGGAATATATTATGTGAAAATGAAAAGATGTGAGAGTTACCACCGTATATACAGTATACTAAATTAAAAAAGAAATGAAAATGATTCTATAGTAAAAATACGTTACAGTGAAAAGAGATTATAGATTAGATAAAAGTAAACAATTATTATTGGTGAATGTGTTAAGCACGACATCAAATACTTTTCTCCCAAGTACAAAAAAAAAATTAGAAATGATGGTAAACTATGTTAATACTCTGATATGATGCTTACAAAAGCTGCGATATTAGTTTTCTTAACCAAACAAACTTAAACGTTTTACAATTGAATGCTTTAATGTTTTCTTGTAGTGAATTTCTTTCCTCTGTTTGGAAGATGTAGATGGAGAAATCTACATTAAATTATAAATTTCCCTTTCACATTTCAACTTTCACTCGAAAACTAAAAGCTTTTACAAGTTTTTGTGTCGTTTTCTTATTCCTACAAGAAATATAAAAATTGAGGAAATCTTAGAAAGAGATGACTGAAACAAATAAAGAACTAGGCGAGATTATTCAAACACTGGAAACATCCACCAAAACCATCCAGGGTTTATGTTTTTTTTTTTTTTTTTTTCTATCTTTCATCATCAATCATATGTTCTTTCCCTTTTTACATGGTATAATTAAGTTGGTAATCGATAGCAAAACCGTGAGTGCAATTTCGGAAACAAAGATCATCTGTAACAAGATATAAACTTCAAAGCAAATTATTAATTAGACAGACTTACTGAGTGAAAGATTGGCATATTGAAGTGGACAAGAAACGAAAGACGTATAGAGTCAAAGACACCTATAACTAGAAGAGTCAGTTTGATGTTGTTACCTTTTTGGTTCTAAATCATTCTTCAAACCATATCATATCTCCTACCTGCACAAAAATATAGAATTAGACGAAGCTTCGATAAAGTTAATTTTTAAGTTTGAAATTAAAACAACAGCCTAAGTGAAAAAACATATAATTCACATTCTCATCAAAAACTTTTAAAAAAAAAAAATTAAATTTGAGGAAGCGGGCTGAGTCAAGACAAAGTCCTAGATTACCTTCTAAAATCAGTTTGATATTGTTCTACAAGAACGTCGGTGATCTTTTTTGTTCTAAATCTACTTAGACTCTGATGGTGTATTAATCTACTTCGACCTTTTATGTTCCGCAAGTTGATCTTACATTTCATAACATCATAAAATTTGTGATGGCTATAATTTTCCTCAATCAGATTGGTAGTGCTATTTGTAACATCACCATCCTGAAATTTAATGAAAAGGAATCAAAGACTTATAATAGTTTATTACCTGTGGAAGAGAATTGTTGGCATGAGACAATCAAAAGTACCTTTTTGTTCATAGGGTTTTGCTTTGAATTTTGGTGCCTTGTCGAGTTCCACTTCAGTTGCACCTTGTTGTTCAACAAACAATAAAAAAAATAGAAGGATTACTGGTTGAGGGAGAAAGATAAACTTGAAACAAGAGAAAATAAAGAAGAGCAAAGAGGAATTTGAGATAACTTACAGAGCAATAAGAAGAGGAGGTTTTTTTTCCATCGTTTGGGTCCATAATCCAGCATCAACCCTAATAATAATGAGAAAAACGTGAATCTCCATATATCTCCGTCATCTACATAATCAGTAATAACAAAACAAAAAAATCTCAAGTCTCACTTATGGATGGGGAACTGAGCCGAACACATTGAGTAATTTTGTTGAGTAATGGGATGGCTTGCCTGACTTGTTCGTAAACAGCAATGAAGTCTGCTTGTCGACGATTGAGCTTCTTCTCTCCTTCACTGATGACTTGTTTTTGTAGAGAGCTGTTTCATGGAATCTCAAAAAGAAACAAACCCATTAATCAAGATTCTATATACAAAACAAAAATCATATTTAAGAAAGCAAAAAAAATAGATGAGATTTGAAAAAACACACAGTAGACCCCGAGAATATATACATTTTCTCATAGTGGAGGTTCTCACCAAAGTAGATGAGAGAGTTGAAGAAGAAACGCCATGTCCTCTTAACATCTATCACTTGCAAAGGCAGGAAACAATACTCGACCAGATTATTCATCAACAATGCTTGGATTCTAAGAGTAGACAAGAGAAGCTGATAAGATATAACACACAAAAGAAAAAGGAAAAGAGATTATTATTGGTTAAGGGATAAAACAGAAACATAAATAAGGATCTTAATAAGTTTTTACTTACAGAGGATTTTTTCCATTGTTGGTGGTGATTTGTTGTTGTTGTTGTTGGGCTGGTCATCCCTAAAATTATGCATGCGAAGAGAGAGAGTGAACCATACAAAACAAAATCTCCATCATCAAGATCCTATACACAAAAAAGAATTCAAAATTAAGAAAGCAAAACATTCAGATGAGAGTTGAAGAAACACACAATAAACCCCAAGATTATTTACATTTTCTCATAGTGGAGGTTCTTGCCAAATCATATGAGAGTTGAAGAAGAAAAGCCATGTCCTCTGATCATCCATCACTTGAAAAGACACAAAAATAATATTTCCAACAGATTATTATATTCATCAACATTGCTGGGATTCTAAGAGTAGAGAAGAGAAGGTGAAGGTGATAATATATATAACTCACAAAAAAAAAAAAAGAGATAGTTATTGATTAAGTGAAGTGAATACTTACAGAAGATTTTTCCCGTTGTTGTTGTTGACTTGAGTCAGTCATCCCTAAAAATATGCATGCGAAGAAAGAGTGAGCCATATCCATCATCTAGAGAAGCAACAAAGAAAACAATGCAAAAACCTCAGTTTGTTTTTCTTTGGTTATGAACCTTCTTCATTCTTCAAAACATAGTATATCTCCCATCTGCACAAAAATATAAAAATTAGAAGAAGTTTGGTTAAAATAACATCCTCAAGTGAAAACAAAATCACAGTCACATTCCCATCTTACTGTCTTACGCCGGCAACCGTTTTTGTTCTGTATCTACTTCATCCTTCAAAACAAAAAAGTTTTTAACACTCCTTTGCATGCAGTGAAAAGATTCAACACATTAGAAAGAAAAAAAAAATTAAGAGGAAGGGGACAAGACAAAGACCTAGATTACCTTCTAAAAAGCATATTCGACTCACTTTTATGGAAGTGACAAGGGAATAAAGAACTAGATTACCTTCACATCGATCAATTTGATGTTGTCACTTACTGTAAGAACGCCAACGACCGTTTTAGTTATGAATCTACTTGGTCCTTGAATAAATCTGATTCATTGTCTTGGTTGGAACATGAATACACACCCGTTTGTTTCGTTTCACCCAAAAGAAAGAAAGAAACCCGTTAATTAAGATGCCACATACAAATACAAAACTCTTATTCTAATAGCAAAATTGATTCATAGGTTTAGAACGATACCTCTGACTTGTTTTGCTCTCTCGTCCCCATTAGAATCACAAGCTCTCTTGTCACCATTAAAATGAAGAGTCTATGAGAACGAAACTCTAAATTTCAAAAAAAAGAGGAAATTGTTGTATGTTGTAAGAAAAAATGGAAATTAATCGAAACGTCTATAATTGAAACGTTGATAAAAAAGTAAAATAAAAATAAATAAATTCACCGTCTGGACTTGGGCTTTTGTTGTTTGTTAAGCCATGGGCTTTTTTTATGACAAAAAAAGTCGTGGGCTTTTCTGGTATAATAGATGTTATTTTAAATAGAAGGATATAACTAGCAAATTTATCTATTTTTATTATTATATTTCGAGACTAAATATATGTGTGTCTTAAATTTTTTAACATTTGATTTCAAACAAACTTTAAAGTACAAATGTACAATACACAATAGACTATTTTTTAATATTTGAAACTATAATTAATCTGGCAGTAGATTATCTTAAATATGTATATATATAATTTTTAGAGATTTAAAAATTAATTTGTGTAGATTTTCATGTATATACCATAGGTAATAAAATCTAAAATATCATCCAGTTAAAATAATTGACAGAAATTCAATCTTAAAATCAAATCATTAGAAAAGTATCCTATATATTTTATATTCATATTCTAAAGATACTAAATATTACCAAAAGAAACATTCCTTTTTTTTTTTTTTTGTCGCAAGAAACATTCTAAAGATACTAAAAATTTATGATTTTATTTCCAGAAACGATTAAAATTGATGGTTGCTTTCCTTTGTTATCTATATTTTATTTATTTATTGGGTCAAATGTTCTCAATATTTTCTTCTCCGAGTCATTAGTTTGAAGAAATTAAGATTCGCTTTTAGTTAGCTATATACTCTTTTGATAATGTTTTTTTTTTCTTTGGATAAAAAAAAAAGGGGATAATAATTATTTTTTGGGCAAATTGTTTGGTTGGAAATTTGGAATTGATTAGAGAGTGAGTAGTAAGTACCATCCCAATTTAATCATCCCTTTCTCTCTTCTCCTTCTTCTGTTTCTTCTCCATCATTCAAAGTGACAATGAAGTACACGACGTTACGCGTCTTCTTCTTTGCTTGATTCTTTAGCAAGAAATCTTTTCCCCTCTGGCACTAGTCGGAATCGAGAAACTTGGAGCATCCATCCCCGGAGATGGTTTCGTTTGCGGGTTTCGTGTTCGTTTTCGGATTTCTACTGGGGATTCTCGCGATCGTTGCGGCGGAAGTAATTGGGTTTTTGTATCTTGTGAAGCGGCTGAATCGGAAGAGTAATCGACAGGAACCGAGTTCGGGTTCTGATCCAACTCATAAGAACTTTGATCCTCGCCAGTCCGTTGATTTCAGTCTCAGCAAACAGGTGAACAGAACCTCTTGCGTTTTTAAAGTTTTCTGCAGTGAACATTGAGTTTATTGCATTGGTAGTCTCAGTGAAGCCCTAATTTAGTCTGGTTCATAATTTTGAATATCCCTAATTTTGAATCGAGGTTCACTAATTTGCTGAGAAAATGTGAGTTTTGAGTTTAGTCGGAATTGGAATCTAGTGGGTTGGTTTTGTGACTGCTTTGATCATTTTCGCTATTTTTAGATCTCTGCAATGAAAGCTGTTTGATTTCATTTTTCTTTATGCCTATATCTCAGGGAGTGATCTGGATTTTGGAAATGGACGAAAGTGTAAAGGATTGGATGAAGGAGAAATTGCAAAAGGAGCAAAAGAAGAAGAGACTAGATCTCTTGGAGGTACATCCAGTTAGGAGATTTGCTCGTATCAAAGACCATAAGCTCATCTTGTCAGATTCAGATGGCACTCAGACTTCTATTACTTTGAAAGGTTGCTTTGTTGACGCTGTTTCAGGGTCTGGACCGACTAGGAAATGGTACGATTGTCAAAATTTTAGTTCTCGAATCCATTCTTGTAAATGTCCTCAACTTTATTATTCATATCCCTTTGTTTTGTGTTTTCTTAGGGCTAAAAGATTTCCTATACAAGTAGAAAGCAAAACTTCTGTTTTGTACAAGGGAAACCGACTGTTGTACATTTTCTTAGAGACTTCTTGGGAGAAGGAGTCATGGTGTAAAGCTCTTCGTCTTGCTGCTTGCGAGAATCAGGAAAGGTTTATTTGGTCCACCAAATTGAAAGACGATTTCCGAATCTATTTGGCTTCCCTGAATGCAGCATATCCTTCTTTTATGAAACCATCAGCTGGGTTTAGTTTTGAGTCACTGGACAAAGGGTTTAAAGTGGATGGTCCCTCATCAAAGGTTCGTTTGTTCTGGAAGAAATTTTCGAAAAAGTGCTCGACTAAAGTAAATTTGCCCCCGTCAATTCGTGAAGACAAGAAGACTTCAACCCGCCCTTACCAAGATTCACAATCTACTGGTAGCTCTGGGAAAAGCACCCCAGCTAGAAAGATGCAAGATAACATTCCTGAGGAAACCGATGTCCAAGTGTACTCACGTTCTTGGAGCCATAGCAGTCATGCATCAGATGTAGATTCAGAAGATAAGTCTTTTGATGAAGGAACACTGGCATTGAACGTACTAATTTCGCGGCTGTTCTTTGATGTCAAACAGAACAAAGTGCTGAAGAATTTAGTTCGCGAACGAATCCAGGTATGTTCATTAATATGAAAGTTCACTAAATCAGGATTTTGGCTGCGTTTATTTTTTATCTAACTTTTCTTTTGATTAAACAGCGGGTAATGTCCAACATGAGACTTCCCAGCTACATAGGCGACTTAATCTGTTGTGATGTAGACATTGGAAATCTCCCACCTTATATACACGGTACAAGAATTCTTCCAATGGAGATGAATGGTGTGTGGGCGTTCGAACTAGATATTGAATACACTGGCGGTGCGGGAATTGATGTTGAAACTCGGGTTGATGCCCGAGAGGAAGATCTGCAGAAAGGCATTGCTGAGGGAAAGTTGCAGCCAAATCCTGCTGGGGATGTTCCACCTGATCTCCTTGAAGGTCTTGCAGATTTTGAGAAGCAATTAAGTGTCCCCGGAGGAACTGTTGATGCACAAGATGTGAAAAATGGTGGAACTGATAAAGCTGGTTAGTACAGTCTTTTTTTATTGGTTTATGTATTCATCTAATTATTTTGCTTGTGATCTTGCATAATGCTTAGAAGCATTAGACCAAGGACTAGAAAATAGACTGATATTTAATTTTTGCAGGTGAATCTAAGGGTCCAAAAGGTACAAAAGCAGCTCCGAGCAATGGATCCAAGTGGAAATCTATTCTGAAGAACATTGCTGAACAAGTTTCCCAGGTTGATCTCGTTTTTCTGTTATGTTTAGAAGACAGTTTCGTTGCTTGTTGCGCTCTTGGTTCACAGTGCCCAACCTGCACGACCACAACAACCTGCACGACCACAAATTGTGGTGTGATTAGTAGGATCTGAAAGCAGAATTACGAGCACCTTTTTTTTAGTTCTTCTAGTATCTTAGACCATCTCAATTTGTAAAACTGCAGGTCCCTATTACTTTGTCTATAGGGGTGTCTTCGCTTCGAGGGACACTCTGCGTACATATGAAGCCGCCTCCATCAGATCAACTGTGGTTTGGCTTCACAAGCATGCCCGATATTGAATTCAACCTTGTCTCTTCTGTTGGTGAACACAAAATCACAAACAGCCATGTTGCTATGTTCTTGGTCAACCGGTTCAAGGTAAGCTGTTGCGATCTTTTTTTTTTGTTTCAGAAGGAATTTGAACTAACCCAGAAGACAAAAACAAATTCTGCAGACGGCAATACGAGAGGTCATGGTGCTCCCCAATTGTGAAAGTTTAACCATTCCTTGGATGACAGCTGAAAAGGATGATTGGGTCGAACGCAATATTGCTCCATTCATGTGGCTGAATCAAGACTCGACCAGTGATCACGACAATTTAGAATGTGCAGAAGCGAAACCTAAAGCTGACAAGCCACCGACTTCTGAACAAATGCAGAAAACTGCCAACGTTCCCCAGAAGCCTAGAATTGAGGAAGAACCCGTGTTTGCACCATCAGCTAATTCAACATCTCTGATAGTAGAGAGTGACAAATCCTTGGACGAACTCCAGACTCCGTTGCTGGAAAGCAGTGAAAAGCAGGATTCGATGGCACAAGGAGGCAATGCCAGAGATATTACTCCGAGTAGTATTCAATCACCGTCAATGTCTACTGTGTCGAGCGAGGAGGATGATTCGCATTTAAAGGGAAATAAAATGGGGGCAGCAAAGGCGAGGATGTTCGATTTCAGGAAGAAAGTGGGAGAGAAGTTTGAAGAGAAGAAACGTCACGTGGAGGAAAAAAGTAGACAGATTGTTGAAAAGATGAGAGGTCCTTGACACAGAAGAAGCTTTTCTTTCTTTTCTTTTCTTTTTTTTTTTCTTTTTCAGGTTTCAGACAAAAACAAAAACTGATAGTCAATAGATTAGAGTATAGGATACTGGTACTTGTGTTCAAATGTTTGGTATAAATATCTGATTATTGCGAAATCATTCTTTATTCTTATTATTACAACAAACAAAGAGTAGCATCAAAACAAAGTATCTATGCAAAGTGATTTCATACACATAAAGATAGCATGAACAAAGACCAAAAGCAATGACACAACTCACACAAGGAACATTTCCATCTAGTAATCTTCAGGAGCCAAGGGCTGGTGTGTGTGGTGAGTAGGTGGCTCGGTGGGTATGACCATGTACTCATATATAAGGGCGGCTAAGGCACCGCCGATGAATGGTCCGACCCAATAGATCCAGTGGTCATGCCACCTCCATCCTACCAATGCTGGACCAAAGGCTCTGGCTGGATTCATTGATGCACCAGAGAATGGTCCACCCACTAAGATGTTTGCTCCAACAATGAGTCCGATTGCAAGCGGCGCTATGATCCCGAGGCTTCCACGTTTCGGATCAATCAAAGTAGAATACACGACGTAGACTAAGCCAAATGTTAAAATGATCTCTAGAACAAGTCCATTAACCGCTCCAACACCTGATGCTACACGGAAACCGACTGGTCTCTGCATGAACACAAACTATTTTTTAAGTCTTTACTCGTTAAAACGGAATTCCAAAACTGATAACGAGTGGGTTTGATCATAACCCTAAATTATTGTAGGCTTATCTTACTTGACCTATAAACATATCGCATTTAGTATTACCATGCCGTTCGTGGCGAGCCTTAACAAGAGACATGCGAGAATGGCTCCAAGAAGCTGAGCGATCCAGTAGTAGATGGCACGGATCGCTGAAAGTCTACCTCCAATAAGAGCACCAAAAGTGACCGCCGGGTTAACATGTCCACCAGAGACGTTGATGGCTGCTGAAACAGCAGCAAACAGAGCAAAAGCATGAGCCAACGCCACTAAAATCAATCCGCCTGGCGTGTTTGTCCCCGCATGGGCAGCGTGGTCCCAATACAACTTATCTGAGAAGACAAAAGACAACTCGTAAGTCATATCACATATGCAAAGATTTAACTATAAAGTCAGAACGGTGCATGTACGAACCGAGAGAGAGGATAGAGCCTTCAGCAGCAAAGACAAAGACAAAAGTGGAGAGGAATTCAGCTAAAGTGGCTCGAATAGAGTCAGGGTGTGTAGCCTCATCGGCTCTACCGAAACCATACGCTCTACGAGCTGATGTTGCCATTATTGTCTAACCCAAGATTAACAACCAAGCGTGACAAAGAAAGAGAGAGATAAAAGAGAGTTTAAAAGAAGCCAAAAGAAGCGAAGTCGAAGTAAAAAGGGACAGATGTGAGACTTGAATGTCTTAAGCTGGACACGTAGCTTCAAATTGCATGCAATTACTTAACCATATTACTTCAACGTTTTTCTTAGACTTCGTGTTCGTGCTACTTTCTTATCTTCTCCTGGTGAGGTTTTGGACGAACCTTAAGGTTCGGGATATTTATAATACATGTCGTCGCGTACGTGTTTATGTATGTGTATGTGTTCGGTTGACTATACATGCATGTGTGCCAAGTAGATAAACAAGTACGAAACTACGAATCTTCTAGAGCTGTGAAAACAATGAAACTATGCAGTTTTACGGCATATTAGTCTTGGGTTTTAACATCACAATAATGAAATTGTGATAATGTTGTTCTGATTTTGGCGGGTTAAACAACTGATAAGAAAAATGTAAAGGAAAAAAAACAGCGGTTTACATAACGGTTTCTGCCTGTTCTATTGAATCTTTATTACCATCCGAGAATCTCAAAACTGTAATCTCAATTCATATTTCATATCTGAATGTGACTTCTTCAGTCATGCGTTGTTAGCACCAGAAGCAGCAGCAGCCTCGGCCGCTTTCTTCTTCTCCCTCTTCTTCTTGTTTTTAAGAGCGTTCTTGCTCATCTCTCTGTATTAACACCAGAGCATCCATCAACATAAGCGCGACAGCTTCTCAGATTATGTATGTATGTATTACAAGATAGAGACTTACCCTGCACTGCTTCCTCCAAGCAACTGCAATTGCAAATAATGAAGCTATCAGAGACATATTTGATATATGACGCCAAATATCAATCGGAAACGGAAGTAACAGTGAATCTCATTGGTGATTTGGTTATGGACATGCATATTTAAGAGCTCACTGAGAGAAACTTTTTTTGTCATTTTCGTTTTCGTTTCAAGTATAAATCCGATGCATGACTGTGTGTGGTTAACAATTAGCAATTTGATATCACTGGAGATTATAGAAAAGTTGTTGAGTTACCTCAGCTTGAATAGCAGCTGCGTGCTTAGCATGCGGGGGTTGATATGCAGCCGGTTTCTTTGCAAAATCGTTGGGAACAATAGGTTTCTTCTGAGCTGATCCTTGTCCTAAGATAGATAAGTAGAAATCGTTTAAGAACATGATAACTTTTCGAATTTTTTTTACAATCAGAGACATGTTTAAGTAATTAAACAAATAGATTAGAACCTTGCGATTTTCCGTCGCCGAGTTTCAATGATTCAACTGACTTGATAAGTTCACTGATCTCACCGAACCTGTCCGGTGACTCTGGTTTCCATTCAGCCTGTAGGTAAATAACCATAGCACTCAAGTAAGACAATTTGTAATTAATGTAATTTTTTTCAAAGCTGTTGAAGAGACGGACCTGATACAGCCTCTCAAACATCTTCTTGAAATAAGGCTTTCCGTCGTAGTTGAAGATTTTCAACCTTCCAGTCAAGACAAAGACAATAAAAATACAACTTAAAACTAAGGAGAAACATAGAAAAATACCATCTCTGACAAACTTTATATATAACAGTGGCTGGTTCATATGTTAAAAGTCATGGATTATCACAGGCGGTCATGAGAACAAACAATTGATGCACAGTAATCATTTCACCACTCGATCTGTTCGAATAAGAAACCAAACTCAATAATGTGGCAAGAAGTATTCACATACCCATTGTCAATTTGAAGTCTTGGTGCTGTTGTGGCAGTCAAGAAATAACGCCCATCCGGAGACCATTCACTTGTTACAGAACACTCAGCTTTATTACTTCCTATCTGCTTCTTGTTGACAACATCCCAGAACGCCTGAATATAACACCATTTAGAGAGGATGTTACGAAAAGAAAATGAGAACTGATGACTAATTGTCACCCTAAAATTGAAAATATGAAGAACACAAGGTATAGTCATTTACCATATAACCAGGCAAGTTACCGAATCCAGCCACACACAAAACTGTGAAACATTGATTGAAAGTTACACAAATTCTCTGTTTGAAAAGAAACAACAACAAGAGACAAAGAAAAGAAGGATGAAGAAGAAAATCATACCTCTCCCTTTTGGGTTCCATCGAAGAGTGTTATAAGGACCTTCGCCAAGTTCCATCAAGGGTTTGCAATTCTTGTCAAAAATTGTCACACAAGCAGGCATAACTGAAGTCACAGTTGAGGAAAACCAATGTTCCAAGAAATCCATGCCCGAAAGAGCATATTGATGCAAAGCAAAACAACAATCTTAACAAGAACAGATTCAAATGCCAACTGATAAACATTATTCCTAAATGAACTCTTACAGATAAGCCGTTATAGCTGATGGAAAAAGGATACAGCCATATACAACTGCAAACTCTGAACCAGAATAGGACCACTGAACATCATGAACTGGTCCTTCTTTACCTGTTAAAGCACCAAAGAGTCAGTACCACCAGCAATCACAACAGCAGATATATTAAGATTAGGACATACGTAATGGAACAAGGCCCTCATGTGTGCCGTCTATTGTAAGGTAATGTAGCTTTGTTTCCCCATAATAATTTTGGTTGGTCTTGTCAACATCTGATTGTACAACCACTAAGAGTCCAGTGGAACCGTGGTTCCAACTAAACTGCACAGAAGAACAACGGAAAAAGCTACGTCGAGCACTTGGCTGACTCTGCATATCTTTCCCACATCCAAATATCTGGACACTGCCTGGACTCCCCTATACATGTAAGAATTAACATGTCAGAGTTGCTAGTCTACAGAGGAAACAATTATACATATGTTGTAGTGCAACTTTCAGAAAAAAAATACAGATAAATTTGCGAATGAGAATACAACAAGATATAGAAGGAAATATGTTTCTTTTACTGTTCAAAATCAGAATGCATTAACCCAAGCAATGAAAAGCACCTTTGATTCTGGAACAAACACAGCAATATGGGAAGCTGGCGTTTTAGAAAGCTCAAATGCAGCAACCCCAGGAACTCTGATCCGGGATGTTATTCCTTTCGAGAAATCTTTCGGGTCAAAGAAATGAATCTCGTTTGTAGCCAATCGGCATGCGGAAGATTCATCAGGACAGAAGCGAATCGATGGCCTACAGAGGAACAACAAAAACACCTCTTATGATACAAGCAGTATAATAAGGACAAAGACAATCTATATCTACGCATCTTATATGCTGGCAATTAAGCACTCAGACTTGCTTACCATGTGGTTTTAGTAATGGATTTTTGGTAATGACTATGTGCTAGATCTCCTGTCTCAATATTCCAAACAGAGACGTTCTTCTCCTGTGGAGTAGTGGGTTTTTGAAAAGTCTGAAGATAAGTCCCGCATGGAGATAGCTCAGCAGTGGTAACATTAGCTATAGTGAACGACCGCACTTCTGTCAAGCTGGTGGAATCATAGATAGTGATGATTCCATCTGATTTCATCGCCATAATCTTTGATCCATCAACACTGAACTTCGTGTTGGAGCATGAAACTCGTTCAAGCTTGAGAGTTGGTTGACCATTACTGAATGGAGGACCATTCCACACAAAGAAACCTTGAGCATCTCTAACTGTAAAAAATGTGACTTTAGAGACGAGAGAGAGAGAGATTTAAACATAACCTCAAAAATGAAATTGAGTTTAAAACACACGTACCTAAAATCTCCAAGGACGGTGAAGAACTCATTGCTTCCTTAAGATACCTGATTTAATTGCATTGATGAAAAGAAACAGCACTGTGTTAGAAGATCATCCAAAGTCACAAATTGAAGTCAACATTAAGGTCTTAAATTTCTACTGAACCCCTCTTCATCAATCAGTAGTTGCACAGGAATCACGACGGGTGAAACGAAAATCGCAAAATTACTTTACTGGGTCGAAGAAACACATTAAAGTAACCAACTTTTATATAAAACTTGTCAAGGTGAAGGGGAAGAAGAAGAAGAAGAAAGCACCTGAATGGAACACGCAACTCCAATCGGCGGGGAGGGGAGTCGTCGGTCGCTGTTGTGGCCGGGGCTTTAGCTCTGAACCGTCTAAAGAGATACCCTAACTTGAAATTTTTTATAAACCTCTAAATAATGTAGAAGGTTACTGTAATTTTAGTGATTTATAATTTACGACTCAAACCAAAAAAAGCTGTAAACTTAAAAAGGGTTTGTAGTTCTCTCTGGAGTACGGGTGCATCGTCTCTACTCTCTACCAGGTGAATCTCTTACTAATTTCGATTCAAGTTAGGTTTTTTCTTCAAGGATCGTGTCTGTTTATTAAGAATTGGGTTTCACTTTTGGTCTGTGATTTCTTCTCCGGTCTCTTCCCCTAGATTGTTCACAAAAACTGCTCGACCAAATTCCTCAAATAGAACCCTAATCTAATTCTTTCTCCGGCGAAATTCTGTATAGATTGTTTGAAATCTTTATGATATATAAGTTAGTGAACATTATTCTGTATTCTACATACTGTCATTTTCCCAAATTCAAAATTCTGTTATCAAAAGACAGAAGTCCCACTTTTGTTCAATTGTTTTGCTATTGTATAAGAACAAAGTAATTGACTCTGTACTTCAATGATACAACTTTCTTCGCCATTTGTCTAATATTTTTGTATATGTTTTTCTAATTCAATGATTTTCGTAGAAATTTGAAGAACTCCAAGATCCGGGTGTTCGAACATGGCGGAAGTAAGTCTTGGTATGCTTATAGACATTGTGGACGAAGAGTGGATGAGGGACACTTTACCTGATGATGGTAACCAATTTTTCCTTCCACATTATATACCTCAAGATCAGTATATTTTCCCCAAAATCCCATTTCATAGAAGTTTATTGTGGTGTTATACTGTTGCAGATCTTCCACTGCCTCCAGTGCTTGCTGTTAAGACTGATGATACTGAAGAAACTAGTATGTCTCTTTGTTCTGTTTTTGCTTTATTTAGCTATTTGATTCTATAGCTCTAATGTTATTGAAACATAGTCGTCTCTAGAAAGTAGAAACTGCTAGCTTTGTATTCACACTAGTGATGTAAGATAGTTAAACACCCATGTTGAATTCTCAAAATTTCATAAGGAAAACTACAAATACGCCACTTTGTTGTGTATGTTTCAAACACCGTGAAGCAAGTGTGAGCTCTACTTGACTAATATGATCCATCACATTGCGACTGTTTCAGATCAGGAAACTCAGCATGCAGATGCAGAAACTTGGCGCGATCTCGCACTGGATACACAGTAGTAGCCACTTGAGCACGATGGAAGCTTCTTTAAACTCTTTCGTTTCTCGCCTGTGTATGATCAGAAACAAAAAATTTCTTCATTTTGTATGAAGACATATTTTGCCTTGCCTATTTATTTAAATTAAAAAACCTTTCGTTAGTGGAATAAATTTGCTTCTAACCATGACGTCAGATTTTTCGCTGACGTGTGACGTGATGATTCGTTCGCGTGGTTGGCCAACTGTTTATATTTTAAATTTATCGAACAAGAAAAAAAAAAAAAATTCAGGTGGAGGAATATGCTGAGCTTATCACTGACACTGAGCAATCATGTTCCTCCATTAACGCTCTTACGTTATGAACGAAGAATCATCAAGCTCCGATGTCGATCGTCTCTTCTCTTTCACCAGATCTTCCGCACTAAACTCCTGATACCTTCGTCTTCTTCACCTGGAATTGTTGCTATTTCACCATCCTCGTCTCAAGTCGCCGTGCCGGAATTAGAAGACGAGGACCACTTCGATGACGAATTACGCCGTCTCTTGGCGCTGGTACCGGAGGAGATTCGACGCACATTGGAGGAGCATCCTGAGATTAGTGAACTCATTGAGATAGTGTTGGATTTAGGTCGTAAGCCTCTGGCGCGATTCCCTTCTGGGGATTTTGTTATCTCCGACGACGCTGTTAAGGTTAAGGATTTGGAATTCGCTGTCTCTCAGGTTGGTGAGTGTTTTTTTTTTTTGTTTTTGGTACCTCTCCGGCGAAATCTTCGTTTGACGAAAGCATCTGTAGCTGCTTGCTTACTAAGACCATGAATTGTTCAGGTTGGGGAATTCACTAATGATAATCGAGCTGGAATTAGTAGGACGTTGCATCGGATTAGTGCGATAAGGAATCGGAAAGGAGAAATCATTGGATTAACTTGTCGTGTTGGTCGTTCTGTTAGAGGAAGCGCCAATTTGCTGCGGGATCTTGTTCAAGATGGGAATTCATTGTTGCTTATTGGTCCACCAGGTGTGGGGAAAACTACAATGATCAGGTTTTGTTAGTTTCTTCTACATTGATCAGCTTGTTTATACATTCTTTAGATCAATGATTTGATCAGCCATTGATTGTTTATTCAGGGAGGTAGCGCGAATGCTAGGAAATGACTATGAAAAGAGAGTAATGATTGTTGATACTTCCAACGAGATTGGTGGTGATGGTGATATACCTCATCCAGGGATTGGTAATGCTAGGCGGATGCAAGTCCCTAACTCTGACATACAACACAAGGTTGGTTAGTAGATAGCTTGAGCGTTGTATATTTAGATGAGGTGAGAGATGGTTTATATGTGTTTCAATTTACTTTCCTAGTTACCTTCAGGTACTGATTGAGGCAGTAGAGAACCATATGCCTCAAGTGATTGTAATTGATGAGATTGGAACCAAACTTGAAGCTATAGCTGCAAGTACAATAGCAGAACGTGGAATCCAGTTAGTCGCTACTGCTCATGGAGCGACCATAGAGAATTTGATTAAGAATCCTTCATTAGACCTTCTGGTTGGAGGTGTACAGGTTAGACATATTATGTTTGCATTCCGCTCAAACCCAAATCAAGATATCGTTTGAAATTTTTGTTTGACATTTTATGAGAATCTCTTACCAATGGTCATTCTCGCATATATGGCACTCTACTTCTCAAGAAATTAGTTTAAGGGGGTGACGTTGACCACCTACCATTTCCCACTGATCTCTTGCATCTCAATATGTCAGCAAAACATTATATATGGAACCATATAGCAGGTCGAAATGAGTGATATATTGTTGTAGGAGCTCAATGGTCTATAATCCTAGATCCGATCTTTTTTCTGTTATAGTTTATTCTTTCAGACATATTTAATGGAGACCTTTGGGCAGAGTGTGACTCTTGGAGATGAGGAAGCGACCAGAAGAGGTGGCCAGAAGACTGTCCTTGAAAGAAAAGGTCCGCCAACATTTAACTGTGGTGCAGAGATAGTCTCAAAGACTGAAGTTCGAGTTCACCGTAGTCTTGAAGCAACTGTTGATGCTGTTCTCGCAGGTAGCTTCTGTCTTATTGATTTTGAACTGTTGATAATGCAAAATACACATATATAAATGCAGCATATATTTGGAGACAATAACATTTTAAGATTCTGGCTTTAGTTAACTTTCTGCTTTTGGCTCATCTCCTGGCTAAAAGGTCGCTTACCAAACGTTGAAATCCGCAAAATAAAGTCTCATGGAGTGGAACTTATTATGGAGAAGGAACCTTACGTAGAAGATACGACTATGGATAAGATACATGAAGCGGAAACATTAGATGTTTTGAAGCTCGCCAAGGAAGAATTTATCTCTGAAGTCCTTCCAACTAAGGAGTTAACTGAAGCAGAAATTGCAGAATCTCCAGAGCAAGCGACACTGATGTATCTATATGTCTATGGGGTAAGACTAGAATGACTTTTGCAGATTCTCAGTTTTTAATAGTCGTATACTATCTCTGTTGATATCCATATACTAAAACACAGATTTGTCAATTTCTCCCTCGCAGATAGCAGAATCAACTGTTCTTCAGGCAATTAAACAACTAGATATGGAAACTGCAGTAGAGTTAACTGACGACATTAGTGAAGCAGAGGCTTTACTCGCTTTGCAAGCAAAGATAAGGAAGAATCCCCGTATTAAATCATTAGCTACATCTCACAGTATACCTGTTTATGTAACAAAGGTAAAAAGATTCACTAAGAATGTCTTGTTGTTCCAATTTTCTAGTTCCATGCTTTTACCAAAAGAAGCTCTTTGTCTTGCAGACTAACTCAGGTATTCAAGTTGCCAAGGCGATACGTGCATTACTAACGGATTACGAAGATGGACTCGGAGAATTTGGATCAGAAGATCGTCTAAAACTATCTGAAAAAATGGACGCCTTAGAGGTAACTAAAGAGCTAGTAAAAATTCCATCGATAATAACCACATTTCAGGCTTTCTTAACACCAATTCATTTGCATGCAGGAAGCGAGGTTAGCGATAGAGCGGACAGTGATACCAAAAAAGGAAACAGTCGATTTACTCCCGAGGCAACCCAAGATCGTGTCTCTTCAAGGAAAGCTAGTCAGGAAGTATAATTTACGATCAGAAAGAAAATGGAGAGAGGATGAGATGTATCTGCGGATCATCCCTTATGGGACGGAAGAAGACAGAGACGACGGTGAAGATGAAGGAGAGTTTGAAGAAGAGAACGGAGAAGAGCTTGACGAGTTCGGTTGTTCCACTGGCGAGTCAGATGGTTCACCCTATGGCATCGACAGGTTACCTCTGTTGCCTGATTAGTTTCCTCTGTTCGTACAATATTAAAGATACACTTTTGTGAATGAAAAGAAAATATATACATTCTCAAACAAATTTGATAATTAGTAAAACTATGAACAACAAACTAATGTCGAAACTCTCTGAAGAATGTCGATGTTTTTTTTCACTAATTCAACGCTTACCAGTTATCTGATGAATACGACCAACCAGTTGTCGCTGATCGCGAATTGAGGCCAACTAATTTTGTACTTTAATTCTTTGAAAACTCCATTATTCAACTAAGTATAATAAATCCATATATTATTCATCCAACAAAGTAGCATTTCAAGTTTAGAAAAGGATCATTTTCTTACAAAAAAAATAGTTGACTTTACAGCAAATCAACAGCTTGAATGATTTGTTTTTACAATTACTTTTCGGAAAAAAAAAAAGGACAAGATTGGTAATAAAGTTGTGACCTGAGTGACTCTATATGGATATCAAACCGTCATGCATTAGAAATTTATTTTAACTTATCTTTTATCTTCTTTTCAGGGATCATGATCCAATTTAATCCTATGATTGTTATTTAACTCAAAAGATAGTAGATATACAAGCATATACACTAGACAAAGAACCAAAAATATTAGTATTTTATACTATAGATTATATATAGATATCGAGCTGAATGGAATAAAAAGTTGGATAAAAATAAGTAAAAGAGTTTGAAGTGCGTTATGTAAGAAAGTGCCGTCCAGAGGAGTGAGGACCACTTACTTACTTGTGTGGGAGGTAGTAGTTAGTTTACGTCTTCTACCTTAATAATTACCAACTCCTTACTCATCTGAGAGGACCGACTACATTTTTGGTACTTTTAACTAGTGCTTTCTTTTTTCAAGTTTTGTTGTTTAAAGTCTAGGTAGGACGATGATCCGGTGGATCTATACACTTAGTAGAATTGGTGTAAATCGTTCCAGGATGGCTCACATTAAAGGGTTTAACTCTAGTTTTAGGAGGACCGATCGTGGATATAACTGGACTACCTCGATCGTACTTGCTTGCATACCGTTCTAAACAATAGTTTTGGTAGTTATGTTTGATTATAAACATTTGTTGTGTATAAACATGTGGTTGTCATGATAGTTTATATAATCCATAACTCCATGTATATACAAGATGATTATATAAGTGTTTTGAGAATGTAATAGTGGTTTGTAATAATATATATATATATATCATCACGTTAAAATTCGGATTCGAATCCGTATAATGCATGGTGTTTCATGTGGTGTTTGGTCCAACTCGCAAAGTGTTTCTAATTTTATCAAATGAGGTATGGTATAAAATGTTCCACAAACGTATAAATTAATAATGAGTTTCTTGTCCACGAACGGACGCTAAAAGAAATGGATATGTTTATTCTATTGACGTCTGACGAACGAGCACATACCCTTCAAGCCATGTACTGAAGGAATTATTAAATATTCATTTGTCAACGAAAACTATTATAGCAAGAACAAAATCATTTCTATACGTTTAGTTTCTATACCATAACATGTATGATGTATCAATGTGTAGTTTTGTGTAAACACTAAATTCCGTAATATGAACGGTGACATTTTTAGGTCCATCAAGTTTTGAATATTGCTTTCGGCCATGTACCGGTGTAGGTGAAATTTTAAAAATACCTGACGTTTGGATGATTGATTTATGGGTTATTGTCTTAGAATCCAATGAAATATTGACAAAAGGAGTTCCATTTTAGATTACCAATAAATGTATCTTTTCATCACATTCTTACCAACCTCAACCTATATATTTTGTAATTTGGTCAACTCCGTGAGTTGTTTCATTTATCATTAACTCTAATCAAGACAATATATAGTATCAGAGAATCTTGAGAGCATGCATGTAATGTCGAAACTAATACTATACGAAATCGTATCTATTCTTGTAAATCCAATCTAACATATTTTGTAAGAATCTTTCGTAATCTCAAAATTTAGGTATTTTTGTCTATTCTGATATCTCTTATCAATAGTTTTTTTCTTCTCTTGATAATAAACTCTCTTTTTAAAGGTTGTTGGAGTTAGTGTTTAATTCACTTTTTCCTCGAGTTTCGAATTGGTATTTCACTTACTCTATAAAACTAGTGCTACATTTGTATATACAAAATCGTTTCCGTTATAAACTTTTTATTATTATTATTAGTATTATTATATCATAAAGAGTCTTCAACTTGTTATAAATAGAAATAAAATAGAGTGATGAACTTGTCCTAGTCTCTATATATATAATATTAAAGAATCAAAATGAGAAAGATAGTGATTTGGACCTCAACTCATCATGATTTCATGAATATTCTCCAAGTTCTTTTCTTCTTTCTAAAATGCCTCTTCAATATATTAACAGAGTAGTAGTAAAGAGATTCATGGTTGCTTCAATTTTTTTCCTTGTTAGTGACAATACTTATCTAGTTATTATCTTGTTATTTTATCACTTCGGTTATATTCAGTCCATAGAACCAAAAATTTCAATCAAACGACGTGACCTTTAATTGGTCAACTGAAACTAAAGGCCAACCAAAAGAAAAAGGCTGCATCGATTGACCTTCTAACTTCGACAATATTTTAAAATTGACCCCATTTACAATTGTCTCCCATTTTTGTCTTTTTATATTATGAACTAGTTTATCACCCTACTTACACATGTCATCCTTCAACACTTAAAACCTTTTTTTCTTGAAATTTTCCTTTGTGGGTTTATACTATGAATACATTTTAGAATCTAATAATGAATTTTATCCGCATTACTCCACAAAAGTTTCCTATTTTTCTTGCTTTAATATCATTATATGTTGACAAAAGGAATATTTCATAAATGTATTAATGAAAAAGTGCACCTCTCAGCTTCTGCCTCGATTATAAATTACATTCACGACCGCCTTTTCTTTCGTTATGACCGGCCTTATCTTATTTTATATTGTATAGCATTCCAATGAGATTCATCATGATCCCAATGCCATTTCTCTATATAAATGTCTCAAGCATGTGATGATGAGAATACACAAAAACCATTCTATACCAACTTTACAAAATTACTAACACCTTTCTTTCTTTTTGAATAATAGTAACACCTTGGTAAACTGTTATCATTATAGCACATGGCTAACTTGAAATTCTGGCTATGCTTATTGTTGATCTGTGTTTCTTTATCGCTTTCATCAGCGTCTCGACCACTGCAGCAGCGGTCTCCAAAAGAAGACCGGATTAAAGGAGGACGTATGATGAGAGAAGCAGAGAAAGTGTTGAAAGCGAGTATGGAGAAGCTAATGGAAAGTGGTTTTAATGAGTCCAAGAGACTAAGTCCTGGAGGTCCCGATCCTCGCCATCACTAAGCACCTACTCTCCTAGTTTTTAATTCGAGGATGTATATTTTGTTCTTGATCAAGAGAACCGGTTTAGAAGAAAACATATATCCATCCTTTGTTCTTTTCGTTAGCTTTGTTTGTTCGTTCGGGAGTAAACCAATAAATTATTGATGTATCAGTTCGTTAAAGATTTATGAATTATGCATGCTTCAGCTTTACGTACCCTATACATTCTAGTCTATACTCTATAGTAGTGTAGTAGAGAGGGCTTCACGATATAAAATAGTAAAAGAAAGGGTTAAGAAATAGCATGAAAAGGGAGATTGAATTAATTTAAGCTATCTTGTTATTTAATTCTCTGGTGGCTCGTGTAGATCATAAACGGTATAAAATATTTTTGGAAAGTTTATATTATAGATGGACACTTTCCATTAGTTGTGCACCAAGATTAGAAAAAGACATATGTATATATAAAAAGAGAGAAAAAGATAGTGATTGAAGTAAAAAAAAACAGTATAAAACAGAGATCTGGTTATAAGGAAAACTATACTTATTTAAGATCAAGTCAACTTCTTCTATTTATATCTATACTTATTTAAGATCATGTCGACGTTGAGACCTCAAAAACTATAAAATGCTCTCTAAGAAACCCATGTCTCCCATTTTTCATTTCCGTATCTTATTTTTTCGTTACACATCCACAAAAACTTACAAGTCGTCCCAAGAGTCCCAACCTTGAGCTTGAGTATGTGTTATTGAAGAATATGAAAGTGTATATTTAAAAAGATCAAATAATTAGTAATACAAGAAATAATTTAAGTAACTTACAAAAGAATCTTTAACACAAAAAAAAAGAACTTACAAAAACTAGGAAAAATGAATTTAATTATCTGTGGGAAGAGGATACTGACAATACCTCTCATCCTTCATACACATAAAGAATCTCTCATAAGCCGAAGCCATTTGGGTCGACGTAAACATGGAAAGAGCGTATTCCTTGCAAGCTAGTCCTTTCATCTCCAAAACACTAGACCCATCTCTTACAACAGAATCCAAAGTATCAATAAGAGATCTCACGTTTGGAGAAAATGTGTACCCAAAACGCTCATCCACAACCACTGTCCCAACAATGCTTGGATAGTTAGGTGCTACGACCGGTTTCCCACACTGCATCGCCTCAATGATCGTCAAATCAAGTCCCTGAGGTCTCAACGTCGGATTCACAAACACATCTAAAGCGTTGTAGAAACCGGAGAGCTCTTCTGGCTCTAAAGCTCCTAAAACCCTAACGTTTTCACCTAATTCCGCGTACCTTTTGCCCCAAGGACCAGATCCAGCCACGAGAAGATACACTTGCGGATGCGTTTTAACGATAGAAGCAAACGCTTCATAGAGAAGTGGATGTCCTTTGTCTCTCACCAACCGTCCAGACACACCCATCACGATAACTGTCCCATTACCATCAGGAACACCGTGTTTCACCCTGAACTTAGCTCCAGACTCAGGGGAATACACAAACTTGGTCTGGTCAACGCCGTTGACTATTACATGAACGTTTCTCTTAGGAAGCTGATAGATGTTAACGAGAACCTCACGCGCGCTGTTGCTTATGCAAATGTGCTGTTTATATTTCGGGAAGAATCTGATTTCGTCGACGAGTCTAGGCATCGTTTGCTGAAGATCAGCGCTAGGTCGATCATTCGAAAGCTCTTGGAAAAGACTAGAGTGCATAATCTCGTACCAGATTCCGTGCCATGTCACAGCTATGTCACCGTTAGGCACCATTTTAACTCGCCAGTGAGGCAGAGAAACACTCTCAGTATGAACATAGTCGAAGGGATGATCTACACCGTTGATTCTATCGAAAATCTCAAAAGCTTGAGAGTGGTTGAGTGTGCCATGTCCGTTTGGAGCAAAGTAGACATGAAGATCTCCTCTGTTGTGATACTCTTCTCGGTTACTTCTGTCGGAAGAAACCGTGAAGACGTGGATCTCGTGACCTCTTGAGGCGAGAGAATTGTAGAGAGTGTAAGCGTGACGCTCCATTCCTCCGGGGATCGAACCAACGGGCCATGATTTGCAAAAGACTGCGAGTTTGAGCTTCTCTGAGACTGGCCCGAGAGAGAGTTTGTTCCAAGGGAACGTAAGGTCTCGAAGATCTCCAGCGAAGGGAGGACTCACCGGTGAAAAGGTCACGGGAGAGTAGTCAAACTGTGAGAAGAAGATGTAGTAAGAAGAACAGATGATGAGTGCCAATGTAATGATTGTTGTGAACTTGAATGAAAAGGAAGTGGAAGAAGACAGACTTGTTCTTGAAGAATGATTCTTGAAGGCCATTTTTTTGTTTTTGGTTTGCCTCTTTTGTGAATTTGATTGTAACTACTCTGAGGTTGATTCTTTGCTTGAATTTCGGATCTTTCTCGAGTTTTTATATCAAAGTTTCGTTTCTCAATGAAACCGCACATGGTATAGCTGATTTTTATATGCTTTCCACATTCAATTAAGTCAAATCTCTCCTAATCAACTGAGATTTGATACTAAACCGGGACATTATATCTGGTTTCTTTTTTTCCCCGGTTAGTTACAGTTTATTTCAGACACGTAGGCGTGTTATTACCCCCGTCATATTTTACACATGTGTAATTCCCCTAATTTCTCGGGTTCCTTTATGCGCGTGAGATAAAGCGCGTGTGTCTCGCGACTCAACCAATTGCTTCCTAGGGTTTGTTTCGTCGTTGCAATCTCAGTCAATGTTGATGATCCACCGATCCTACAATTCACACAATATTCGATTCCTTGTTTGAAATCTGCAGTGTTGGCGCTGTGCGTTAAAACCCTAGAAAACCCTAAAATTTCGTTCAGAGATTGCCAACGAAGGTAATGGCGTCTGGTCATATAGCCGGTGGTGGAGTTTCGAAGACGAAGCATAAAGGGAGTGACAATGGCAACAAAAGCCAAAAACGTTCGAAACCCACGATGGTGAGGCCGATTCCGCTCGTGTCTCCGTCTAATTCGCTTGGTTCGGAGGATAATCTTCAGATGATGAAGATAAGTTTGAGCTCAATTTCCAAGCTTGAAGTTAGGAACTTGAAGCGGAAACTAATGGCTGAGCTTGACGAAGTTAGGAGCTTGATTAAGCGGCTCGAACCACAAAGTAACTCCGCCGGGGATTTTCAGCCTAGGTCGGCGGCGGAACCGCCTCTGTCGAACAAGAAGGTGAAAACAGCAAACGGTGGTGGTAAGAAGGGTGGAGTACACGGAGCAGCTGCTGATAAAGGTACGGTTCAGATTCTGAAGAGCTGCAACAATTTGCTTACAAAGTTGATGAAGCATAAGTCTGGATGGATTTTTAATACTCCAGTTGATGCCGTTGGGCTTGGTTTACATGATTATCACAATATAGTTGAGCAGCCTATGGATTTGGGAACAGTAAAGACTAGGTTGAGTAAGAGTTGGTACAAGTCACCTTTGGAGTTTGCTGAGGATGTGAGACTTACTTTTAACAATGCGATGCTGTATAATCCTGTGGGGCATGATGTGCATGGTATGGCTAAGATTTTGTTGAATCTGTTTGAAGAGAAATGGCCGCCGCTTGAAAAGCAGTATGAGTTACTTAATAGGAGGCAACAACCAGTTCGTGATATTGATTTCCATGCTCCTGTTTCAACGAGCACTCATAATGTAAACCCATTACCGTTGCCTGCTCCATCACCTTCCTCGTCTCCTCCTCCTCCTCGTCCTCCTTTGCCTACAGTAGTTGAAAATAGGACTCTGGAGAGAGCAGAATCTATGACAAACCCAGTGGAACCAGCAGTTCTAACTGTTGTCCCTGAGAAGCCTGAAAAAGAGGATGCGTCTGGAAACAGGGACCTGACATTTGATGAGAAGCGGAGACTTAGTGAGGACCTTCAGGATTTACCTTATGACAAACTAGAGGCAGTTGTGCAGATTATAAAGAAGAGTAATCCAGAACTTGCTCAACAAGATGATGAGATTGAGTTAGATATTGATAGTCTTGATCTCGGAACACTTTGGGAGCTTTACAGATTCGTCACTGAATATAAGGACAGCTCGAGCAAGAAAAAGGAGCAACTGGCATTGGGCTCAGAAAGAGATGCTGAATCTGTTCACAATAGTGTCCAAGAACTGGTGAGAGCAAATAATTAGTTGTTATTAACTTCTCGTACTTCTTCATATATAACTCTTACTAGGCTAATATTATGATGTTTCTTCTTCCGTCTTCACAGAACAATCTAACAACTGGCCTTAAATCCCCAAAAGTTACTGAATTAGGTGAGTTTTGATTCATAAGATAGTATCAAACTCTACTATATTTGTCATTAAACCCAATGCAATAACTCTTCTTTAATTTGTTTTTGACACTTTAAAAGATCATGTGGCATCCCCTGTTCGACAAGAAGGAAATGCTGGTGGATCAAGTAGTTCTAATAGTTCTAGTAGTGGCTCAGGCTCGTGTTCTAGTGGTAAACTTCAAAACTGGTTTACTGTTCTTCCCTTATCAACATCATATTTATTCACATTCCTCATTTGTTGTGCAGATTCTGATAGCGACAGCTCAGGGCATGGATCTTAATATGGCAATTAACCAAGATGGTGAAAGTATTTACTATTTAGCATAGGTGGGAGCCATCATGTAGTCGAACTTTTTGCATCTTATATAGTAGCAAAGCTAGATTGCCTTTTTCCAGCTTTTCCCCCATCGGATTGTTTCTGTATTAGGTTCTTGTCAACTGTACAGCAAAGTAAACTTTTTTTAAGTGTTTTGTTTCGGCCTTGTCATTAACTGAGCAGGCTTGTTCTTAATTGTTTTGTGGTTTTACATTTATAATTTTTCTCCTATGGCCATTACTGGATTTTCTTCAATGACCAGTCTTGCTGGGCCAGATCAGAGAACAATTTGTCTTCAAAATCCAAGCAGACCTTTGTGGGAAAATTGTTGGTTTTTAGTTTTCGATCGGATTACTATCTTAGATGCAGCTAACAACAAAAGAAGCGACACGCTACCTAATGTAGAAGGATCACCAACTGGTGGTTGCATGGAACAAAGTTTTTTTTTTTTAATGCTTGTACGTGAAGATATTGGCTTCTTTCAAACATTCAACATAGATTCATGACCTCAACAGCAAGAAGAAGAAGTTCTAAAGGAGCTAATTCTTCCATTAATTCTGTTTCAAATGTCGGTCCAAACTTCTGCAGATTCGCGGATTATTCAATCTGTCTTCCAAGTTTTGCTAATTAGTCTTCTAGTTCTAGGATCCGGGAGGTGGATCCTTGATGAACTAAAGAGTAACGAGAGTCGACTATTCCAACTCTATGGTATCAGACAAAGAGAGGCAGTTTTCGTCACCAAAGAGGATCAGCTTGATGAGAGCTGCAATGTCTTTGAAGGACAATGGGTTTGGGACAATGTCTCTTACCCTCTTTATACAGAGAAGAACTGTCCTTATTTAGTCAAACAAACAACATGTCAACGAAACGGACGGCCTGATTCTAATTACCAGAACTGGAGATGGAAACCAAACTCATGCGACTTGCCCAGGTAACAAAGAAAAAGCGTATATGTTGATTCTTGCGAATCCAAGCTTGAGAACTGTTTAAAATCTCTGAGATGTTCAGGTTCGATGCTCTGAAACTGTTAGACGTGTTGCGAAACAAAAGACTGATGTTCATAGGAGACTCGGTGCAAAGAAGCACATTCGAGTCAATGGTCTGTATGGTACAATCAGTTATTCCTGACAAAAAAAAGTCTTTTCACAGGTTTCCTCCTATGAAGATCTTCAAAGCTGAGGTACATATATAGTTTTGCTCCTAGTAAGAGATTTTCAATATGAATGGTATAAGAAGACAAAGATAGTTTCTTATACCAAAGTGTATGCAATTGTCAGGAATACAATGCATCCATCGAGTATTACTGGGCGCCTTTCATCGTGGAATCAATATCAGATCATGCAACTAAACATACAGTACACAAAAGGTTGGTTAACCTCGACGCCATTGAAAAACATAGCAAGAGCTGGGAAGGCGTTGATGTTCTAATCTTTGAGAGCTATGTATGGTGGATGCATCAACCTAAGATCAATGCAACGTAAGCTATATAAGCTATATAACGCATAAGCCATATTTGAGTAGCTTGCATTGCAGAAGAGCCTAGAAGGAAAACTTATATGTAGATATGTATATGAAGGTTTGGAGATACCAGTGAAGTCCGAGAATACAATGTGACGACTGCTTATAAAATGGCGTTAGAAACATGGGCCAAGTGGTTTAAGACGAAGATCAATCCCAAGAAGCAGAGAGTTTTCTTCACGAGTATGTCTCCGACTCATCTATGGTATGTTCCTTCAGAACACAAGACAGAAGATATAAAACACTAACATATTATAGATAGTCTTTAAGAGAAAACCTATTCAATTTCCAAAGACAAGGAGAGTGATTTTGGTGTGTGATATTTGCAGGAGCTGGGAGTGGAATCCAGGGAGCGATGGAACCTGTTATGATGAGTTATATCCAATAGACAAACCATCATATTGGGGCACAGGATCAAATCAAGAAATCATGAAGATAGTTGGTGATGTTCTAAACAGAGTTGGAGAACATGTCACGTTCCTGAACATTACGCAACTCTCAGAATATAGGAAAGATGGACATACGAGTGTATATGGAGAACGGAGAGGGAAGCTCTTGACAAAAGAACAGAGAGCTGATCCGAAAAACTATGGAGATTGCATCCACTGGTGTTTGCCAGGAGTTCCTGATACATGGAATGAGATTCTCTATGCATATTTGCTACGCAGTCACAGCAATTCCTTCTGATCCCTTCTCAGGGAATGTCAAGTTCAAATTTATGAAATTTTGCCAACAATGGGTTTTTGACCCAAAAAAAATTATATTTTGGAGAGCAGACTAGGAGGATAATATGTTTGGTTATTCACTATCAAAAAAAAATTCAATCAGAGAGCAGATTAGCTCCTTTATGTTTAAATAAGGTAACGGGAGTTTCACTCAAGAGTCAAGATAAAACACAGGCCGGATTTTTAACTTAGTACTATATTAGGTGAACAAAAATCTCATAATAGCTCCCACTGGGAATCTTCTGATTCAAGTAGGAGTGAGCTTTTGGAGTCCATGGCTTCCACTTGTTTAGAGTCTTCCCCAGTGGCCAGATCAGAACCCATATCCGCGTCTCCAAACCAAACTGCAAGTTGCTCATATTCCTTCTCTCTTCTTCTTTTCGAAGTTAAAGCATCCAAGATCTTTCCCTGACAATGATAGAAAAGGTAAAATTAGGCAATAAGAGATAATTAATGCTTCCTCATAGGATAATGCTAAGGTTTTTCTAAGACTAATATCAGTCAGAACAATCTGTAATCAAGATTAGCATTCACTAACAACAAACTAGTACATTACCAAAACAAAAAAAACAAGAAACTAGTTTTCAGGTAATGCCAACGTTTTTTCTAAGAGGTTTGATCATTAACGATCGTGGAAACTAAATTTTAAATCTAATATCATTCAGAACAATCTGTGTAATCAAGATTAGCATTCACTAACAAGAAACTTGTTTTCAGGTAACTAGCATTCACTAGCAAGAAGTAAGGTTCAAGTTTATATCATCTAAGAGAGAGGGAGAGAGCAAATTAGAACCTTTAAGGATCTGAGTTTCTTAGTCCTAAGATGCATTGCATAAAGCATACTTTCGTCAACATACGAGGGGGCTTCTCGAGATTCCATGCCGTACAATGCATTGGTATCCAATGGAGCAATGGTCCTAACAAGCATTGCACAGTCGTCAACATACGAGGGGCCGTCCCGAAAGTCAATGCAGTACAATGCATTGATATCCAATGGAGCAACATCAGATTTGCCATTCATCACATCATCTGGATTTTTTTAACAGAAATTACACAAAAAAATTTGTTGCACATGTTAGAAATAAAAGAAAACGTGTAAGGAGACCAATTGAAGGTTTTCAAACTTCTAGTGAACAAGAGCACAAGCAAAAATGTGTAGAACTTCAAAAACAGAGGAAAAAATAAAATTGAAGCACTAACCCGCATTAGAGGATCTCGTGTTTGTCACATTATCTTGAACATGCACATCTGTAATCTTGGTGGCGAGTGAATCATTTAGACTTGAATCATTATCCGTAAAGATTCCAAGCGCAACTAGAACGGGGTCATCATTACACTCTACTACTGTCCCAAAACTTTCCATAGAACATTGAGTAGATTGAGATTTTGTGGAAACAACATCTTTGCACGAGTCATCTCTAACTTCTTCTACACTTTCCCCGACTGGAGAAACTGAAGGGTTTCCAGGAGAAAATTTATAAGGGATGAAAGTATTAGTGATCCGAGACTCATCATCGATAAATATTGGTACTTCATCACCAAGAGTAGTGGTTGATGTCAAACTAGCATCACAGTAGGCTTTAAGCAATGTAGCTGTAGAGAGTATTCCTCCATCAGGCAAGGAGGTTTCAACTCTAACTTCTTCTACAACGCCTGGAAATAAAGAAGAGATTCCAGGAGAAGACGTCTGAGTGGTTAAAGTGTTAGTGATCCGAGACTCATCATCAGTAATGATTGGTTCTTCATCACCAGTGGTGGAGGCTGATGTCAGAGAAGCATTACAATACTCTTCAAGCGATGGAGATGTAGAGAGTGTTTCTTCGTCAGACAAGGCCGATGAATTCTCCTTAAAACCATCTTCTTGAGCTAAATTATCCTTTAAAGTATCGCCTTGAACTCCTTCCTCGACCAGAACATGTCCTGAAATGTCAAAGTGCTGATGTGACGGTGGATCAGAAGGACTTTTACACATCGGTGAATCAACAGGGTCATGGTGTTGCTGCAAAATAGAAGCTTTGGAAGAACTGTCCTCTGCGACTTCCTTTGGTTGATCAGAAAATTCCAGAGATTTCAAAGTGTAAGTGATATGAGACTCTTTGTCAGTAACTTTTGATTCTTCAGCACCAACAGTAGCAGTCAGATTAGCATCATGATACTCTTCAAGCAATGGAGATGTAGAGTGTGTTTCTCCATCATAATAGAACTGAGACTCTTCATCAGTAAATAATTGTTCTTCATCAGCAAGAGTAGAAGTTGATGCCGTCAGATTTGCATAACAGTCCTCTTCGAGCAATGGAGATGTGGAGACTATTTCCCCATCAGGAAATGAGGAGGCTGATAAATCCTCCTCCAAGATATCTCCTTGAACTCGTTTCTGAACCACAACATGTCCTGGCATGTCAAAGTCCTGATGTGACGGTGGAACAGAAGGGCTTTCACATCGCGGTGAAGCAACATGATCATCATGGTGTTGCTTCACATTATAAGTTAGGGAAGAAGAGCGTCCCTCTGCTACTTCATTTGGTTCACCTCTAACAGATTTAAACCCCGGAAGATCACTTGACTTCAAACATAGCGTGCTCTGTTTCCCAACATAAGAAAACCATTATCTCATCATTCTCTCTACACTCTAAAACATCATATTACTTATATAGTTAATATGACAATCAAACAATGTAGATACGTACCTGAGAAGTGAAAGAGTCAACCTCAACTAGTAAAGTTTCCAACTTGTTGTAGATTTTACTAAACCAAGCTCTTCCTTTAGATTCTGGTCCCATGATTGCTCACGCTATACGAAAATTATGCAGCAAAAAGATGAATTCAGTTCCTAAAAAATCGAACCATGATTCAAAACGCAGATGGATGATAAGTAGATGAAAGTTTCAAAAAAAAAAAAAAAAGGTCCTCACTAAATAATACAGCTAAAAAAGACCTGAGAATTTTGCCATCATAGCTAGTTCTCAAAATTATATCGAGACTTTAGCTATTTTACGGGAAAAGATGAATAATAACTATAGACAACTCTCTCGAATTTGTGACCAAAAGCACGATCATCGGTGAAGAAAAAAGAAACTCATAAACCGACGCATCGAATTACATTAGGAAAAAGAAGGAGCCTTTGAGATGAAAAAACCGCAGAAGGAGGTGAAAAGTAAAATAAACCCAGAAGACTGGAAGTAAACATAGATTGAGAGAAGGAGAAAGGTTTAAGAAACTTACCAGAGAAAGTGAGAAAGAAAAGAGACTACAACATAGGAAGAGACGAGCAAATCGTAAAAAACCTGAACAGAATCATCATAATCTCACAACAATCAATAATTATAGCTTAAATAAGATTTTTATTGATGGGGTTTAAGATTGTTTCACATTATATTAAATATTAATTAGTCAACATGGATTTCCAGTCATGTATGGGCCTTAAACGGACTTTTATGAGGTCGATCGACACCTGTCTTTTGTCGAATCTTAAAAAGGCTTTGAATTTAAGGCCCAATGTAAATTAAAGTTAGTTATAATATGGTTCAATGTATGAATCATGCGCGCCACACAAGCGAACAAAAACATGATCATGTCATGTGTATGCATACGTTTTGTGGAAGAAAGAAGAATGATCCAAAAATAAGCAGACGTGGACTATGCCACGTGGACAAAAGAGGCATGGGTCTGACGATAACTCTTACATTGGAGAGTGTGCATCTGGATGATCCTTCTCCATCATTCCTTCCATCCTTAACATTATTTTTTTTAATGTTATTTAAAAAATTTGTTGAAAATTCCATTCACATTTTGTGATATGTGTAATGTGTGTGTATATATGCAACTCTCTCAACACATAACCTACATATTCAATTATTCATACACATTGTAATCAGAAGATCAAAGGATATTGACATGGCGACTTCCACCTTCTCGTCTCGTGGTGCACAAACCATGAATATCATGTTCGTTAAGTAAGTTTACATTCGGAATTATCAATAAAAAAGATGTTTCTATTGATTCCTCTAGTGTGTTATGCATATATTGATTCTTATATCATTAAATTATTACTTCTGATTATGTTGTATAATTATATATGAAGTTAATAACAGATGCACTTGAATGTGTATAGGCCAATGCTTAGGAAATCGATTCACAAGAAGAGTGCGTCGCACGACATAGTGAGGGAGACGGCCAAGACGGAGGGCTCGGGCGCCGGAGAGGAAGTAAAGACGATGAGAGGCTTCTACGGCGCCGGAGAGACGTCGTCGCCGGCGAGTAGTTGGGTGCCACATGAAGGCACGGGAATATACTATCCAAAGGGGCAAGAGAAGGTGATGCAAGATGTGCCTCCTCCTCCAGGTGGCAGCCACGCGGACGAGCTCGTTAATTGGTTCTCCTGATCCATTGTCCAGTGTCACACTCTTGTCATCATCTCTCGATCTCATCTTAAACTCTCTATATTGTTTGTCTATTGTTGTAAGGGAAAAACATTAAAAATATATGTGTAAGTAAGTGGATATGTATTGTCATGTGATCAATGATAATGAATAATTAATGATGATTATAAAAACGAGTCAGGTACCAATGCATGGACCATGGAGTATCAACGCTGCCTTATCCAACTAAACCTTTGTGTACAATAATGTTTAGTGTCAATTAAGCTTTATCCAAAACCCAACGAACATAGTTTACTAATTGGAATTGTTATATATAGTTTAGAGATACATCTATTTGCAAGTAGCAACAAGTGGGACCAAAACTATAAGTCTTTTGACTGCAAGAACCACAGAATTAGCCACTACTATCAGACAAGAACACAAGAATGGATTTCAACAACAAATGGCTCTTCTTCTTCAAAATCCTATCTTGGGGAGAAAAGTATAAATTTTTTAATTTTAATAGAAAAAGATAGAAGCTTTAGTTGTGTTAGTGATTTTGGGGTTTGATGGCGCTTGCAAACATATCACTGCGTTTCAAGTTTCCACCTTTACAGTCTTCTTCTTCTTCCACATTAATCTCTCCCAGAAAACTCTCTTCGATCGTTTGCTGCAAACCCTCTTCTAATGACGGCGGCAAAGTGGCTAATGAAGGTGGCGCAAAGCCGCGGAAGAAGCTGTCGGAGCAGTCGTCGTGGGAAGTAAAAGATTCTGAAGGGAAGGATTACCTCTATAGGCTTGGCGCGGAGGCTGATAATGTTAACATAGCCGTGGGAGCACGAAGCGGCATGATTGATGATGTATTCATTGGAGACTTCCTTGGAAAAGATTGTAAAGTCTCTTCTTTTTGAAAAAAAAATCCCATTTTTTGGATTTTGGTTAAGTTTACAAATTCCCATTTTTGACTGTAATTGTGGAGTTAACAAAGGTGTAAATCTGCTAATCTGTTAATTTGCAGCTGATATTGTGTTTGATTACCGTCAGAAGGCGACGAGGTCATTTGAATATCTTCAAGGAGATTATTACATTGCCCCGACGTTCCTGGTAACTCTTTAGTCTTTACAAGAGCAGCATGAGTTATATACTAAGCAAATGATCTTCTTCTAGTTAATTTCTTGTTTTGATGCCTTTAGAATTATATCCAAAGCTTTAATTTGTGGTAATGTGTTATCAAGTGTCTTATAACATGGTTCTTCTTTCTTGACAGGATAAAGTTGGTAAGTTATCTTGAGCTATAAGCCTTGGTGAAGATTAAAGGGGAAAAAGGAATACATTGGTCACAAGTTGGATGATAGGGTTCATATTTGATTGCCTAAAAGTCTGGAACTTTTGATTCATTTGTGATATTTCTTTCGTCCTTTTGGTTTACCTTAACATGTCGATTTTCGTTTGATTTCTGTAGCGGTCCACATTGTGAAGAACTACCTTGCTCCTTCTCTAAATATAAAAATCCCATTGATCTTAGGTAATGAACCTCTTCTGCTTCTCTGTTTAGTATCAGTGTTTGAAATTTTTGCTACCATCTCTTGATTATTGCAGTTTTTGTTTTTGGGCTTGCTAGGTATCTGGGGTGGTAAAGGACAAGGCAAAACGTTTCAGACTGAACTAATATTCAAAACCATGGGAGTTGAGCCAGTTATAATGTCTGCAGGAGAGTTGGAATCCGATAGAGCTGGTGATTTCTCCAACTTTGCTTACTCTCATTTCGCCAGGTTTATGTAGTTAATCATTTCCTAGGACTTGGTTGTTTTCACTGACCATCGTGCTATATTTCTAACATTCTGTAACAGGGGAACCGGGAAGACTCATACGTGACCGCTATCGAACAGCTTCACAAGTCATTCAAAATCAAGTTAGAAGCTTTTCTTATCATTTGTAGTCTTGCTACACCTATTTATCTATGTGGGTGTGCCATGAACGTTGATGGTGACTTGTAATGCAGGGGAAGATGAGTGTTCTCATGATCAATGATATTGATGCTGGCCTTGGTAGATTCGGTAAGAAGCCATATTCCAGATAACTTTGAGCGATGTTGTGACTGCTCTGTTTTTTTACTTTCCGCAGAGGTGAATCTTAACCGAGTCTATTGTTCTCAATTTAGGGGAAACACAAATGACAGTGAACAATCAGATAGTTGTCGGTACTCTGATGAATCTTGCGGATAATCCTACAAGGGTAAGTGTGGGACAAAACTGGAGAGAAGCTGACGTTGTAAATAGAGTTCCTCTTATTGTCACAGGGAATGATTTCTCAACACTGTATGCTCCACTGATCCGTGAAGGAAGAATGGAGAAATTCTACTGGTAATTCTAATTCACAGCTTCCAATCCATTTTCCTGCAACTGAGTAATCCCTTCTGACAAAAAGCTTAAGTGTTTTGGTGCTGAAATAATACAGGCAGCCAACTCGTGAAGATATCGTAAACATTGTTAGCAGAATGTACGAAAAAGATGGAATATCGCGGAAAGATGTTATGAGCATTGTAGATACATTTCCAAATCAAGGTAAATAAATCACTATCTCAAATGAGTAATACAAAGGACAGTTCCTAACCATTTTTATCTTTGTGCCAGCACTTGACTTCTATGGTGCTTTGAGGTCACGCACATATGATAGGTCTATCCTCAAGGTAACCTCAGCTATGAACCAGCTAATAATAATTAGAACTCTGCAGTGAAATGGCTAATCTTTTTGTTGTTATAGTGGGTAAATGAAGCTGGAGGAATGGAGACTCTAGGGAAAACTCTTCTCAGACGTAAAAAGACCGAAGATGTTCCTCAATTCATTCCCCCTGAGGTAATTGCTTACAGGCTTCTCAGTGATCTTTCTCTCAAAACTTTTAAGCTCTGGCTCCGCTGAATATTTATGATATGGTGTGAACAGCAAACGATGGAAGCATTGCTGGAATCAGGATACTCACTGATAAAGGAACAAAAGCTCATCATGGAAACAAAGCTTTCGAAGGAGTACATGAAGAACATGGACGATTAATACCAAACAAACATTGATTCATTCTTATAGTGAGTTTCAGTGAACAAAAAACTTCAATCCTGATAAGACGTCCCAAAAAGCTTAAAGCATGAGCAAATCGCTTTATAGAGTTTGTTATACCAAAACCATGAGCATTGAACCTAAAGCCGATGTGGTGGCGATACATAGATTAGATGTGTATGCATTATCCCATGACATGCCATACACAATTTTCAAAAACACAAGAATTTATCTTACTGTGACAATGGAAATGGTTTTATAACAGCTTTGTATGGAATAGATAAACATACTCAGATCATCCAAATGAACCATGACATTTCTCCGATCCACAGAGACATCTCCTCTTTCCATGTAAAAGGCTGTCATCTCTGGCCTCGGACATAGGAGAAACCCCATAATCATAAGTCAATTCTGCCATTGGAGGAATGTGACGCATGGCAAAGAATGCAATGTGGATTACTGATTCACCGTTTCCTTCACAAACAATTGGCTGCCAAAAAACATTGGGGGAGCAACTATGGTTCATGAACCGAGCGACATTTCCAAATTTCTTGGCACTGATTAGGAGTGGTGATGGGAGATCAAACTCCTCGGGAACTTCATCTAAAGGATCCTCATCTACTAATGCAGGCTCATAATTCCACTTAAACGAGTTATAAACACGTGATGTATCAAAGACGTACTCATCCTCATCTTGGTACTCTCTAAGCATGCCTTTTTCTTTGAGCTCACCAGCATATTCACATATGAAAGAACCAGCACGGATGGAATCCCACGAACGTAAACCCCAACCACGATTTGCTGTCTTAAACACTTCCAGGTGGGATTTTAATCCTGTCTGAATCACTTTGTTTTTGCAGTTGGCATTACATGGACACGTTGGGCCACACTCATATATCATAGGCCTCCGAGAAACGAGCATAACCCCATTAAGGTAAGGGAGATCACCACCATTCTTTCTGATACAAGAGCAGTTAAGATCTCCTGGTGAACATGAGCCACTGCAGGAACAACCAATTGTGGGTTGAGTTAGTTTAAAGGACTCCGAGTATTTTAGAGAGGAGATATAGGTAAAATAAGCAGGGCCCTTCTCCTCATCAACGTCATTCACAAGTGAAACAGGTTTACTTTCAGCTCCTGAAGTGAGATCTGGAAGGATAAGGCCTGGTCTTGTAGTCAAACCTTCTTTCCACTTATGCACAGATTTCCAGACACCAAAAGCAGGTGGTTGACCAGGGAGTCTCACCAATTTATATTTAAATGTATTGCAACCAGATTTCCCTTTCTCTACCCATGACTCTGAAATAGAATAAAGCCCATCATAGATATAGATTTTTCCTGTTTTATTAGCTGCATCCTCCTCCCCTCTTATGACTCTTACTCCATTGCCTTTCCTTAAACTTTTCTCTAATGCTAAATTACCCCTTTCAAGCTTTTGATCAGATGCTTGTCCGTTCTTGTCTGCATTGCCACCTTGTCCACTGTAAATTAAGGACTCAGGATCCTGGGCTTCACCGTCATAACGTCCAGAGGAAACAATGCTAGTTGCTAAAGGCTCATCATCTGAGCCGACCTTGCCAGTTATATAGTCAATGCCAGCCATAGTCTGCATGTGAAGACCCACTAAACACATCTCTATCCTGGAAAAGAAAATATCTCCAACCTCAATTCCAGGAACCGTCCCAACTCTCTTCTTGGTGTTTGTCCGCACCCCATTGCTCATCAGAGTACCTGCTGCTTTCGAAGTGGCGGCCTTTGCATATTCTACTTGGCTGAGCCGCCTCCTAACTGCATCAAAACGCATCAATACACTACTTACTAAGTACCCATTTCCATCTTCTCGCTCTGCTGGACTGATCCCACTATCAAACTCTGCACTAAATCTTTTCACTACCTGAACATCCAAATTCGTCTCTTTGGCCGCAGTCTTTTTCTCTTTTTTCTTCACATTACTAGTTCCCTTAGGTCTACCAACTCTTCTTTTCATTCCATTGGAGCCGCTGGGGCCATTTGATTCAGTAGGTGTATTATAGGACCGAAGAGGTGGAACAAACGATGGAAGAGGTGTGTCCTGAGATTGGTTGAGATCTGGAGTATCTTGCGTTGGTTGTTGCGATCCAAAGGGGAAGAAAGGAGAATACCCAGTTGAAGAAGGACCAAAAGGTGGACAACCAACAAAAGGTGGACCTTGCTTACCATTTGGAAAAACAGGTTTCAAACTTCGCAGTGGTTTTACATCTAGCACTATTGACTTGTCATAATGGTTAGGATTTGGAACAGTATTGACCCCTGGAACTCTTTCCATTGCTAAATAAACTCCTGTCAAAGTAAGAAAAACGGATAAAGGGCCAACATTTGGATATTGTGCTCTGAGCCTCTGACCAAAGATTAGATTAGTATGAAAAATGAGACAGTAGTGTGTTATCTCCCACGTACCTATATCAAGCTGTCAAATCAGATAAATATCACAAGAACGCCATTTACTGCATAGCCCTCTCGGACAAACCTTGTGAACTTATTCTCTGAAGTACTAAAAGTGGAAAAAGAGTACAAAGAATCAGTTACAACAAAAGCAGTTCATTCTCACAATCATCATACAATTTACAAAGAAAAAAACTTTAAACAATCAGTTCCCAAAATGAAAACTTTGCTATCAGAAAACAAGCAAAGTATCCCTCAAAATAAAGCCTAAATTGCATCTAAAAGCCCTTCGTACGGAACACATAGGAGTTTGTTCTGTTAGTTCATAACTTCATACATTATTCCACCCAAAATGTAACAAATCATCACCTAAGAAGTCAGAATCATTGAAGCCCACAAGCACCACCAAATCTTTAATGCTTAGGGCAACCAACAAAAAAAAGAAATCCTTTTGTTACATCAGGACCCCAAATTTTTATTTAAATTCGTAAGAAATCAAGCGAATTCACAAACAGCATGCCGTATCCGGACGAACCCTTGATCCCAAACTGGAACGTACTAGTTTTAGATTCACCAACAATACCGAAAACAGTATCTACAGTGCACCATTCATTTATACATAATTCCAGATTTCAACTTTAACACGAAAGGAACAAAAAAGACAAGAGATTGTCACCACTCACCAACCTCAAGAAGCTGAGAAATAAAAAAGCCTCCGAATTTAGAGAGAGAGAGACCTGAGTATGATGAAAGGGCAGAGACGATTTCGACGAGAGAGAGAAAGAGTGAAAAAAAGCAAGTAAGTGGCAACGTGTACAGACAGAGACGTCTTTCTTTAAAGCATTTTGAGATTTGACTATTTTTGCTCAGATGAAAATGAAATAAGCAAAGACGTTACTGTTACAGAGTATACGGTCCGTTAGATTCGTGCCTGCGTCATCTCCGCCGTCAAAAACAAATTCAGGGCCTTGAAAAAGATGAAATTTTTCTTACACAGCCTATCCTCTTTACCTCTTCTTTTCTTTCGATCGTCGTGTAACTGTTACCATTTCAAAACTATTTGTTTGTATCCTCCGCCCATTTACCAATGATATAAAAAAAACCCGATCTTGGTTTATTCAAAAGATATTTGAATGTTATTTCAGTAGTTCAGAATTGAGTCATCATGTTATTAATTTTGCTTTTTGTTGCATAAAAGGATATCAGAATCTTACACAAGTTAGTCTTACCGATTCTTTAAAAAATTCAAATACAAGCTAACGTAAAGCTTGAATCTAAGCTAACAAGAGAGCCTCCCTGAATCATTCATCTGTATTGTTTGACCATAAGAATGTCAGAGCATAATCTTTGAGGCACTTGTTGCAGTTCTTTACCTTCTTGCCATGCCTGTCCTACGCATACACCCGGCCCAATATGCCGTATGTATATGATGACACTGTCGTTGAATGGGTACGGATGCTTTGCTGCAAAGAAAAACAGATGAAGCTATGGGTTAGAAGATACCTTCTTGTCTTTATGCTATTCTCAGACCTGAGAAGTAAGAAACTCATATTATGTGTTTCTCGTTTTGCTTTACTAAAATGCTCATTGCTCCAAACTGAATGATATTTCAATAGAAACTTTTTGGTTTTATGGAAGGTTTTGCAAAAGAAATGCTCAGAACTGTGAATCATTGAATAAAGTTTCAGACCAGCGTAACCAAGTGAGGACCAATAGTCTGTCTCTGCAAGGAAAGTGGAAATGGCTAATCTCAAATAAGTATAGGCAACGAGTCTTACATGGACGAGGAAAGCCTTGTGGGTAATCTTCAATAGCAAGAAGCCCATCGCCGAATTTGCAGGCTACATCACAGGGTTCCTCTGTGGCCATTACTTCCATAGCTTCTGTGACCTCAAAGTATAGTGGACTAAAAGCATTGGCAACGGTGGAAACTACTGGTCCACCTGCAGGATGGCATTTCATGAGATTTTTATGTTTTTGCTGTAAATAGTACAACAGAGGTACTAGCATTACAATCACTTATGCGGAAAGATTTTTATTTAAGTTATAAAGATGCATACAAACAATAATGCAACAATCGCCCATGGGAGTAGGAATAAGTCGCACATGTTTCAAAATTTATTGCAGGCAGCTGAGTAAAAGGTACTGAACAACAGGCCATATTGAAAATCGTTTGTCTTGATATCAACTAACTATGTCAATCCCAGTGAGATAAGCTCACATTTTATCTGTACATTGTTAGATAGAGTTCCACATTAATAAGATATGCCTTAAATGTTGGGATTATAGTCGCAGCAACTGCAAATGAAAAAGTGTTGTTTATTTTGAGAGAAGTATTAGTTGGGATCAGGACTCACCACAAACACGCCCATAGGTCTGACCGTTGTTGGAGCGAAACACAGCCTACCAAGTAATAAAGAAACTATGTTAAGAAAGATAGTGCATGATAGATGCTGCCGAATGAAATAGGTATGGAATCGATATCAGTCTGACTAACCATCTTGAAGAAATTTATCCAAGATATGATTAGTGGACCTAAACAATAAGAGAAGAATACTTTAGAAGTTGTTAAGAACATATACTTTAGTTGTTACGAATATCGACATAAAGATGCATAACAATACGCAGATAACATATAAGTTCATTCATATACGTAGGGGCTCAGACCTAAAATGGATTACCCTGACTTGTTCGGCAGCTAAAGTATTCAAGTGAAATTTCCACATCTCCAGTAGAGAATAACTTGGATGCAGTCATTTTGGCTAACTTTGGATTGTCGTAACGAGTGCTTGCTATTTCCCATGCTCTGGATATAAGCCTGCATACATACACTCTCATGAAGAAGTTGTACATGCCAAAACATGCACCAAGTTTTCTTTCCATGTAAACTGCTTTGGCATATAAATTTAATTTTTTCAATGAGACATAAGTAAATCCATGACATAAAAACTAAAGATTAATAAGAGTTCAACAAGAATGACCTCGGCTCTAATAATTGCAGCAAATGGTGGCGCCTCTCTTCAGGGATGTCTTCAATCTTTTTCCTGTACAATATTAACATTATTAAACAGTCATCTTAATATTTTATAATACGCCCTATGAAATCTAACAGTGAATTGCATGAACTAGTGGTAGGATAACTCCAGGTGATTGTGTCATTTCATCCTCCTGCTTTGAGATATATAACATCATTAATTAACAGGTCATTGAAGAGCAACCCCGAGACTATACTAAATCTCGTCTTGAAAAAGATTAACACCCTCCACGAAAGATCCTATTTACTATAGCAAACCCGCGCAGCCAAGTTAGGAGTAACAGTAAAACTGAGACTGTAACATGTATCTGATAAAATTCCAGTAAACTAAAAATGCACAAGCCAGTTGCTTAGACTGAATTAATGCTGGAAGTAAATCAACCGAAGCAGACTAACCATAGATAAGCAGCCGGGTTATATGAAGCAGGGTCCAATGGAATCAACTCCTTTGGGGGATCAAGAAATGTCACAACATCAGATTCATCAACATAAACCCTTTTACCAGTAGGAAGAGTTTCATAGGGTTTCTCATCCCATGGAGATTCATATCCTCTCCCACCATGAACAGCCAGAACCACACCACGGGACAACCCTGTAAAAATCCAAAATATATCACATAAATCTCTCTCTCTCACTCATTTTTATTTTCTCTTCAGAAACCCAATAAAAAGACTCAGCAACATATAATCAACAAGGAAACTGCAACACAAGAAAGGCCTGAACTTTCATCTTCTAACATACACTACTACACACAGTCACCTCAATTTGATATCACCAAGTAAGTAGAAGTGTGTACAGGATTATGTTTTTAAAAAATATTAAACGAAACGAGAATAAGAACTTGAGCTCACTGTTCGAGAGAGGAAACCCAAGCTGCGGCTTTCCGTTCCGGCGAATTGAGCCACAGACCGCCGGAGTAAGTACCGGAGTCCGTGTAAGCCAACTCTCGCGGACTGCCCCTATCTTCATCTCCGGCCGAACCAAAAATTTCCCCAACAATTCTTTTGAAAATAAAATTAGAAAACAGAAATTGGATAAACGATATTTTTATTTCACAAGCACGGTTACAATTAAAGGGCCGTCATTGGGCTTTATATAAGCCCATATTTTACATTATTGGCCCGAGTTACATAACGCGTAAGTATTACGATTCCTTCCTTAGACAGATCAACGAGATTACCGAACTGAATCAGAGGAGCAGCTTCTTTCAAGATATTTCACATCTTCCAACAGTTTCACCGCATCTCTCATCGTTGGTCTCATTGCCGGATCTTTCTCCGTACAACTCAGTGCCAGTTCCGTCACTTGAATCACCTGTTCCCTAAGACTCGAATCCAGAAGCTCGTCCGCGAGAATCGGATCCACGATTGTTGTCACCATGTCTTCTACATTCTTGTCTCTGCTGCTGCTCAACATTGATCTGACCCAGCTTACTATATCTGTACTGTCCGGGAACGATTTGTCCACAGCTTTCTTCCTTGTTACCAGCTCGAGCAACACAACTCCGTAACTGTAAACGTCTGATTCTCTTCCCCTCACGGTTTTGAAAGCGTTTTCTGCACAGTTTTATGGTGGATTTTAGCCAATGATCTAGCGAAAGAAGAAACAGAGTATCTATACAACAAGTTTACTAGTTTAACTAACTCCTAACAGAATTTTAACCAGGTAACTAACTCAATTTAAACACTAAACCAGTCTACTATGTATAATGCATTACCTGGCGCGATGTACCCGGTGGTGCCTGTGACAGTTGCAGTTGAAACCGTTGAGTCATCAAGAAGGCGAGCCAAACCGAAATCCCCAATGTGAGGCTCCAAATCTGAGTCCATGAGTACGTTCTCTGGTTTTATGTCACGATGAACAATCGGGGGATGACAGTCATAGTGTAGATAGGACAGTCCGTGAGCGACACCAAGAGCTACGTTGTACCGTGCAGACCAATCTAGCTCATTATCTTTTGGACTAGCGCCGTGGAGAACGTCGTATAGGCTTCCTTTGGGCATGTATCTATACAGCATCAAACCGTCGTCTTTTCTCAGCCAAAACCCTTCTAACTTAATCAGATTCCTGTGCCTGACTTGACCAATTGTATCAATCTCTCTCATCATACTCTGGTTTGCGCGGATGTGAGATGCAAAGACGAGTCTCTTCACAGCGTAGACCTTCCCCGAGCCCAAAGAGGCTCTGTAGACAATTCCGTGAGCTCCTCTTCCAATGATGTACTTTTCATTTAGATTGTCAGTTGCTGCAAGAACTTTGTTCAGCAACAAAGATGGGCCTTCCTCCTGGGTGAAGACATAAGCATCTTTCTCTGGTTTTCCTTTGCGACGGTGTAGGCAAATGAAAACAAGGGCAAGAACCACAACTAAGACAAATAAAGAGGATATGACCGCTATAAGGGCAATTTTCCAGGTGCTGAGGCCACTTTTCTTGGTTTGATCCGCGCAGTAATTTAACCCGCTGAGGTTGCTAACAGAGAAGGAATGTGGGACACAGAGATTGGGATTTCCTGAAAACAACGACATATCAGAGATCAACTCTTTCTTCAAGCTTACCGGTATTGAACCACTGAACTGATTGTTCGAGACATCAGCGCGCAGCAACGAAGCAAGATTTCCAAGAATCGACAAAGAGCCTGTCAAATTGTTGTTCGATATGTTGAGTCTTGTTAGTCTGCCAAGATCTCCCAACTTGACTGGAATTACACCTGTCAATCTGTTTCCGCTAAGGTCCAAATCATAAGTCAGAACCTCTATCAACCCAAGCGAGGAAGGAATCTCACCACCAAAATTATTTCGAGCAATCTGCAGAGTTGACAGCTTTTTAAGCTCAGGAAAGAACTGTGGAATACCTCCCGAAAACCGATTATTGCTGAGAACCAAAGTCGACAAGTCTTTCCAGTTGCTAAAGTTTGAGGGAATTGAACCGTTTAAAGAGTTGAATCCAACATCAAAAGTCAACATCACACAGTTAGATAGCTGAACTGGTAGAGAGCCTTCAAGAAGATTACGCGAAAGATTCAAATAGCCAAGGTTTTGTAGATTCCCAAGCTGTGGAGGTATCTGTCCTGTGAGTTTGTTTCGAGAGAGGTTGATGCTCGAGAGGTTCCTACAGCTTCCGAGGCTGCGCGGGATTGGTCCTTCAAAGTTGTTGCTATTGAAGTCAAGAAATGAAAGGCTATGATCCTGAGAGAACTCAGGAAGAAGACCTGAAAGGTTGTTTTCTCTAAGGATGAATCGCATGATGGTCTTACAGTGACCAATAGAAGTTGGTATTGTACCGTGAAGCTGATTAGAACCCAAATTGAGTATTTTCAACTTCCTTCCATGACATAGATTCGGCGGTATCTCTCCTGTAAGTTTGTTACCAATAAAGTCAATCTCTTCTAAACTGCTGTTCACACCTAAACCCGGAGGTATGGGTCCGTAAAAGCTGTTGTTGAAGAGCGTAGCGATCTGTAGACGCTTCATCTTGGTCATTTCCATAGGTAGCTCTCCTGTGAGATTGTTTTGATAAACTAACAACTGCGTAAGACTCTGGCTCTTCCATATCTCAATAGGAATCTCACCCGAAAACCGGTTTTCGAAAAGCTCTAAACTTTCAAGATTCTTCAGCTTCCCCAATGTACTAGGTATCTCCCCTCCAAGCTGGTTATTGTTCAGCTTCAACAAGTTCAAGCTACTACAGTTCCCGAGCTCCGCGGGGATACTCCCAGAGAGACGATTCTCGGAAAGGTTTATATCTGTAAGCTTCTCCAACAAACCCAGTGAAGGAGGGATTGTACCTGACAAGTTACCATCCACAATGACTAGAGCGTCAAGGTTAGTGCAATTTCCCAATTCAGGAGGGACACCACCTTCGAATTTATTGTACGACAAATCTAAAGTCAACAAATTCTTGCACTTGGCTGAGCCCAAACGAACAGGCCCTCCTAGACTGTTGTTACCAACAAACAGATCAGTGAGATTCCCCAAAAGATTAAGACTTTCAGGTAATGAACCAACCAACTTGTTCCTGTGCAAATACAGAATCTCCAGATTACTGCAGTTCCCAATCGACTCAGGGATGTTACCAGATAACTGATTCGCAAACATACGCAGATCCACAATCTCCTTAGCCTCACCAACACTTTGAGGAATCGGACCGGTTAGATTGTTATACTCGAGATTTAAAACCTGCAACTTCGGAATTCGAAACAAGGATGCAGGCAACTCACCAGTGAGAAAGTTTATGTAAAGATACAGCAACTCCAAGCTCTTCAAGCTACCGAGAGTATCTGGGATCTCACCAGAGAATCTATTTTCAGACAAATCTAAAGAAACGAGCTTGGTACAGTTTCCTAAAGTGGAAGGTATAGTCCCAGAGAAATTGTTACTACTCAGATCCAAAATCTCCAAGCTTTTGAGCTCCCCAATTTCAGGACCCAATTGACCTGAAACGCTAGATCGAGTGAAGTTGAGAGCCACAACGTTCTTAGAATCATCACAAGTGATACCAAACCAGTTACATGGGGTGGCTTCAGATGCGTTCAGCTTCCATGTCGAAGTTACTCGGGGTGGTACTTTGTCCAAATGCTTCAGAAGCGAGAGTAGAGCTAACCCATCTGAGTTTAGACAAGAAATAGAAACGAAACGGCTCGAGAGAAAGAGACAGAAAAGTAGAAGAATATTGAACAGCCCAAGATTCTTCATCTGAGATTAATAAAAGCTAAGAAACATGCTCTTGTTGTATCAAATCAAAAAATTGGGATGATTTAAAGCTCAAGCCTCAGCAGAATAAAGCTTGCATGTAAGAAACAAGAAGAAAAAGGACAAAACTTGATTGACGGATAGTAAGCAACTGATGATTCTTGCCGTTATTTATGACGAGACAGAGACGACATGTTTGGTCTTGTATCAACAACGAGATTGTATCAATCTTCAACGCGTTTTCTTTTTGCACGCCGTTTCTCACTCGGTCTTCTTTATTTCCGTTTTCAGACACACGTGTTTTTATAGAAAGAAGTCATCTCTGTTTCTTTGATTCTATCATTTATATATTCTTACAACGTTGTCTTTTAGCATCTGTCTAAATTTTAAGCTCAAAAGAGTAAGAAGCTGTTAACAATAATTAATAACGAAACTAATAAGAAAGCATTTTTTTCATTAAAACAATTGGACTCTTTGGTTGTTGAATAGTCAATTTGTAAAGTTGGGTAGGTTTTCGGTCCATTATTAAATTCAGTACCAACGTATTACCAACCATTAAATAATTGTATGCAAACGTTAACGCAGTGCACTATCTAGTAGTTTAAATATGATATAATACGTGTACAAGTTAACATTCTTTTTGTTGATTGATAAGAACAGCTTAGCGTTAGCTTAGAGCTGAACAAATTGACTTTCAAATCATGATGACTAAGGCAAGCTTACGAGGATTTTTTTAATAGAATAAGCGACTTTTGATTCGACGTTTTTTTACAGAATTTTAAATTCACATTTCGTATATATCAATCTGGATCCAATCAACCTGAGACTTTAAAACTGTATCATATTTTTTTATGTATTAGACCGTATCTCACTAACATGCAGTATATCTATTTTTATATTGAAATAAAAATATATATTAAATGATTTGACAGAAACATAAATAAATATATGGTGCTGTAAACTAAGATGTTGTTATTGATATAATGTCACTAGATAATGTTACAAAAACATTATGTAGTAACGTTGCGAGTATAAATGGTTGCTATATTTTTCTCTAAGAGTGGCGATCCGGCGGAACGAACCCTGAAAACCGGTTTCCGGAGAGAACCAAAGTGGTCAAGTGTTTCCAGTTACTAAACTTAGAAGGAACCGAGCCTGTCAATAAGTTAAACCCAAGATTCAGGTGACTAAGGTTCCCTAGATTCACAAGTTCTGTAGGAATATTCCCCGTGAGCTTGTTTCGATACAGATTGATGGTATTGAGTTTCCTACAGCTTCCTAGACTACGAGGGATAGGACCTTCGAAGCTGTTGCTATTGAGGTCGAGAAAAGAAAGATCATGATTCTGAGAAAAGTCAGGAAGAAGACCTGAAAGGTTGTTTTCTCTGAGGATGAATCTGCTTAGTGTCTTACACTGACTAACAGATGGCGGTATTTTACCGTTAAGCCGATTAGATCCTAAGTTAAACACCGTCAACATCTTTCCTCGACAGAGATTTGGAGGTATCTCTCCTGTAAGATTGTTACCAATGAAATCGATGATCTCTAGCTTGCTGTTCAGACCTAAACCAGGTGGTATCACTCCATGAAAATTGTTGTTGAAGAGCGTAACGATCTTGAGATTCTTGAGCTCGGTTATTTCCATTGGTATTTGTCCTGTGAGATTGTTTAGATAGACTAGCAACTGTGTAAGACTCTGAATGTTCCATATCTCAATGGGAATCTCACCCGAAAACTGGTTTTCGAAAAGCTCCAAACTTTCTAACTTCTTTAGCTTACCTAATGTACTTGGAATTCTGCCTCCGAGTTGGTTATTGTTTAGCTTTAACGTGCTTAAGTTGGTGCAGTTTCCAAGCTCTGCAGGGATACTCTCAGAGAGACGATTCTCGGAAAGGTTAAGAATTGTGAGATTCTTTAACATACCCAACGTTGGAGGGATTTTTCCAGACAAATTACTTTTCACAATGACCAAAGCGTCAAGGCTACTGCATTTTCCCAGTTCAGGAGGAACTCCGCCTTCAAATTGATTGTATGACATATCTAAAGTCACCAGATTCCTGCATTTTGTTGAGCCAAACCGAACTAGTCCTCGTAGGCTGTTGTTTGCAACAAACAGGTCAGTGAGATTCTCCAAGAGATTAAGACTTGCAGGCAATGAACCAACTAACTTGTTCTTGTGCAAATAGAGAATCTTCAGCTTGCTGCAATTTCCAATTGACTCAGGGATTGTACCAGAAAACTGATTGTCAAACAAACGCAGCTCCAGAAGTTCCTTAGCCTCACCAACAATTTGAGGAATCAACCCGGTTAGGTTGTTATGCTCGACATGCAGATAATTCAGTGCCGGAATTTGAAACAAAGACTTAGGCAACTCCCCGGTAAGGAAGTTGTTGTAAAGATACAGATCGGCCAACCTCTTCAAGCTACCAAGAGTATCGGGGATCTTACCGGAGAAACTGTTTTCAGACAAATCAATGTATACAAGTGAGCTACAGTTCCCTAAACTGGAAGGTATAATCCCAGAGAAATTGTTAGAACTCATATCCAAGATCTCTAAGCTTTTGAGCTGCCCTATTTCAGGACCCAATTGGCCTGAAACACCTGAACCGGTGAAGTTGAGAGACGTAACATTCTTAGAATCATCACAGGTGATACCAAACCAGTTACATGGAGTGGCTTCAGATGCGTTTATCTTCCATGTCGAAGTTAATTCTAGTGGTACTTTGTCCAAGTGCTTCCGAAGCAAGAGCAAAGTTAACCCATCTGGATTTAGACAAGAAATAGACACTATACAAGTCGAGACAACAAGACAGAATAGCAGAAGAATATCGAACAACCCAAGTTTCTTCATCTGAGACTTAGGGGGAGGGTGTATTCAAAGTAGAACTTTAAGTGATTTGAGTTTTCACGACTTTTTATATGATTTTGATGATTTTAGGTAAGTTCATATGATTTATTGCAAAATCTTTTTCCAAATCCCACCTATTACCATGAGATTTGGAGTTCTGTATTTTCTAGTAATGAAATCCTCTCAAATGGATTGTTTTCAATAACAGTAGATTTTAATGTAGATTTTCAAATCATTAGTTCAATAACACTAGATTTTATTGAACTTATTAAAATCCATAATTGAATAACATAAGATTTTTAAAATTTTCACAAATCATTGACAGATATTAATCGATCTTATTGACGCCAATAAGAGAATGAAGCACATAAATGTTAGATATAGGTTTTGAGAGCAATCTTGAAAAGTAAGGACTTAGATGACCGTTGTACAACCAATTAAGGAGATCTTTAGTATTCTGGCCTAAATTGTAACTATTCTAAAAATAGTTTCTAGCCAATTTCCTATAATCGAGTAGAAGAAAGAATTAGAAAAGCAGGTGGCGCAGACAGACACTATCATAATTGGACTGGGTTATATGTAGAAAACATTTTCAAACTATCCTTTATCATTCCCATTAACATCTCCCAAACTCTCTCTACAGCTTCGCACATATACAAGTGTAAATTATCTCAATCTTGAGAGACTTAAAAAACTTACCAAAAGCATGAATCCATGACTTGGCCATAGTTCAGTTACGCCAATCAGATGATGCCTCAAGCTCCACATCCTCTTCCCACCAAGTTGCCGACTACAATACAATCAAGTTCCGACCAGTTTAAGATCTATGTGCACAAGCAAGAAACAGACAAACACAATCTAAACCAATGTGCTATACCTTGTATCCCCTACGCAGAAACTCGAGTGAACTTCCTTTCTCTTCTTGTAATCCCAGAACCTGCAACAGCTCTTCCTTCGTCTGTTTGTATACACATCAATCAAAGCTTGTTACTTCTTTTTTTTCTGAAGGTTGGGCAAAACGACTATACAAAAGGTTAAATGCTTTTAGCGCACATACTTCACCCAGTGTGAAACGAGTAGGGCTTTCTGCAACACACGCATATGAACCATCAGTTTGCTTAAGCATCACTTGCCATGGTCCTGCATTAGATTTTTGCATATCAGAAATGACTAGAGAAAACTAGTATTGAAAAATGGTTCTCAAATCTAATAGGGAGACTGAGACTAGCAGCATCACATCATGTTCAGTGATCAAGGAAGTCACAAACAGTACATATAGGCACAGCTATGCTATATATAAATTTATTCCCCCAAAGACTAGTTTCGCATTTACCAGGATATTGTCGAAAAAGTGCTCCATTGTAGTTCAACACAAACGGTGCCACTGCCACTGTCTTAGCCAAGCAAGAAAAAACAAATATTATGCTACTTACATTTAAGCAAAGCAGCCACGAAATGTCTTCTAATAAATTATCGTCATAATCGGCAAGTACCTTAGAATACTCTCTGGTTCGGATATAAAAGACAGGAATAAATTGAGAAAGAAACCGGTAGTGCAAATCTTTAGGGGGAAAGCCAAGTAGTCCTAGGTCAGCACTGCGCTAAAGTTCAGTTGTTACCAGAAGTGAGGAACAGAGAGAGATTCAGTTACAAAAAAAAATCGAGGTCTAAGTAGAGGTAATACCGCAAGGTATCTAGCTCTAGATTAAACAGAAGAGCTGGGGTTGAACTGGCAAAGGTTTCCTGCAAGAAGAGACCAACAACATACAGGTTGTGATTGACTAAGAAGGCTATAGCTAAAAAATGACTATATCCAGTGAACGTATCTAAACCAAGTTCCATGTTAAGATAGGAAAAGATAAAAGGATTCCAATACCACAAACTTCTCGATAAAAGAGAGTTCCCGAGTGCTGCAATTGATAAATATATAAAGGGTCGGTGGCTCCTTGGGTTCCCAAGTACCTGTAGGAACACATAATCCTCATGACTAAATACAACACTCCATCTGTTAACATAAGCAAAAATCCAAGTGAAAAGGACAAGTTTCGATGAAAGGATTATAGTTTTAGCTATACCTTCGTTTTCATCTTCGAAATCAAAGTCCAGGGTACTCCTTATGGACCTGAAGAAATTTGTGACAGAACCACCAGGTATATCATCTAGAGAACTGATGCTTATGCCATCAACCTGATGAGAACACACACAAAATGAAGCCGTTGTTAAGTAATCAAGTGCTTAATATCTCCAAAGGTTAAGCCTAACATATACAAAAGTGCAGCAAACTGGAAGTTCAATTTGTACCGAATCAAATGCTGCTTTGAAGCGTTGCGAAGCTCTACGCTTCTCAGGCTTGTCAGGAAAAACCTGAAGCATGTTTGATATTCAAAGGTCAGAAGAAACAAAAAAAGAAGAATGAGTAATCAAATAGAGTAACGAAGGAAATAGAATTACAATGCAAGCTCTGGTCTCTATTTTCTCCTGAAGTTTGCGAACAACAGTTATGGCCAGCTGTATGTTAGCATCAATAAAGTCGTCTGAAGAGCCCTGAACAACGTTTACAAGACGAACACTCTTTAAAACAAAAATCGCTAAACACTAAAAGTCACAATGGTACCAAGACAGAAGGAAAATAAAAATACCTTGTAAGAGGAAATGCTACTGGGCAAAGGTCTACACATGAACAAATAGAGCAAAAGACGCCATTATTAACCACGAAATTTGAACAATTGAGAAAAGAGTAAGAGAAGGAGGATTACGGGAAATCAATCTCCAAACGAGATTTTGAATCCTGGAGCGCGTAAGAAAGAGAATTGGCGGCGTCAGAGGCTAGAACCTCGTATGACTTGGGCTTATACAAGGGGACACCTCTCTTAGGGTCGGAGTCAGAAGAAGTAAATGAGAGTGCGCCGCCGCTGTTTGCAGTGGCTCCGCATCTGATTTTTCTGCTGGATAGAAGAATCGAAGGAGAAGAGAAGAGCGCCGGTAACATCGCCATCGCCATTTTTGCTCTCTCTCTCTCTGTTTAGTCGACGGTACGGTAGTGATAACACTGGCTACATGTCTAAACCGCAAAACTTCATGACACGTGGCTAAGTCCTATTATCTTATCTTAACCGAATTGGACCGGAATTTGAATGAGGTCATCATACCGGTACTGTTAACCCAATACAACGACGGCGACGAGAGACTACTGTTCTTAACGGCCGTCAAAGATATTTAGAGCTAATATCTGCTGCGGGTGGGCGCAAGATTATATCTTTTGACAACCGTTGATCTTAACTTGGTTTAGTTGACATCGACGGCTACCAGTACTTTAATGAGCTGAGGAAACACTCTCTATAACAGAAAGCAAGCGCGCGCCATTGGAGTCTTCTTTTTTTAACTTCTTCGACTCTGTTTCTCTCTCTAACTGAGAAAGTTCTCTCTTTCCCGAGAAAATTTAATTTTCATTCTGCTCTGAGAAAAAGCTTCAACCGAAGAGGGAGAATGATGAAACGAATTGATTCTTCTCTTCTGTACACGGCGTTCGTTGTGCTTCTTCTTCTTGGAGTAGTTCCTCGATCTAATGCAAGGTCACGCTCTAATCGACGTAAGTATCCCAAGAAAATTTCGATCGAATCTCGTGTTCATGCTTCAATCGTTGTAGTCTTTAGCGACGATGAGGTTTCTTTGATCTCCCTGTATCGCTTTTGAGTAATCGCACGAGAACGATGATCGATGATTTGCTTATCACCCCTAATTTGGTTTTGAGATTCTTTTGTTTCGTTGTTGTTTCTTACTGTTGGATCTTCGTTTGCAGCGCCCAGTTTCATGCGATTCGTGTCGAACGCAACTGATTTTGCGTCGGAGGATTACTACGACTACATAATCGTCGGAGGAGGTACGGCGGGATGTCCACTTGCCGCCACACTTTCGCAATCTTTCCGGGTTCTCCTGCTAGAACGTGGTGGCGTTCCGTACAACAGACCTAACGTGATGACGCACGATGGTTTCTTGACCACTCTCACTGACGTCAACAACTTCGACTCGCCGGCTCAGTCCTTCATCTCTGAAGAAGGAGTTCCTAACGCCAGAGGTCGTGTTCTTGGAGGAAGCAGTGCGATCAACGCTGGGTTCTATAGCCGTGCTGATAAACAGTTCTTTGAGAATTCAGGTCTTAATTGGGATCTGAGTAGTGTGAATCAGTCTTATGAGTGGGTGGAGAGAGCTATTGTGTTTAGACCTCAGCTCAGGACTTGGCAGACTGCTATTAGGGATGCGCTGCTTGAGGTTGGTGTACATCCGTTTAATGGCTTCACCTTGGAGCATAAAGTTGGGACTAAGATCGGAGGTTCCACGTTCGATCGTACTGGAAGGAGACACAGCTCTGCAGATCTTCTCAGATATGCAAGAACTTCCCACATTAGAGTTGCAGTTTACGCAAGTGTGGAGAGGGTTTTGCTGGCTTCATCTCCAAGTGACTCGGGTTCCAACGTCTCTGCGATTGGAGTGGTTTACCGTGATCAGCTGGGGCGTTACCATCACGCGATGATACGAGACAGAGGCGAGGTGATATTGTCAGCTGGTGCACTCGGTAGCCCACAGTTGCTTTTTCTTAGTGGGATTGGTCCAAGGAGTTATCTTTCGACTTGGGGAATCCCAGTGGCTCTTGACCAGCCTCATGTGGGAAATTTTGTGTATGATAACCCGAGGAACGGTATCTCCATTGTTCCTCCAGTTCCAATGGAGAACTCACTGATTCAAGTGGTGGGTATTACTGAGGAAGGGGCTTTTCTGGAGGCTGCTTCAAATGTGATTCCCTTTGCTTCGCCTTTGCATTCTGTGTTCATCAGAGCACCAGCTTCTCCTCTGTACGTCCCTGTGACAACTATTATGGAAAAGATCCTAGGTCCAGTGTCTATTGGTTTACTAAGGCTGGCCTCAACTGATGTGAGGATAAACCCAGTTGTTAGATTCAACTACTTCAGTGATCCACAGGATCTAGAGAGATGTGTCAATGGGACTAGGAAGATTGGAGAAATACTCAGGAGCCGAGCCATGCATGACTTTATGATTAGGGAATGGTTTGGGAACCGTAGATTCAGGTTTGTTGGAGCTCCATTGCCTGTGGACCAATCAAATGATCTAGTGATGGCCGATTTCTGCAGACGAACTGTGAGCACAATCTGGCACTACCATGGAGGCGCTGTTGTGGGGAAAGTAGTGGACTCGGATCTCAAAGTCATTGGTATTAATTCTCTTAGGCTCGTAGATGGATCAACCTTCAATATCTCTCCAGGGACTAATCCTCAGGCTACCTTGATGATGCTTGGAAGGTAAGAAGAAACTTACCAAATGTTACTCTTTGAGATTGTATCGGTTCTTCTTGGTCAAGACTAAAAGTAAACTTCTATATTGTTTCAGGTACATGGGGCTGAAGATGCTGAGAGAGAGAATGAGATAGAAATGATTCCCCAGATAGGCTCTTTCGCATTTTCTGGCTACAGTTAGTTTGTTCACTCTTTCATTGGACTCCTCGCTTAGTTCATGTAATAGATTACATTAGTTCATCAATATAGTCCATGTAAACAACAGGATTGAGATGTTCTCAGACTAGCCGTTATAGTACAAATACCAGCCTTCTTATGTCAGAACTCAGAATGCAAAGGAAAATTAAATCTTGTAATATGACAACAAGAGGAAACATTCTTAGAATCTTCTTTTTTGGCACTATGATGAACACTTTTGGAATTTGTTCCATGTAAATGGTTCCTCTTGAAGTTTCGTGGAATCTCCTACTTCTTTCTGTAAAGGAAGATAAGACAATCAAATGCATATCTATCGTCCTCTTACACTGCTTTCCTGGAATCTAATACCTTCCCATGATTCATGGGCCATGAAGCTTGACATCTTTTTATATATGCATTGCTTCATAAGCTAAACACTCAATTATTTTTCTGAATCAATCCCCAACCTGTTTCAATTCCAAAAAGCTTCTTCTGCAGCAAAAAAGAAAAAAGAGTTTAGCTCTTCGTAGATGGTACCAGATTATTAGCAGCTTCCTCTTATTGTAAAACTTTGGTTTCCACTTATTGTAAAACTTTGGTTACTTAGCATCTTCCCTTGCATCGTGTTTACAAAAGTAAGCGGTCAATTAATAACAACAAGGTCATAAGAATCTTCTCCTTAGATGGTACCAGATTATTTGCAGCACGACGGCGTCATGGATCAACAACAACAAGGTGATAAGAATCTGACTGTATTCGTAGGACCCTGGGGAGGAAATGGAGGAACTGCCTGGGATGACGGGATCTATGATGGTGTCCGTGAGATCAGACTTGTATATGATCATTGCATTGACTCCATCACAGTGATCTACGATAAGAATTGTAAACCTGCAAGATCAGAGAAGCATGGAGGTTTGGGAGGCAACAAAACATCAGAGGTTTGTTCCTCTCTCTCTTTCTCAGTTCTGTCTCTCTCAGATTTTGGTTTCCTTAAAATGAATGTTTTTGCAGATAAAGCTGCAATATCCAGATGAGTATCTGATTGGCGTGAGTGGCTACTACTGTCCACTGGTTAGCAGTGGCACTCCTGTGATTAGATCAATGACCTTCAAGAGCAATAAACAAGTCTATGGACCTTATGGAGTTGAACAAGGAACACCCTTTACTTTCTCAGTTAATGGAGGGCGCATTGTTGGCATGAACGGTAGGAGCGGCTGGTACCTTGACTCTATTGGCTTCCATCTTTCACGTCCTAAATCAACCAAAATGGTCAACAAGCTTCGGAAGAAGATCCACTGGCTCACAAGGATAGTAGCATCATAAAGTATATTGCACAGACTTTATCAGATAACATGTCTGCATAGAATGTACTAGACTATACAAATAAGGATGTTGGATGTATCTTAGTCCATAAAACCAAAAGTGACTGCGAAAGATACTCTTTAATGCACAACTCATAAGGAAGCATATCATTGTAATGGTAAAAACTAAAATCACACGAAGGTTTTTCATATTAAAGTTATAAACAAAGCATATTCCATAGTAAGCAATATACACAATAAGCCCGTGTTTGCGGATAATAGCAGCAACATTTCGAATAAGGATCGCATGCAAAGTGGCAGATAGTCCGAGCACGGATGTTGGTTAGCAAACTTATCCTCTGGCTTTAAGCTCTGCAAGCCTCCTCGACAAATCATCCTCATCGACTTTCTCCTCTGTCTTAGTAGGAATGGCATGACCAGCAGGCTGAGGAAGTCCCACAGAGACTTCCAAACCATAGTCATCTGCCACCTGCTGCATAAGGCTGTTGACTTCACCTTCTGGAGTGGACAATGAAGTTGAACCAGCCATAGCGTTCTCCATGAACTCAGCTTGAACCTCCATGTTCACAAACTGCTTCTCGAATGAATCCATTGTCTCAGACATCTTCTGTAGATTGCCTGTTGTAAGAATAAGGAAACAGAAACCAGATAAGAACCAACGCAATGAATCAAATTAAACATGTACCGAACTGAGACTAAAGGATTTCTTTTATCACAGAAAGAATAAAAAGATGAACCCTTTCATGTATTTCCATAAGAACAAAACCATCCTGTTTATTCAGAAGCATCCCTCAAGTTTACATTACCTTAAATATACTAATTCTTAACATAAACCATGGTGATCATGCATATCCAACCTCAGTTTAACAAAATAACGCCCTAACTAATGATCAGCAACAACACAACCACCAACAGAAACAATACTAAAACTTGGAATTTTAGCCAAAACCAGTATTTCTTCAGCCAGCATGAGAACTTGTGTATACATTATACTAAACTAAACCTATGAGCAGCATACGAAGATAATATCAGATCATTCAAATTCAGCCAAAGACGATGAAATACCTGTGGCAAGCGAGGACTCAAGGGATTTGACGATATTGGTCATGGATTTGGTGATGGTGGTCATCTTAGCCTGGGTATCAAGGCGAGCAACAACAGCATCCAGACGAGAAGCGAGACGTAGGTAGTTCATCTGCTCGCTACGCTTACGAATGGCGTTCTCAGCATAGATCCGAGCACCATCCATATTCCCCTTCTCGATCGCCTTCTTCACCTTCAATTTCTCAGCTTTCTCCTCCTTCTCGCACTTCCTTGATTGCCTTTGCAGAGACTTGGAAGTGAATTTCAAATCGAATATCTGATTCATCAGCTTATCTGTGTTACCCATGTTGAATCGATTCCTCTATCGATCTCCCTCGGCAGAAATCAGCAAAAAGAGAGAGACTTTAGGGTTTTCTCTGTATTTGGGAAAATATCTTAGACGCGTTGTTAATGTTAGAAGATAGAGAGAGGTTGAAGAAGATCATAACGAGGAAGGAAGCTAATAAAGTCAACTTTGGTTTTCATAATTGAAATCGGACTTGACCGGTTTAATGTAAATGTCGGTCATACCGGTTTAAATTACATAACACAACGCACACGTGTTAAAAGTGACTCAGCACCGTCCGATGTGTCGCGCTTTTTACACGATGGATCAGTTCAACGTCTGCGTGCCAACTCATAGTGAGCTTCTTTTGGATTTTTGCATGTTAGATTTGTTTCCAAATTCAATCTAATTTCAAATTTAAACCAAAGCTTTGTCTCTTCCAATTTTCCAAAAACGTTTTTTGAGTTAATGCAAGGGATAACAATGGCTGCGTAGTAAATTCGTGGATTTTGGAATCGTATTCCCTTGGTTATTGCAGTGTTCCGACTTAAAACCCTGATCCCCTTTTATGGCCCAGAAACCGGAAAATTAGATCAATTACAGGGAGTAAAAGTAGTAGAGAAAAAAGGTGGAAAGAAAAAGTTAGAACCTTTGGTGAATACCCATCAAGGCATTTGAGTCAGATCTTGGAAAAAAGAGGTGAAAGTTAGAAGCTTTCAGCTACTGAGCCAAGTTCCGTGAAGCAAATTTTGGAAATCTCAATTTTTTTCCTTGTGTGATTCGGTTTTCGGATATGAATGGGAGTAATGATGAGGAGCGAGTCGTTCACGAGGTTGCAATGGTGGTTCCTAAGCGGGTTCTGGAAGAAGAAAAAGACTGTGTTGAGGTTTTGGTGACTGAACTGAAGAAGAGAAGGATGGTTGTTGATAGAGTCGTCGGTCTCGCAGATGAGTTTCTCAAGGTTGGTCTTCTGTTTCATCTTACTTTTCCCAAAAATTACTAGTAATTTGTGATCACATAGTGTTTCCCAAGTGTGAAGTCTCTATATTGATTCTTCCTAAGGGTTTTTCTCAAGGTGCAAGTCGAAATTCTTGCAGTTTGTCATATAAAAGTACTAATCTGAAGTCGAGGAGGGTCCTGGAAGAGTGAATTTTTCAAGGAAAAAAGTTTCGTTTGATAGAACTAGCTCACTATGTCTATTTAGTGTCTAGATTTAGGATTTTGACAGATTGGTGACTTAGTTAGCTCTAATTTTGTAGAATACTCCGGAGACTGTTTGCTATTATGTGAGATAACTTCAACTCAAGTATTTCTTCAGGTAGCAGCTCCCTTGGAGACCTTGGGCAATGCAGCAGCAGAGCTTCATATACGCAAACCTACTCGTCTAGGTAAATATTGATTTATTTTTAGTTTAAGTTGGTAAATGAACATATGTTAAGTAGCATTGCAGCCTCACTTCGTGTTCGTCACAAGTTAGCTGGTTATTTTCAATTCAGGAATTGATCTCCCCTTTGAGATGCAAGGGTCTGAGGCTTTCATCCGCCAACCTGATGGGTTACTGTTCAGCTGGTTTGAACGTTTTCGGTGCTATCAACATCTTATTTATGGAATTGTAAGTTCTGTCTCTGAATCGTATATAAGGTTATTATACATCTTTGATTTAACAGTTAACATGTTTTCGATTGCTTTAGTATGTCAGTTTACTGTTTTCGTGATTCATGACACAGCAAATGAATTCTTGAGTTACAGGTAAACTGTGGTGGATACGATGTCACTTTGAAACTTGATGGCAGAGAGTTTTGTTGGGCAGCAGGGGAATCATTAGTTCGAAGGTTGGAATCAGAGGGCGTCATTAGACAAATGTTTCCTCTTCATGGTAAGCTATATCATTGTATCTATTGGGTTACAACCACCCTAGACTCTAGAATGGTTTAAAATTCTCACACAAAAAAAAACGTTTTGTTTGTAGATGAATTCAAGAGGAAGGAGCTTCTCAAAACTTGGGCATTAAATTGGTGGAACTTCACAAACCAACCAATTGATCAGATCTACTCTTACTTTGGTGCAAAGGTAGAAATATATATAAATCTTTATATGGTATATGTAACAGAAAGCTGTTGTTTAACTTATAACATAGAAAAATCACAGATTGGAGTCTACTTTTCGTTTTTGGGAATGTATACGCAATGGTTGATATTTCCAGCCTTCATTGGGTTTATAGTCCAGATGGTTGATTTTGGGTAAGTTTTTAATTCTGTTACAAGCTTTTAATTAAATACTATTAGACAATACGGCCTCATCCATCATTCCTTATTTTCAATCTTTCTTTGGTCAGATCCTTGCAGTTTCTTGCTCTCCCAAGTTTCTTTGTGAGCACAATACTCTGGGCTGCCTTGTTTCTTCAGTTCTGGAAACGTAAAAACGCAGCCTTGTTAGCTAGGTGGGGATCCATACACTGATGCATATTTATGCCACAGTTTAGATTTGTTTTTCATTTTCTGATTTCACTTTTTGCTTCTATTCTCTACCAATAGATGGCAGATCAATTGTTTAGTTGGCCCCAGTCAAGGATATAGATTTCTCGGAATGGAATGGAGTTCCCTTCCGTTTCCAAAGGAGCTTATAAAGAATCTCGGAAATGAGAGATTCAAAGAGAAGGAAGCATATCAAAGATATGAATGGTTTGCTTATCGCAAGAGGTTTAGGAATGATGTTCTTGTTATCATGAGCATTATCTGCCTCCAACTTCCATTTGAGCTGGCATATGCTCATATTTACGAGATTATCACATCTGATATAATTAAGTGCGCGCTTACTCTTTTTTTGTTTACTAGATTTACCAGTCCCATGTTTTAGCCACTTAGTTAGGACCATGACAGTTTTTCAATGATGGTTTCAGGTTTCTGTTGACAGCTATCTACCTACTAATCATTCAGTATCTCACGAGACTGGGAGGCAAAGTATCTGTCAAGCTGATAAATCGAGAAATCAACGAGAGTGTGGAATATCGAGCCAACAGTTTAATTTACAAAGTAAGGACAGCATTGTTTTACCGAGAACTGTAACTCTTTTCTAATCACTGCTTCGGGAAATTTTGGCATTGCAGGTTTTTGGGCTCTATTTTATGCAGACATACATTGGAATCTTTTACCACGTTCTTTTACATCGAAACTTCATGACACTTCGACAAGTATTGATCCAAAGGTTAATAATCTCACAGGTAACAAGAAAGATGGTGCTGTGATTTGTTCATATGTATTTTTTTGAAGATGGGATCTCGTTTGAAGATGTTGTTACCTACATATGTATATATATATATATATATTCTTTTTTTTAACACCTACATGTTTAAAAATTCAATTTTCTGCAGGTATTCTGGACTTTGATGGATGGTTCTTTGCCTTATCTTAAGTACAGCTACAGAAAATATAGAGCTAGGTACACTCTTTATTTCATCTAAACAGCTTGTAAAACATATGCTCAGAACTTGTAAGCAAATTTCTTAACTTCTTTCTTTTTCCAGGACAAAGAAGAGAAGCGAAGGTGGATCATCAACAGGAAAAATTCAAATAGCATCAAGAGTTGAGAAGGAATATTTCAAGCCTACTTATTCGGCAAGCATTGGAGTAGAACTTGAAGATGGACTTTTTGATGGTAATATATGAAGTCAGTGGTCTTGTGTGATTTGTTTGATTGTAGCTTGAAAATGTTTCAGGTAAAAATTGAATTATGAAACTGCCTTTTGCATTGCAGATTCACTCGAGCTGGCTTTGCAGTTTGGAATGATCATGATGTTTGCTTGTGCCTTCCCTCTTGCATTTGCCCTTGCTGCAGTGGTAACATTTACGTTATCTGATACTTCTTCCTCAGTTATCTTTAGCATTTAAAAAAACAAAAAAAAATCTTAAAGACATGAATTTATGTCTTACACAGAGCAATATAATGGAAATAAGAACAAATGCCTTAAAGCTGTTGGTGACACTTCGTAGACCTCTTCCTCGTGCTGCTGCAACAATTGGAGCCTGGTTAAACATATGGCAGGTACAATGGGTCTAGCAAGAAAATAGCGAACCTATATCACTGTTCTTATCTCACTGCATCTAGTGATTTCTTTCTTTCTTCCGTTTTTCAGTTTCTAGTAGTAATGTCCATATGCACAAACTCAGCACTCTTGGTATGCTTATATGACCAAGAAGGCAAATGGAAGATCGAACCAGGGCTGGCCGCAATTCTCATCATGGAACATGTACTCTTGCTTCTGAAATTTGGTCTCTCTCGTCTTGTCCCTGAGGAGCCTGCTTGGGTTAGAGCCAGTCGTGTGAATAATGTGACACAAGCACAAGACATGTACTGTAAACAGCTCTTAAGAAGCATTTCTGGTGAATTTGCTTCCATGACAAAACCTGAACAAGAACAGCAAGAAGACTGGGAGCGCCTTTAACCTGAAAAATCAGAATCAGAGAATACTAAAAGGCTTTTTCTTTTTCTTTGTGTGTGTGACAGTTTGATTTTGTGCATAAAAGTTGTGTGGTAGAAATATTGAATACTTGTATCTTCGGTTTTGTCTGTAACAAGTTGAACTATATGAAGAAATCATTTTAATATATAATTATTGGTCAAAATCTACGGAGAAGAACAGCCCTAATGTAATGTGCTCGATGGTTGTGTTAAGATTAAGATTTAGCTCAAGGAAATCAAGTTCCTGAAGACAACTAATATGTATATATAACTAGTCCTATATGAATGAAGACATAACATACCAGTCTCGTTGAGATCTGAGCTGTGCTCTTGTTCTACCCTTCTCCTCTTACCACCACCAATGGTATCTGTCTCAAGCAACTGTGCATACACAAAAGCGTTAAGGAGAGCCACCTCAAAAAATAATAAATAACCGCCTTGCTTGAGGATGAAGTTACCTTGTGTTCAGTTGGCTCAGGATCATCTAATATAATCAAGCCCCTCTCGCTCATTAGCTCAAGTGTCCTCATTGGCACAGTTTCCCAAGTGATTCTAATGGGTTTGCCCTCTGTTGGACCAGACCAGACCAGGTACAGAAACAAACATGATAGAGATCGATTAATTCAAGGATTAATAAGAGACGACTCCAGTGGCAGGTCTATGTATGAGTAATTACTACCTTTTATTGCACGATTAATATTTTCATATCTACATACCTCAGCTTGATGAGTGTTCGCTGGTCTGTAAGATAGTCATTAGTAAAACAAATAGAGGATTTGAATTTGAAGAAAATCACACATCACGTTGGAAGTGTTGATAACACGCAAACGTACGATACAAGTCAAATCTATTCTCTTGAATACCAAAATCACATCTACGTTACCTTCTCTTGTGTTGTTGAATTAGTTCCCAGTTCGGAGCTTACACTTCGATTTCATTTTGATGCTTCTCCATAGTCGATAGAATCGCTAAACTCCCAGTATTACTTTCTTTTCCAAGCCCTAAAACTTGTTCTGGTTGTGTAAACTTTTCTTTTTTTTAACATTTGTGGATGTTTCATCTCTATTAGACTTCATATATAACACATCTCGACCATGTTACAAGTTGAACTATGAAGAAATCAATTTTTATATGTATCAGAGAAGAGAAGAACATCTTAACTAATGTGCCCGATGTTACATGTCCTGTGATTTCTATTGCATTAAACATCTCTAATGCAGCAGTATCTATTAACATTTTATGTTCTTAGCTTCATGATTAGTTAAAGTAGTAACTGATTAGTACTCCATTTTCTCATTTATGATTGAAGTCTCGTAAAGATGATAAAATTATTAGAACAATAATTTTCTCTTCTTTTTTTTCGGGGTCAAAGATATGAAATTTTCCTTTCATATATAAAGATGGGTTTTATTTGTCAGCTTCTCCTTTTAATATTAGTGGAAAATTTCTTTTTTGAATAGTAATTCTTTTCACCTAATCAAATGATCAAACTTTATTTTGTTTTCTTTTTGTAGTTTCAACATCAGTTTTAGAATTTATATAGGTACTTCATTCATTAATTTAGAAAAAAAAAAAACATAATGCATCATAGAGCAATCTTCAGTGATATCACACTGTCTGTTTTTTTTTCCTTTCAAAATTACCATAAAGATCCAAAAATACTATAAACTTTAAATTTAGAAAGGAATCAAAAAGCGTAGAAGAAAAAAAACATCTTACTAGTCTTTCCTGGTATATAATAATTATCTTACTAATTAATTTTTTATAATCCTTTATATAAACATAAAGTTGTGATATTCTTAGGTAGACTTGTTTTATAATATTGTAAAGATTAAAAGAATTTATGCAAGTTTTAAGTTAAGATTTGCTTAAAGGACCATCAATAATGATGGTGTAATCTTTTGCTCGTACGTTCAAAACTCGAATACTAGAAATTATGCTAGAAATTAAAAGAGTTGATTAGTAAATATCATGAAATAATCACCACAAAATGATATATACAGAAACCCCATATTTTTCCTTCTTCTTTTTTTTTTCTCTGGAAAGCTATTGAATTATTTTCTGAACTCAATTAATTAGTGGAGATAGTAAGCAACAGCAAAAAAAAAATATACTAAAAAAGACATAACTTATTAAAAAAAAAAAAATAGAGAAACTCGAAGCAAAAAAAAATGGTGCAAGAACGTACATGGACGAATAGTACTTGATGTTATGGATTAAAGACATAGCATCGTGGCTTATATATGCATGCGGACAATTTCTCAAATGTATATGAAAGGACCACTTAATTACAGAATTTAGATAAAGCATATATATGACTGATTAATTATCAATGATTTATGTCTATCATCATTTGATTTGTAATATGAAACTATAGCTCAAACTCGAAAAATATGTGAGATCGTTATAGATCACGAGAACAAAGCATAACATACTTGCTTGATAGACATGATAAGCGTGATTTCGGTTTTCTATATATATAGCTAACACACTTCAAAATGTCGTGTACGTGAAATGTTTAACTATTAATCTAAATTATTAGACCTGGATTATTGGACTGCACGATACTTGAGAGGACTTTAGCAGCTTTTTAAAGTAAGTGCGATTGAGATCTTAATGGGACACGCGTGACTTGTCCCAAACAGAAGAGGACGAATCAACTTTTAAAACTGTTTTGATTTCTGGACAACAAAAATATGATGTGATTATTATTTTATCTTGTAATTCTCTCGTTTAACAAAAAAGAAAGATTTGGCCGAAGTTCCTAAATTTTTTCAGAAACTTATTCATACGAACCGCATATAACAATAATGTGGTACGAATAAGATGAGAATATCTATCAAACTCGACGGACACAAGGAATTTCACGAGCTTATATACCGATGCCGATTCGATCTGATAAAATCTCAGTGTTGTTAGGTTATCGAATAAGTGTATGTGTCAGACTATATTTCGTGAGACACATATAAGAACTTTACTTTCTGAGATCGATGAATCATCACGCACGTGGTACATGAAAGCGTGGCTAGACACGAGAGTACTCTCCCATATATAAAAGTATAAAACTCATCATGATCTTAAGTCTTAACCTTTTTACGAAAATAGCTTGTAATTATTATATATATATATATATATATATATATATATATATAAATATAGCTTGTAATTTGATTATATCACACAACACACCATTGTCTTAACGTCAAATAATGTGTTGCTCAAAACGTGAAAATTGAAATTGTCTTAAACTCTTTAAATATGTACGGTATTAACACTATGTTACTAATAAACTCATGGTTATATATAGTTATGTTAGTAAGTTAACATGCCCTTTATATACATAATTCAAAGCAAAATATATATAAATGGATATCACGTTTGGTAAGTTCAGAACGCCGACGCGTATTGTAAATCACATATTGCAAGGCAACGTGTTTCTAAGATTTCTTATGTAGGTGGCATTGCATGCTTTATAGGTTTGCCATTGCTGTAGTGTCACGGATCCAACTTTATATATTTATTGATCAAACCTTTTTCTAAAACATTTGTTGAAATATTGACACGAAATTACATGTCGCCGATACTTTGAAAACGTTTAAAAATCTTTTATGCAGTTTCCTTGTTTTTTCTACATGCAAATTAATCACATCATCAAAAGGAAAAGATGGTATTTTCCAAATGCTCACTCTTAATAAGTTTCAAAGGCTTTAGTCTTTAATCAAAATTTGTGTAAATGAGAGAGCAGTCAAAATTTTGGAGCTAAATAAACACAAATCCAGTCATAAATCGTGGACCGCTTGACTGGTTTTGGTAAAATGTAGTCATCTGGTTTTCTAATAAAAATACACAATAAAATAGAGAAAATGATTTTGTTGAACACTATCGACAATAAACGAAGAAATCAAATACTAGAAGATGAAAACAAAGAGAAAGCCTGCTGTATCCACCTAATTCCTTAAAAGGCTGCTACTACTTAATTACTAGTTAATTAATTCTTCTTCTTCTTCTTTTTTGTCCCTCACGATTCCTCCCAAGTGCCTTCCTATTCAGTTCCATTTTTTATCCATAATCATGTTACATGTATATCACATAATCATGTATAGTCTATCGCATAATTAAATAATTTTAAAAGTAAATGTATATCACATAAATATTAAGGTATCACAAAGTTGTACCATAATGTCATAGAGTTACATTTTTTGCTTTTTGCTGTAGAAACAACTAGTAAATATTAAGATTAAAGAAAAAAAATCAATAAATAATTAATATCCAATAACAATCAAATTTTATATATGATTAAAAATAAAAATAGCTAAAGTAGGTTTGGATTAATCTAAAATCCCATTAAATAATACAGAATGTCATATTATGTGTCGTCAACATATATATTATTCAATTAATTCAATATCTCTTAATATTTTTATAATTTAAATCATAAATCAAAAACTTTTTTTTATCTTCTATAGTACATATTGCTTTTAATTAATTTTTATTAATAGGAGGATATTTTATTTATTTTTGTTTATTTTGAAGTAAGGATATATTTTTTGGTTTTGGGAATATTCGTCTCATATTCCCGCGTTACCTCCTCCTCATCTTTTTTTTTTTTATAATAAAAACTTAAAAACCTCTTCCAAGAAACTTCTAAAAAGGCAATAAATCACCCGAGACGCTCTCACAACCGTCGGATCACTATACAAGACCCATGTTTGACCCGTAACATCATCAGATCCAACGGTTCTCGTAAGAAACCCAAAGGATTCTTCCTTTTTTTGTTTACCTTAAGGTAATATTCCATTGGCATCTCCGATTAAATCCCTCCCTTCATTGTTTTGTATAAATACCTAACCACATTTCTATTCTCCTCAATCCATAAAACCAACAACAACAACTCTTATAGAGAGAGAGATAGAGAACAAATCCAATATTTTTCTTGAGGAGAGCATCATCATCATGGCTTACAACAATAGCAATAACAAGAACAACAACAACATTGTCGTTGTTTTCGACTTTGACAAGACCATCATCGACGTTGATAGCGATAACTGGGTTATTGATGAACTTGGCTTCACTGATTTGTTCAATCAACTTCTCCCCACCATGCCTTGGAACACACTCATGGTTTGTTCTACCTTCTCATCTCCTCTGTTTTCTCATTTTTTTCTTGCTGTTTTCAGTCCCTTGTTTTTTTCTTTTCTTATGGTTTATGTTTCAATTTTTGTTTAACATCATCCCGGTAACGAATAAAGCCCTCTAAATGGAATTTGTTGTACAAAAATAACAGGATCGTATGATGAAGGAGCTTCATGATCACGGCAAAACCATTGAGGAGATCAAACAAGTCTTGACAACAATCCCAATCCATCCACGTGTTGTCCCTGCCATCAAATCTGCTTATGCCTTAGGGTAATCTACATTTTTATTATTTTTTCCTTAAATTTGTTTGTAACGATCATAATTTTTTAACAAAATTACGTCCAATGTCAGACAAAACACACCGTTTCTGATCCGATATTTACGGTTCGTTTTTTCCCCAGGTGTGAGCTTAGGATAGTGAGCGACGCAAACATGTTCTTCATCGAGACCCTCGTTGAGCATCTCGGGATAAGTGAACTCTTCTCTGAGATTAACTCGAACCCTGGTTTTGTCGATGAACGTGGCACTTTGAGAATCTCTCCTTACCACGACTTCACTACAACCCCTCATGGCTGCTCTAATTCCACTTGTCCTCCTAACATGTGCAAGGTACTTTTTACATTTATTAATCAACGTTACAATTTGTTATTACATTCTTTTTTTCACAAAATGAAAAGTGTTTTGAGATCATGATGATGGTCGTTTATTACTAAATTTTTTTTAGTAATCATATTTATGTTTACATTATATATAGGGTTTGATCATCGAGAGGATTCAACAATCTTTAGCGAAAGAAGGAAAGAAGAAGATGATTTACCTAGGAGATGGAGCTGGTGATTACTGCCCGAGTTTGAAACTAAAAGCTGAGGATTACGTAATGCCTCGTAAGAATTTCCCGGTATGGGATCTAATTAGTCAGAATCCGATGCTGATTAAAGCTGCGATTAGAGAGTGGACCGATGGCCAGAGCTTGGAGATGGTATTAATAGGAATCATCGAAGAGATTAGGTTGGAGGAAGAGAAGGAGAAGATGTTGAACAGTGCCGAGACTAACTGCAAGATGCAGACCATCTCTGTCGGGATTAACAGTGTTCATCATGAACCAATATTAATGCCTCGTGCTCTTCGTGTTTCTCAGTCTAGTTAGATGTTTTTAATACATATAGTGAAGGATGAAGAATATATAAACTGTGGTGATTCTTCTTCTTGTTTTTCTTTCATATGTTTGATTTGTAGTATTCCAAAAATATTGGAAGTTATCCTAAATATTTTATTAATTGTGTGAGGACGATGAAAGTATTGCAAGAAGATTAATGTGATTTTTGTTATTAACAATTATTAATTACTTCTTTTATTTGGTTGATCAACTTAATTTAACAGAGATGATTTTTATTGGTAACACAAAAACACTATATATTTGTCTGATTCTATGGTAGCTGGCTGTTTTGTCATTCATCACATGTATTTTGTCATCCTAAAAAAGAAAGTAAATATTACATTACATTTCTTGATATTCCAAAATCTTAAACTTATAGAATCCACGTGATCAGCTATGCGGTCCCAAATACAGAATCATATCTCAAATCATTTTGACACGAATATTCTTCATGGTGATCCCATAGTGATACGTGTATTCGTTTTTTTTTCATGGTAATGCATGGTTTCGAAATATTTTGTGGCAAATGCTGCACGCAGATGTCATTAAGTTTCTTGGCCTATACATAATACATATTATTAACACATCCATCAAACTTTATCTGCCTTCCAATTTTCAAAACTAATTAAGAAAACTCCAAGCACGAAAATTTGTAGTTTAGCGAATTATCGTCGTTTTTTTCTTTCTAAATCTTTTATTAGTTTTCATTGTCGTTGTCATGGTTTACAATAACAGTTAAGAAAGATGGGCATGAGTGATTTAAGTACCTAGTGATTATTACATGTGATTGTTTACTAAGCTTATAAATTATTCTGCAAAGTGTTTTGCTCTCCTTGTTTAAATGAGAACTTCGTTGATATGACTATATGAGCATTGTACGCCATTGTAGAACGTCTTTAAGTATTGTCGTAGCCTCGTAGCTGGAGGTTGACAGTGTTCCCATTAACGGAGCTTGCTAACAAATTTTTATCTATTAGTATGACAATTGACTTCAATGCCCTATGTAAATAAATTTGGGAATTACGAAGCCCATTAAAACCCATAGGTTATATACACACCTCGCATTCCACACATGCAAATCCACTAAACACATAATCGGCCCATTATGGCCCATTATAAACATATTCAACACAAGAACTTGGATCAGGTCGGAGAAGCCGTGGAAACGGCGGCGAGATTTTGTAGATTCGATTTGACGACAGTATCAACAAACATCCTCGTGTCTTCTTCCGTGTTACCTTTTGGTATATCAACAATGTAAGACTCCAAGACCACACTGTACACTCTCTTCTTATCCTTCTGATCCAAGACGACGAACTCGTTAACCGATGTAACCGACCGGTAATTATTTAACCGGTGTTCTCCTCCAAGAACGCGAAAACTCAAGATCCGTTTCTCTTCATCTAGAGCTTCGAGCATCTCAACGCTTGTTGACGCTGGGAGACCAGACACGACGCTCACTTCCCTTATAGTCCCAACTTTAATCTCTTTGACGCCGTCGTTGTTACCGTAACCTCTGATGGTGCAACTCCTGATGAAGTGTTTGTATTTGTTTGGATTGGCGAAGTCGCGGACGAATCTCCATATGGCATGTGCTGGTGCGTCTATGCGGTGTACAATGAGGGATGTACACGTGTTTGACGATCTTGGGAACGTATGGTGTGTTCGGATGATAGAGTCTAGTGTCGAGAACTCCTCCTTCGTTAATCCGTATGGTGTCGACGATGATGCTGTTGTTGTTGTTGATGATGATGATGGACCGTGGATTGGATCAAGATTAGGGTTCATGGTTTTGGGTGTACTTTTGAGAAGAATAATTTGTGTAAGTGTAACCGAAGCTAGGACTGGTTCTCTTGACACACGTATATATGTAGAGATAGAGTGTATATTATAATGGAGAAGTGAGATATATTGATCTGTATTTGACTAATATTGGAGTTGGGATGCACTAATTAATAAAATGCCTTTTGTCATTAGGCATTTTAGAAAAATTGGTGTGAAAATGTGAACGTGACATCAAATCCAATTATTATATGACTCATTGGATCCTTCAGGAGCTACCGGTAGATCATCTTATTGGATTAAAAATACGAAATAAAAGCATCAAAATGGAATCTGATCAAAATTTTGTTAAATTAGTATGATACGCAAAGACGTAGAAGAAAGATCAATACCTTAAAGAATGTGAAAACCACAATGCAAAGTTGGAATAACTCTTATGCAAGCAACAGCAAGGGCGTTGGGTTTGTATGCAAGTTGCTTACATAATTTAACAAAATCAAATTACAAAGAAAAATGCAAATATGATCAGTATAACTTTTGAGTTGAGTTGAGCCCATGTCCAACATACAAAACAAAACACGACGCAAATTGGGTTTTGAGTCTCTTGATGCTTTTAACAAATTTTGTAGACTGAGTCCATTACTTATGTAGGCACGTGATGTGCACGTGAGAACGAGTACAAAGTTGAGATAGCTTTGTTGTCTTGTCCTTTTCAAGTTAGCAAAGTCGATGGGTAATATTTCAATTTCAACTCGGAGTTGTGTTGAGAGCAGAGACAGTTCTTAAGATTAAGTAACTGGTTTGAGATCACAGTCCTGGTTGCTGTGAATCTGTGATATGCAAATCCGGCACTACTTCACCGGAACCGGTTTATCCCGGTTTAGGATTTCACTTTGATTTTTCCGGTTTTATATATCAACAGAGACGGCGAACGAAACCAGAAAATTTGTTGCAGAAGAGGGACGATGGTGATGACAAGCAGGCGTAGCTGGCCATCAACGAGAAGACATCAACTGGCTTTCGTGTTGCTCCTGGTTCTTGTAGCTCTCGGAATCTGCGTTCCTGTCTTTGCTCTTCTTCCTTCATTGTCCTCTCCTCAGTCTCTATTTCGGGGTGACAAGGTAAGCATCAGGGATTTTATACTAATTGATTCTTAATGAGGCTGCTGCTTGGTTCACTTTGGAAGTGGTGACTGGTGAAAGAGTTTTGATTCTGTTCCATTGCTGATGCATACCAAGAAATTTATGTTTATATGGTTCTCATTTCATGTAAAAGTTGTTAACTCTCACTTTTGAAAGTTGCAGATGATATCTCGGAGGTTTTATATTAAAGCTGACGTTTTCTGGAAAGATGAGAATCCTTTTCAGATCATTGGTGGTGATTTGCATTACTTTCGTGTTCTTCCTGAGGTACTTTCCCTTTCCGTAGGTGACAGATGCCTTCTTTATAAGTGATCCATATGATTGTTTCGTAACATGTTTTCAAGTTTTACACAATCTTTTCTCTTGTTGATTATCACTATTTTTATATGATGGATGGATTGATGCAGTACTGGGAAGATCGTCTTCTAAGAGCCAAGGCTCTAGGCCTTAATACTATTCAAGTATACGTTCCTTGGAATCTCCATGAGCCAAAGCCCGGAATTATGGTTTTTGAGGGTATTGGTGATCTTGTGTCCTTTCTCAAGCTCTGTGACAATCTAGATTTTCTAGTTATGTTGCGTGCAGGACCTTATATCTGTGGAGGTCTGTTTTATTTTCAATCTTGTGTAGCTTTTTGAGTTGATATTAATGCTTTTACCAATTTACACAGAAACTAATGCTGATGAATGTTCTCATCTCCATTGCAGAATGGGATTTGGGGGGATTTCCTGCTTGGTTACTTGCTGTGAAACCACGTCTCCAACTAAGGACATCGGATCCTGCGTATCTTAAGTTGGTAAGTTATCAGTTAAATGAATCAAGTGGTAGATAACTGGAGTCACCCATGGTCTGCAGGCTAGAGTTCTCAATTATCTTTGCGGAAACTAACAAGAAATGATCTAGTGATTTTTGGAAAATTAGTGGAAATAATTATCACTTTTGCACAATTTATAGAAAAGAAAGGCTGTTCTTATGCAAACTAGCAAGAAAAAGGCCCATTTTTTTTAAGACTGTTGTTACGCATTATGTTCAAGCTCATTCATGACAAAACATATCACAGGTTGAAAGATGGTGGGATGTTCTGTTACCGAAAGTATTTCCTCTGCTTTACAGCAACGGGGGTCCTGTTATAATGGTTCAGGTACATGATCAAAAGCGACGTTCCACTATATAATTTATCCTGATCTGGTATTCTAGTGTTTGCTGGATGATTGCAGTTGGTAAGATGTGGCGGTTTCATTACTGAGTAGCCTTACTAAGTTGATCCTTTGGAAGAATTCTTTGAAATAAGATGTCTTGTGTATAGATTCCTTAGACCTGGAACACTATGGTTGACCAACGAAAGTTAGAGTCCAAATCCCTGTCATAGATCTCTTATATTAGTAAGCTTGTTTACTAAATGTAGACCACTTTTTGCAGATTGAAAACGAATATGGTTCATATGGACATGACAAAGCCTATCTTCGTAATTTAGTTAGTATGGCTAGGGAACACCTGGGGGATGACGTTATTGTGTAAGACTTGATTTCTGTGGTTTCTATAATTCAGTGAACTATGTTCCCTGTTACTATATGTTTTGGCTTGCTTAAGGTGAATTTTTTATATATGCTCAAGTCCTTGAAATCTCTTAGTGTCTATTAGTGTTTTGTTCTGAACTTTAAAACCATCGTTCTGTGAAAATAGATTGTTTTGAGTCAAGTTGAATCACCTAACTAGCAGTTCTTTGGTTAAGTAAGAATGTTTCTTGTTTCTCTTCATGAATGATTTTCAGGTACACAACCGATGGAGGGACAAGAGAAACACTTGAGAAAGGAACTGTCCCTGTAGATGATGTCTACTCAGGTATAGTATATGCTTCCTCTGAATCATGATCCATGATTCATAGTAAACTGAAATAATGATCTGTTTCTGACTTTGATGTATACAATGCCGAGCAACTTCTTTCTCTGATAGCTGTTGATTTCACAACCGGTGATGATCCTTGGCCAATATTTGAATTGCAAAAAAAGTTTAATGCTCCAGGAAGGTCACCTCCACTTTCCTCGTTAGTCTCTTATACTCTCAACCTTCTACTCTAAAATCAATTTTTTCATTAGATCCATTGGGTTGTTTGTTACAGGGAGTTCTATACTGGTTGGCTCACGCATTGGGGTGAGAAGATTGCAAAAACCGATGCTGAGTTTACAGCAGCTTCTCTTGAAAAAATACTGTCTCGAAATGGTTCTGCTGTGCTTTATGTATGTGCTTAATTTTTTTTGCGTATCAGTGTTTACCACATAGGGATTAACGATAATAGTGAGGATTGTGTAATGTGATGTTCAGATGGTGCATGGAGGAACAAACTTTGGTTTCTACAATGGTGCAAATACTGGCTCTGAAGAGTTTGACTATAAACCTGATCTGACATCCTATGACTATGTAGGGCAATTTCACATCATCACCTGCTACTGCAAATCCTTAACTATATTCCAAAGTTGTAATAGTTTTGCTTTTGTGATTTCAGGATGCTCCCATTAAGGAGTCAGGTGACATAGATAATCCAAAATTCCAAGGTTTGATCTTATGATTTCTTTTAGCGATTTGGGAGTATTGCTTTGTTTCTTTTAATAAACTTTGATGCTCTTTGCAGCTCTTCAGAGAGTGATTAAGAAGTACAATACTGCACCACACTCCATTACCCCCTCCAAGCAACTGAAAGCGTATGGTCCTATCAAGATGCAGATGACAACATCGCTATTTGATTTAGTTAGTATGACAGATCCTGCAGATATGATCACCTCAGCCAACCCAATTTCAATGGAGTCTTCTGGACAGGTATGTAATATCAATTGTCGTTATTCCATATATCTGATTCTGCAGCCTAAGCACTTCACCACTCACCATGAAATGTTCTCATATTATTGCCCTTTATATAAACTGATTCTCTATTGTTTGCTACCAGATGTTTGGATTTCTTTTATATGAATCTTCATACATTACAAAAAAGAGTGGGAATATACTAAGAATACCCAAGGTATAAACATTCGTTTCCTTTTCATCTGAAACCAATGGAAATATGTAAATGTATATTATTTTTTCAATCATGGTAAATATAGAATCCGGGAGACATAAATCCAGGAGCAACATAAGGGTCATCGTCTAACATGATGAGTTGCAGGTTCATGACAGAGCTCAAGTGTTTGTTTCGTGCCTTTCCCAAGAGGCTAATGAGGGAGTACTGAGATACATTGGTACAACTGAGAGATGGAACAACCAACCTATATCTCTTCCAACTATTGAGTGTACCTCCAACACTAGCTTATTTATTCTGGTAAGAGAATCCATGATTCATTACCCCTATAAGGAGTTGTAGAATCATCAATTTTATAATTTTTATTTAACACATTGTTATTTGGGTCACTAGATTGCTCTTGTTTCTTATAGGTTGAAAACATGGGTCGTGTAAATTACGGGTCATATATCTTTGATGAGAAGGTAAGTCTCATTTTACAATTTCTTGTACAGAAACTTTTTCTGGATCACTTCTTATACACAAAGTGAACGTGATCTGATTTCACAGTGTCAAAAATTTAAAATCTACGGTAGCCTTTTTACATTAGCCACGGAGCTCATTCAAAAGGTCTATTTTGTATCACTGTCAGGGTATTTTGTCTTCGGTATATCTAGATGGTCAAATTCTCCATGGATGGAAGATGATACCAATCCCATTTCAAAACCTGAATCAAAGGCCAAATCTCAGTTTCGAGATGCATCATAACAGAAAGAGAAGTGAGAAGTCCAATCTTACTAATGGTCAGTGTTCTAAATTTTGTTTCAGCATGCCCTTGGTGATTGAATTTCCTGTCTTCTACAATTTCTAAAGATGCTTTTCTTCTTTGTTTGGTATCGTTGTATTATGAAGGACATAAATGAAACTAATTGCTTCTTATGCCCACAACTATAGATGTCGGTCAAAAGGAACCAGCTCTGTTTGCTGGTGAGTTCTCTATCAACAGTGCAGAAGAAATCAAAGACACATATCTATCATTCAATGGCTGGGGTAAAGGAGTTGCTTTTGTGAATAAATTCAACATCGGAAGATATTGGCCGGTAAAGCTCTGTCCGCACCTCCTCTATAAGGCTCATCCAATGCACAGTTTCTCTTACACATGATTGCTTTTGCAGTCTGTTGGACCGCAGTGCAACCTCTATGTTCCTGCACCGCTTCTTAAACCTGGTAAAAATACTTTGGTATGTGAACAAGAACATGATATTTGTACGTTTTATTAGTTAGGACAAATGAATGGAACCATATTCTTGTTTGGAAAACAAAGAGTCTACTATCCATCCTCATCATTCCAGTTCTAGCCATTACTTAGATTTCTTGAATCTTTTGCAGGTGATTTTCGAGTTGGAATCTCCACATCTCGAGCTTTTGCTGGAGGCAGTGGATCAGCAAGACTTCACATGCGGTTCAAATAATTCTAAAGTCAATCAACTATAGCCGTTCAGTTCAACTTCATTCCATTTACCACTTCCTTAATAAGCAATCAGACTCTTGTAAATAGTCACTACTTATCCTCAAAAGTTATATATACAATACAACCAAACTTCACAAGTAGTGAAGTCGTTACCAATTGCCCCCACTATTCCAAATCATTCGTTAGGTGATAAAAGAATTTTAAAACGAGTTATAATTTTGTCATATGTATAAATAATATAACATGACGAGATTAGGCATTTAAAAATACAGACCCGATTAAAAATATTTCATGGTCGCATAAAATATTTCTACGTCTAATCCAAATATTTGCTTTCATCTGTTGTTTAAGCAATTTTATCCACAGAACAATAATTAAAAAAATAATGAAATATAAATTTCTAATTAAAACGTTATTAATAAATGATTAAACCTACACATATTTTATGTTATCAACAAAAATAAAACAAAAAAATTGGTAAATACATAAGCTCTCTTTGGTTTTCTAGATCAAACAGAAAATCCAACAAAAAAACTATAAAATCAACCAAAATCTGATAAAAAAATATAAATCCTAACAGATAAGATCTGAATAAATACGTATATAATTTTCGAAAATTCAGAAAAATGGCTATTGTTAGTACTCTATTTAACTAACAAAATTTCTCTCAACACATAACCATAATCCCCGAAAACTTCTCAATCCACAATTTGGCACAACTCTCTCCACGATCCTCTCTCTTTCTCCTTCTCTTAAGGAGAAAATCAAGGAACAGGAACCTCTGGCAAACCCTAACTCCCATATATCCGAAAACATAAACCCCAATAATGTCCTTAAGCTCCCTCTCCGGTGGCTCCACAGCCTGCGCTGCCTGCAAATACCAAAGGAAAAAGTGTACAAAGGACTGTGTTCTTGCTCCTTACTTCCCGCAAGATCGTCCAAAACAGTTTCTAAACTCTCATAAACTATTTGGAGTAAGCAACATCACCAAGATGATCAAGAAGGTTGATGAATCTCAACGAGACATCGCTATGCAGAACCTTATCTTCCACGCTAACGCTCGTGCCCTAGATCCAGTTGGAGGGGTTTACAGGATTGTGTGTGATCTCAAGCGCAAGATCGAGTGCTGTCAAGCTGAGCTTAACTTTACTCTTCAGCAAATCGCTATGTTTCGCTCTCTAGCTCAGCAGGAACAAAGGCAAAGGCAAGATCTTCCCTTCGGATGCCATTCCTACGGAGGTCTATTAGAACAAGGAGACGAATGCATTAATGTCGACGGTTATGATTATCTTCAGAACATGCAACAAGAGGAGAGAAGAATCTCTGATCAGGAACAAAAACATCTCTTGAGACAGATACTCATGTCGCCGTCTACCAATTAGAACACTCTTATGTGTTCATGTGTTCCTATGAAGTTTGAGCACCAAAAAAACCCTAGTTCAGGTTTAGGTTTTCGTCTTTTTTCTTCTCATCCTTGCTATAGAGCATGGTATTTTATCATATTTCTTGTATCTTACATTTTAAAAGGTAACAAAGCATTAATGTTCTCTTCTCTCTAGCCACCGATACGTTACAATCGAGTTTGGTAAGACAAGTGAATTGAAAGATAGCATTCAAACAGAAATCATGATTAACATTTCACGCAAGCAACAAAGCCGATTGCCCGAATAGGGTTACACACAGTTCATTAGACAATATTACCCTATACTTCAATGAATCCAATAACAAAATAGCCAGAGGAAGAGACAGGTGGAGATATTCATTCTCCAACACAATTCCACAACAGAGATATCTGCTACAAATATTGTCTACAGTAAAAAGCTCAATCTGCAAACTAAACACCAGCCTTGTCACCAAGTCTCTTCCGGAGAATCTTGACTCCCATGTATCTGCAAAGATTGGTAATTCTCTGTTTAATATATTGAATTCAAAGAAACCTCTGTCTGATTCATTATGTTTGGTATTGATTTCGATTTACCTTCCCATCATCATAAGCGTGGCTTGAGGGTTGGTTCCAGGAGACTCGTGAAACGTCGAACCATCAATAACTCTGAGCCTGTCCACACCAAGAACTCTACGGTTAGGGCTCACAACTTTACCCACAAGGCATCCACCATGGTAGTGCCAGATTGTGACGACTGTATCTTTGCAGAACTGAGCCATCGACTCTGTATCGTTCAGCTGCTTTGGTCTTAGATTGATGTTGGCCTTGACGCTTAAGCTAAGCATCTTGTGTACGTCTTGCTTCTCGCATTGCGTGTAGTTTAGGAAACGCTTAGACGTCACCACTTTGGAAACCAGACGAATGGCTTCAACACAGCGTTGGAGATCCGCCGGGTGTTTGAAGTAATTGAAAGTGACTGAAGGGTTGTCATCTACATTTGTGTTGACCAAGCTCAAATGCCCTCTAGAGAGTGGGTACGCTAGTTTCTCTAAGATGAAACTTCCATTGAACGCTTCGTGAAGTTGGTATTTCTTTCTTCTGATGAAAGCTTGCGCTGCTTCTGGTCTTCTCTGCTTTGCAGGAGTGGCAGAAAACAATTCATTCTGCAGGGGAAACCAAAGGATCATTATTGTCACCTTACATCAAACCACATTCTCCTACAAAGACACTAAGAACAAAGTCATTTAGTTTATGTTACCTTGTCGGACATAATCCCATAGTGAGTATGAATACTCTGAGGGGATTGCCCAAAGCCAGTGCTAGCTTCAACATACACACCCATCTTTGTGATTCCAACAGTCTGAATAAGTGACTGCTCTATAGGCGCCTTTGAAGGCACCAAGATCGTGTTCATTGGATTATCAGCCATTCCTTTCCCTACATGCTCGTTCTCTAGAACCACAGGAATCTTCAGCCTCTGAAGCTCCTTCTTAGGTCCAATCCCACTTAACATAAGCATCTGTGGTGAACCCATGGCTCCACTAGATAAGATCACTTCACTTCCCTTTCTATTCGAAAGCAGAGCCTGGTGCTGGTTACCTTTCTCGTCTTTGAATATCACTCCTGTTACTCTAGGCCTTGTTCCTGCACCCAAAACCAAACAACAAAGTTAAAAAAACTATTTCAACCTTCTAAAAACCTCAATCAAGAATTTCTTGGAACACTTGAAAAAAGGCACAATCAGTACCTGAAGTGTCAAAGACGATTTTTTGCACGGTGGCGTATATCAAGACTCTAAGTTTCTGAGGGTTAGCGTAAGCAAGAAGCTCCGCCGAGGTATGACGCCGGCCAAATCTGTCGAAGATTGTGCCGCCTACTTTGGTTCCGGAAACGTGGTCGTAGGTGAAGCCATTGAAAGGTCTGACTCCAACCTCTAAAAGACTGTCTCTCAAAGCTTTCTGCCATAACGTTAACTTGGGCTGATGAACGATCACTCTCTCCACCCATGGATACGACTCCTTCACCAGCTTTGGATCCCATCCTGATCGCTTCACAAACCTGGATGTGACAATAAGCCTTGAATTATTTTTTTTATTTTTTTGTTACAAAAATAATGGTAGTTTGACATGAGTGAAAAATATTAAAAGACGAGGTCCATGTCCCCAGTATTATTATTAAGAAAACACAACATTCTTGATCGGTGCGTTTCCATAAATGTGACATATAGTATCTATTAGGATTTAGGACACGAGGCATCGAGTACACACCACCAATAATGATTTTTTTAATTAAACTGTAAAAAAAATTATTATACATATTTATGATTTGTACTTACGCATCATCGGCTCTAGAGTAAAAACCGGCGTTAATACAGGAACCGCCGCCGAGAACTCTAGCACGAGCGTTGAAAACGCCGTCCGTGGAAACAAACGCCTGTGACGCTGAGGAAGCTGACGTGTCAGCTAGTCCGATGTGGAAGTTCCTAAGGAAAGACACGTTCGCGTTTGTGAACGGAACGCCACCTCTTTCCAAAACAAGAACGCTGAAATTCTGCGACAGCGTTGCGGCGAGAGGACAGCCTGCGGTTCCGCCGCCGATGACTATGTAGTCGTAGGAAGAATCTTGACCGTTGGATGAGAATGAAGATGACGAAGATGACGAGAATGTGCTTGCTTTTTCGATGAAGGAGTATCTGTATGGATTAAACTTCAACTTCTTCTCTTTACCTACATAATAAAATAATTGTTTTTTTTTTGCTTCTGTGTGTCAGTTTTAAATAATCATGAGTAGTTGGTAGAAGTAATTACACCATTAAATGTGTTAAACAGAACATAACCCCAAAAAAACACAACATTACGCGTAAAAAAGACTGTGCTGATACTGTCCTGATCACTCCAGATTCGGTCATGATGTTATGTATCAAGAAACATCAAGAAAACAGAGTTTTTTTTTAGTATCGAGAAGCTTAATATGTACACATGTATGTCTCTATGAATAAGTTCGAACATATATAAGCTGGTTTCGCAAAACAGAACTCTACAACTACACATAACCATCAATGACTAAGAGAGATACAGAGGAAAGAAATCAGAGTTTACTTACAAAACCAAACACTAAGAAGAAGATAGAAGTTAAAACTATGTAATGAGAATTGTGGTTAAAGGGAGTAAAAGAATGAGTGAGAAAGAGAGAGGTGACCTTTAGAAGCAGTGGAGGAGAGAGAAGTCGGGAGACAGAGAAGGAGAGCAAAGAGAAAGAGCTTGAGAGCCATTGGAGACTGCAGAAACCAAAACTGAAGAAGCTATTTTTTAAAAAATAATAATTATTGCTTCTGCATCAACTTCTTATGTGGCTTTTCATGAATGGTCTTGTTCTGTGTGTTTCCTTCTCCTATAAATAACACTAACGATCCAACAGAGCAAACTATATTAATTACACCCACATGTGTCTCTATATATTGTTACATTGTACGTAACCATTTCTACGGATTCACTTTATTATACACCATCGAATTTTTTGGTTAGACAAGCATGCGGTAAAACATTACACAGTAAAAAAATACAAGTTAATAAATAGAAGGTGGTGTGGTGGTCTACATTACTACTACACTAGAACGTTAAATTTTGAATGTCCCATTTCTGTCGAATATAGTAAATGAAAAAGACTTGTGATCATCTTACTCAAATTTATTGTTCCCTCATTTACTCATAAAAATAGTTACCTAATGAAATTATTTTTACTACGACTAGCTAGCTAGTAACTTTTCTCATGTTACACTTGTTGTTAACAAAATTATTATTAGACTTACTGTTACAGAATGGTTAGTTGCATAGCAAACGAACTTAATGATATGTATATTGTCACAAAGAAGAAGAATCACTATCAAACTATACATTTTTGTATTTATCAGAGACCAAGGCTTAAAAACATAAAAATGGTTGCCATCACAATTTATCTTTGTCCCACGATTATGTTTTGACATTTGGGACCAGCTGTAAATGGTATACATTATACAGTATAGTATTATCATATATAAAAAGAAGACAAATTAGAGGATAGTTGTACAGCTTGTCTGTATCATTAATGGCGATATGAAAACGGTTGAAGAGTAGGAAGTATGGTAGCCATTGGATCAAAGACTTCATGGATTCAAAGTGTATCAATTAATCCTCTTCACCTAACCAAAATCATAAACTACTGCAATATACAGTGCCATGTTTTTGGCAAGTCATTTTGTTTATACATTAGCAGCTTGATTAATGCATAAAACTTATTACTAACCAAACCTTCACGGGACATGTGTTTCTTTGGAAACTAATTTAATTGATCTTCACCTAAAACCTAAAACCTAAAACAATATCATCCATTCTTTATTTTCTTAAGCCATGAGTGAATGTGAATCATATCGGTTACTTAACAAAGCACATTGGATTAGTGAGAGTTAGTTGTCAAATTTATGCTAAAGCATCAGGGTTTCAAGTTTAGGGGTTAAATGAAAAAAGTGTCGCGTCTCATCACGTACGCGATGGTCTGGTCATATAAGATCACATGAGATTTTCCCTGACTTCATATCAGCCGCCATAACTAACTAAATAGTTAATAAGGCACATAATTAAACATAATCATGTTGTCGAGTTAATCAACGAATGCTTCTTCTGAGGGAAAAATTAATCTCATAACAATATGCAAAATTCTTAATTAGCAAAAAAAAAAAAAAGAATAAGTTAGTAGTACGTTTTAGTAAAATAAATTGTAAAAAATCCTTTGTTTTTTTTTTAAAAAAATCTTTCTAGTGAGTTGAGGTGTATAATTGATAGAGTTATTGGGGGTTGGATAAGTTTAGAAATGATGATAATAAATACACACACCAATCCATGAGTTGGATTTCTGAACATGTATATGAAAATGGTTTATTAAACTTTACCCACTCAGCAGTTAATGTAAAATATTAATATTTTGCTCACTTTTCATGGGATTGGTATCTTACCCCATGCGTCCACTTTCATGAATTGAGTTATTGTGTGTAGAAGGTACATCGTATCATTTATATTTCTTCAACCTTTTTGCTTTTTGGTTTAGGTTTTAGTTAGGAGAAAAATATTTCAAATCAATGCCATGCTACAACGCTTTCTAAGTTTTTAAGTCACTTGAGTATAAAGAGAATAGTCTTAAGACAGAGCAAAAGCTCCCTCATCGCAGCGTTTTTGGACTCATGAATAAAGGGAATAAGGAAAAACAATGTCAAGTATTAGAGTTCAAAACACTCTTTAGTCCTCTTTTGAAGAGCTTCTGTGATCTGTTGGATTTCCTGATGAAGAGGTGTTGTTGCTAGAACTACGGTTTTCTGGATTACCAGCAGGAGGGGCTTCGCCTTGCGCGGCAAGGTTCTTGACAAGATTCATGACCGTGGGAACAAACTTTGCCGATATTGATATGAGCCCTGGGAGCTGAATAAACCATAAGTATTATAACCAAGCATTCTTATATGTTAGAACTTTTTCTCACGTCCATGATTCTTGAAAAGTTACTACTACGTTAATGGTATTAGATTGGCATGTGATGGGATGTGAGAAGATTGGCAAACACTTACTGCGCCATTGCGGAATTCGCCAGGGATATCCAATTGCGTCCACAATGCTTTTGCCAGAAGGAAAGCGACAAAGATGACACCAAGGTAGAGAGGGTTTCTGTTACATCAAGAAAGAAAAGAGAAAAGAGATGATTCACAATGTTTTACATATCATCATCATTGGATATGAAGCGATAAAATAATATCTTCGATGGACCTTAAAAGAGTCATGAATTCGTTGAAACCAAGGACGATCAATGCAAGAATTGCCCATGGAGGAGGTAGCCAGTTATTTCCGCGCTTGTTCGCCTCCTGAATTAGTATAAACACTTTATATATAAGTATTCATAAAGTAGAGCAAAGAGCTAAATTATTGAGTAAAGTAATCATGCCTGTGCAGATATGGCTTGAGTCACTGTATACTCTGTTTCCGTCTTGAACTGTCTCCATATAGATTTACATTGCACCGGTGTGATCAAAGTTCTTGAAGATGGAACCTATGAAAGTAATGTGATCATATCTGTTAAGATCAAGAATCAGTTGAAGTTTAAATACATCGAAGAAGAGTTATACACACCTCATCCCAAGTGCTTGAAGCCAGTGGATCAGATGTTGTGATGCTTTTTTTAGAAGTGTCATTATTTGTTGAATCCAACAGAGCAACAGTTAGGGTCTTGGCGACGTTATCCGGTTCATCCCCCAATCGAATTACAGCCATTACTGAGAGCAACTTCAGGGACTGAAAACGAGAAACCATAAAAAGGTGTTTTACACTTTTTTTAAAGCCTATAAAACCAAATATAAAGGGGGATAACAAATCATACAGCAGATCGAGCTGATTTAGTAATGGCTCGAAGATCCTCATTTCCAGTCCAAACACGTGGCATTGAATCAGAATCGTGGCTGAAGATTGTAGCAAACCTGTAAAAAATACACAAACAAAATTCCAAACTAAGTAGTTGTTTGAAACTGGTTTTGAAAGATCACTGAGCACATAAAGGACGCTTGCTATACCTTTCCTTCATACGCATCAAAACCCTTCCAGCTTCTTCTTTTGCCTTAGATTCAATGACACCTTTTGAATAATCTTGAAGGCTCGTCACCATTATATCTCTCGTTTCATCTTCCATGTCAAAACCTGCTAATGCACTACTGAGTCCAGAAACTGCGGATTCAGTTTCACGCTGATAAAGCTTCTTTACTGCTGTCCATGTCTCATTGTTGGCTCCTTCCAACAGAGCTTCAACCGGTTCTGATAATGCTTCATGAACTTTTGACTGCAAATTAGAGGCTAAATCAATAACAAAGCTCAATTTCCCAAGCTTTCTTTATTCTTTCTGCTACCTCATATAGACTGGTAAGTTCAGATAACTTGGAAGTTCGCACGGAGGAAATGTGAGCTTCGATGTCACGGACTAGCTTGTCCCGCACTTTCGATGTGTCCCAATTGGCTTGTTCAATGATGGCACCTGCACACTCTTCATCGAATTGGGACATGCAAGCCTTAAACCAATCTTGGGAAGCTGAAGAAAACCCTTCACCAATGCCTAAAGCCTTATCAAAAGAAGCTTTAAACTTTTCAAGCATTCCCCATCTTATATGTCCCAAAACATCTTGAAATGCTGGATTCACTAGCTGTAAGGTGATATAAAAAGTGAGGAAAGCAGATAATCGATCTCCACTGATGGAAACAAGTTAAATTCTATCAGCATGCATTTATCTTAATTGACATGATGCATATAGCTTTAACAACATGCTCAGGAGATCTTAGATTGTATTTATTACTTGGAGAAGCTTTTCTTCAAGCTGATGTCTCTTCGAAGATCTAACACCTTCATCGAAGAATGTAGCCTCCCCGTCATATCTAATAAAATAGAGGACTGTGAAGATCAAACCCACAAGGAACATTTAAGAAACAACAGTATATGGAATATTAATCTTGACATTTATATTGAATTCAACCACAGTGTGTGTGTAGCTTGATTAAATCAATGTGCTTACTCTGATAAGCAAGAACCGAGAATGGTAGTAAGCCTCTTTCCAAAATTCAAAACTGGACCAGCTTGCACCTCCTCATCCAATTGGCGCCACTCCTGTAGATGAAGTCAAAAGGTTAGTTAGTGATTATGGGACTAACATAGACATTTGACATTTCAAATAATGAAGAATGAAAGTCTTAAGATTTGTTGAAACATTACGTCGTTTGAAATGAAATGCGCAAACTTCTCATTTGCAATTTCTTCGCACCGCACAGTAGCTACCATGACCTGCAAACAGATGATGTTAGAGGGAGTTTAACTGATATTTAAAGCTAGCACTATCAGCTACCTTGTGGGCTGGAAGATCAAGATCCTTATTCTCTTTGATGACTCTCCAGATTTGATCGGCACTAAATGCAAAGCCTGAGGCTGGAATTACTCCTCTTCGGTCTCCAGCAAGACCACCCGGTGCAATAGAATGCATGAACCGTTGTCGCAAACTAGCAATCTAAGTTCCAAAGAAAATATTAAATATGCCTACAGATAGATGCAGTTTGAAACACACAACATAAGTCTCAGCCATATGTGATAAGCTTGGCCTCTCACATACACACCTGCTCTTTAAACTGTTCTTCCTTCTCCTCATAACTGGAAAGAGCAACAACTTCAACCTAGCCATCAAAGATAGATAGATCATGACATTTATGAAAGTTAGCAACCATTCTTGCTTATAAGGCTAGCTGTAGCATAACATACATTGAAGAAGTCACTTAGAGGAGTGTCCTTATGTGCGTCAGGCTTTGGAACAGAATCCCATATCTGCCACAAAGAAGAACAAACAACCAGTGATCATCTGCCTTTATTTGAAGGTCAATTTGGAATTAGAGGAAAGTCACTTCTCTTTTACTTTCTCAATATCTTCTCTTAAGACAGGCTCTAAATTTTCTAACGGCGTCTGCACCCAAAATCATATCACAAAACAATGTACTAGTTAGCAGTGCATATTTGCAATGTAAGAAGGATGATAAAGAAAAGAGAAGAGAGTCTACCCGCGTTTTATCTCGTATTACAAAGAGCATTGTTGTTTTACGCGGACTAAATAATCGCATCATAACCTGTCAAACACAACCCCAAACATCCCAACCCGAGGGTAAGTAAATATTGTTTGATACATATGAACAAGCTTTCAACTTTCTGAACATCATAAAAAAGTACCTGAAAGACAGTTTTCAAGAGAGGTTTATTTGCAGCTTGTTCACGACCAATATCATGACACCACCTAAAAGTACAAGCATTGAGATATTGTAAGGAAACACTTTCAACAAAATCGAAAGCTGCATATTTTGATGTTTCTATTACAATCTTACATGTTGATTAAGACAATATCGGAGATAGCAAGAGCGAAAAGAGCACTCTGTTTTTCGAATGCTGTATCATCCTGCTTGTCCAGAAGAGGACACCAATCATACAAAAAAAATTGTACAAGAAAGCCATTCACTGCCAGACACTAAACCATAACAATGAGAAAAATTACCTCTCCTCGCTCTCTTCCATCGGTGCCCTCCAAATCCATTACTAGGGTGCAAGGCTCTATACCGGCACATCTTGCAAGCCAGATACCTTTTGTGGTCTGAGACCTATTAAACGAGTTCATGTGACAAACTTTTACACAGAAGTCAAAAGCGAACACTATCAGATGAAAGCATACCTTCCCTTGAATGCATCCATCTCCAAAAAGTTTGTTCCAAACAAATGATTAAGTAATGTACTCTTCCCTGTCAAATCCCAAAAGAATGCATTACAAAATCTTGAGTACTACAAAATTCCCTCTTCTCTAAAAGAATGCATACCGCTGCTTTGAGGACCCATAATGGAGACAACAGCATAGGAGAGGCCACAGTCTCCAAGTTTCACCTCCTTAATGAAATGATCGATGCCAGAGACATTGTATGTACCATCTCCGTCTATAAGCTGTACAGAACCACATACCTCGCTCTTATCTGCATCTAATATGGAATGTGTAGCTCGTCACGAAAGCCCTTAATAAACAATCAATGTCTCCAAACAGAGATATTTAATCATTAATCAAATCAAACAATTTTGCAATGAAACCAGAGAAATGACTGGATCTTTGTATTAGCGTACGCATGCAGAGGCATTACTCTCTCAATTCTCAAACCAATAACAACTTCTTACGAAAGCAGAGAAAAGGGACTCATAAATTTATATATCAAATCACATGGATTTATCAGGAATGATAAAAACATAAATCTGATAACCAGACAAGAGACAAAAAGTACCCATTCTTTGTCTTTCTCAGACACAAAATTCTCAAAGTGACTGTGAGAAAAAAAAAGATCAGAGCTTTCACGCTTTTAGGATCTCCCTCTTCAAAAGCTTCCCTTTCTCTGTTTTCCCATGTTAGTCATTTTAGGTTCCAACTCTAAAGTATTATACTTTAATCTTTTTTCATGGAAAAAATCAAAATCAACTAATTAAAGTTAGGAATTTAGATCTCCACTACAATTTGTTGGACATGTGGAAACATCAAAACGCAAACTTGAAAAAGAACTCGTCTACCATTTAATTCAATCAAAGAATAATATTCTTCTATAATACACCAGCAATCCACTCCAAAAATAGCAAAAACATTCCTACTTCTAAGCCACAATCACATCATACTAAGTTTAGTCAATCTTAACTTAATGTATATAAAAAAGGGCTCTTGCTTTATTATCTGATCCTAACACTATACCCTAACCAGAGTTACCACGTAGACAACCTAACCACTCCATTGCAACATTACTTGCCCTATACAAAGCCAACTCGAACGCAGCAGAAATGTTTCTTTCTTTGAAGGCTAATTGTCTGATGAGCCCACGGACTTTCTGGAATCTCAAAAGCTCTACTTCATAAACAAGCTTTATTCCAGCAGAGATAAGCACCTGTCTGTCTTGTGTAGTGATGATAACAACACTCCCCGGACTAAAACAGTTGAAGTCCTCTGCAAGAGCATCTAACTGTTCAAGCTTATTGACATCGTCAGCGACAAGCAGAACTTTTTGGTTCTTGAGCCTTAAATTTCTCAAGCGTTCTCCTTGATTCCGTAATATAAACTCTTCATGGCATTGGGACATGTGGCAATCCTGAGAAATCCTTTTCACACTTTCAAGGAAACAATGGCTTTCAAAGTGTTGACAGATGTTCTGATAAACGAATTTAGCAAGAGCTGATCTACCTTTGCCTCCTCTTGCCCAAATCCCAATGACTCTCACAGTTTTCTTAGAATTCAAATCCAATAGCCGGTGAAGAGCTTTCATGTGTGCATCAATCCCCTCAAGGTCACTCCCATTGCTTCTTGTTGTATCAATCATCAACTTTTTTGATATCTTGTCAGCAATTGCATCGACCATCTTCGAGTCATCTTCCCTAAACGAGATCAAGAGACGATTCAGTCAAACCTAACAATAAAAATTCGACCTTTTATCATAAAGTTACGAATTTGTTACCATTTCCATGAACAATCGCCGGAGATACTCGCCAAATTGGTCAACGCTTGCCTCCATGAAAGCACTTTCTCATGATCTTCTCTAGCCTCATGCTTCTTAAACTGTTCATCGACTAGTCCAATCTGCCTCCTCACATGGCACGGATCCACGCCGTAGAAGATGGGCATCACAGTGATGGAACCCTTGTTCTCGAAATCCATGATCTTCACGAGCTCTTGGAGGCACCAAGGAGACGCAGCGTAGTTCTCAGAGACCACAACGACGGCGAACTTGGACTCCTCGATGGCGCGTATGAGCTCAGGCGAAATCCTCCGGCCACGCTCCAACTCGTTATCGTCTTTGAAAGTTCGGATGTTCCTTCGAGTCAGTTCTTTGTAGAGGAAACTGATGAAGTTGCGGCGAGTGTCGATTCCTCTAAAGCTCAGAAAAGCATCGAACTTGTGGAGCGTAATTGCAGTATCAGACATTTGATTGATTCTCTTTGTGCTGAGAGTAAAAGGGAAATAACCTGATTTTATAGCAGCGTGAAGGTGAAAAAAGAGAAGGTGAGGTTGTAGCCATGGCCATGGGAATGAGTTTCGTCATCCCCACAGAGACTCTTTCTTCCGGAAAATTTCCACGCATTTTCATTTTCTTTCTTATTATATTTTCTTGACGTAAGGGACGTCTCTCTCCGCCGTACCTTTTAATATTATTACCCCAAATCCAAGAGAGCTTTTAGCCTAAAACAAATTTACTTTGTTTATGCTACTACAGTTGTTTGTAAGAATTTAGAATTCTAAATTTTGCCATGGTAAAGTTCGTTAATTGAATTTACAATCTTTTTTCTTTCAACACACTGATTTGATTCTTTTTTTTTTGTCGACTGGTATTATATTGATGGAATTAAACCAACGATTACAACCCAGAAAGTTAGACACCACAAAACAAGTGCTGAGCCTAAACCAAAAAACCTGCAACTACTAACTAACCATCTCAACACAACGAGAGAGGTATCCAAAAAATGCAGCTCCAAACAAAGAGCATAGTTAGATAAAAACTAAAATTCAAACAGAGGAAGAAACCATTTCCTCGGCAAATAAACCTCGCAACCAAGAAGGATGGCCCCTAGCCACATAAGATTGAAGCCTGCAATCACTGGTAACACTTTGCGCGAT